GTTAAAAGGTCAACAATGTCCTTTTTCAACTTGCTTCAAATTGACCCAATTTTCTTTATAGAGTTTCTTTATAGCTGAATCATCATCATTTCAAAATCATCTACAAGTTATCAAAAGTACAAATCTGACTTAAGATTTGAGATTTGACCTTCAATAACCTTCTCAAGGTCAAAAAGGGTCAAAAAATATTTTTTCAAAATCATCTACAAGTTCTCAATACTTCAACCCCCTCTGATTATAAATTTGATATTCTCAAGGTCAAAGAAATTTGACCTTCAATGACCTTCTCAAGGTCAAACAGGAAGATATCAGAAATTCAAACCTGACTTAAGATTGAACTAATAATATTGTAAGCAACTAGGTGTAGTGGTGACATTTTGTCATGTTAATGCCTTGTTTGTTATTTTGGTCGGGTCAGACTGTCATAGAATGCCATGCAATAGTCATAGTTTATCAAAAAGTGTTGGTTGAATATGTCTAAAACTCGAATGGTACTGTTAATGTACATGTATATTGGGCAATGTAAATGTATATTGTGATTAATCATTGACAATTTTGGTTGACGAACTAATAAACCAAGATTTTAAAGACTTTTATTATTGCATCAATGGAGATTGGATCCAACCTTTTTTAGAAAATTTGAAGAGGTCATGGAAAATTATTTGAATAAGATAACTGTAAAAATCAAAGTTAGTAATGTAGAAAAGTTTTCCTAAATATGCGAAGGAAAAGTAAGTCGATAAGTGGATTAATTTGTTAATCTCTTAAAATCCCAGAAAACGAGAATAAGCGAGATTTCAAAGCCGGAAACTCCGATTAAGAATTCCAATAACCTTTATAAGTTAATACCCATGGTTTTGATCATGATTAAAACTTTCCATCATAATTGATACGAAAGCATGGGAGAGCTAAATGTAGCTGATCTGGTCTAGGACCCGGGGATTTGGGTAGGCTTAACAGAAGCCTTGTAAGTGGGAGATTTTAAGACGGCTCTAATAATGTACTTCGAGGCATAAGGCATTAATTCAGTCAGTTTGACGCATTCGAGACTGCTCGAAATTCTGAAGAGTAAATGAAATATGAATGTGCCAATCTAGATCCCTCATTTTCCAGATGAATTGAATGGTCTTAAGTGATCTGACATTAATAGACAAGTCTTCGATGAAGGCCTCTTTATCAATTCAATTACGACATGCTTTTCTAAACCAAGGACGTCTATAGATAGACGTCCTTGTCTAAACTAAGGCCAACTCATTTTTGGACGGCATTTCACCCCGTATAAAGAATTCTACACTCCCGCACAGAAGTCTAGCAATCTTAGCCCGATTGCCAAAGAGGGGTATGTATCTCCATTAGGATATAAATATATGGCACGAGCAAGCCGAATCCTTCGCGTTACGATATGTTTACTCTGCTCTTATATTATAAGAATATGGAAAAACTAAATATCAGGATGGCAACGGCGTGAAAATAAAAAAAGCACAAGAGAGTCGAAGAGACTAACTGCCGAGGAACTGCCGGCTTGTGCAAAACAACAACAAAGGACCGACTATCGGAAAACGAACGGCGGAGGAGTAGCCGATTTCTGCTTAAAAAATTCAACCAAGTCAACAACAAAAATTCAACAAATCCGCATGGTTTATTTTTCACGAATAAATCGCTAAATGAATAGGTGCACAGTATGGTAAAATCTTAACTTATATATTAAAAAGGCGCAACGTCAACAACGTGAGTCAATCTTTTTCGCTAGAAATCAAGCAGTGGAGGTATACATGACCTGTTATAAATGCTAATAAATAACATTTTTTCAAAATGTAGGCCTACGCTGTGTTATAAATTACTTACAAAACGTTGTAATTAATAATCGAAATTAAAAGTGAACGGAGGGGGAGTGTAATTCAAGATAGCTTCCCCCCCCCCCATCCCACCCTCTGTTCACTGCAATATTTAATAATTACTTTTTCACAACGACATTCATTTTGTTGTTTAACCATTATTCTTTCCACTATTTACACTATTATTCTTTACCACTTCTTGATAAAAATATTGACTTTTGCATGCTGGTGACGTTGCGCCTACTTTGTTAGATCTCACACCCTAGAAAGTAGAAACATACCAGTTTAAAAAATATAGAAAACCTTGTGGCTTTAAACACTCAGACATATCAGTTTTCATCTTGAAGAGTGAACTGATTGGTTGTGTAATGAACTTCCCAATTAATTAACTTGAACCTTAGGTGAAAATTGAAATTAAGATGGCCTACGTCTCGCTCAAACTTGTGAAAAAACTGTCCCTTGAGCCTACTTTAACCAGACTTATTCGTACGTTCTCGTTGTCGTTAACAGTCCATACTTCACAATTAATCAGCTAAAGTAACCTAAAGGAACGAAAACAAATTCTAAATTGAATCACCTTTCTTGAACCAGTACATATTGACTTGAAACATTATTAAGTCCCAGGCGAACATGACAAATTCAAATTGAGTTAGCCTACAGAGTTAATGTTGATTTGTGATCCATCTCGGATCCTAATCAGCCCAAATTGTTTTGGGGTATCTTTGACTTTATTAGATTTGACCACATCCCTCGCTAATTTATAATGTTTGCAAATGCCTGATTCCAAGTGTCAGCTTGCTAGACTCGCATATTGATCGTATTTGTTCTCGAGGATTTGATACTTGTATTGATATAGTGAAAAATGTAAACTCCTATTCTGATAGGAGACCCTCTGCTTCTAAAGCTTGTGAACGGCTTTGATTTATCATAAGACAATACATATTCCCTAAGTAATTGGCATGTATTTGAGGAATAGAGCTATTGCTCGTGTTCTTATTTTCGTTATAAACCGTGTTTCAGATTCGTGTCTCTATTTCAAATACTAAGTAGTGTTTGGTATGACATCTTTTCTATAGTTTTTAGCCTAGAATATTTCATACTTAAATATTTTTTCATACATGTCTAACCGGCTTAGACAAAGTGCTGATAGGAGTTATTTATTTACAGGAATTTATATTCGGTTTTATTACGAGGGTCAATATGACATTTCCCAAGGGCAATATTGATTATTAAGTGGAAATAGGACAAATCCTTCAGATCGCTCGATTTTGTGAAAATGAATGAGACTGACGCGATGCCAACTGCGCTACCAAGGCAACATGTGAACGAGATAATCATGTGACTAGTCAAGATGCTCCTTGATTTCTACAAAACTACTGTAAAACTTTAAAGAAAACACTAATCACATTTTGATCAGAACACAATGCTTTTGATTTGTACAAATCACTTCAACAAAAGTGCCTGCCCCGAGTGAGGATCGAACTCACGACCTCAGATCGCTCGGCTTTGTGATTATGAGACTGACGCGCTGCCTACTGCGCTACCGAGGCAGATATTTACCTGCAGTTTAGAACTGTTAATCGTAGCTCCAAATAAATATATTCTATTCACGCTGTTATACCATGACGGTTACGTCAAGGCGATTTGCAAATTTTTGCGGTAACGATAACAAAAAAGGCGAATGGGAAAGACAGTATGTCCCGGTCTTTCTCGACTGCAGGCAAGATTCACAGATAAGAATTTCTTTTAAGTATGAATGGTTATAAAGACTGAGTCAAATCTCCCAGGTGGTCTACAAGAAGCAGAATATAAGCTGTAAACCCGGTTGAGATATTAACTGTATTAACTGTAATTAAACTGTGTATAAACAAGCCATAAAATGACAAATCCAGAACAGGAACGTGGTGTATATATTGTAAATAATAGGGTTTCAATTCCAACGTTAGACGACTTCGTATGAATTGTATGATTTTTATGGACGGTATTATTGTATTAGTTGACATTAGATATTTAGCGGACGGTTACGTGCATGACACCTGTCAAGTCAAGGTTGATAGATCTGATAGACTCTTTCCATGTTATTGTTATAATGGGAAATATATTGGGATATTGAATTGCTTGTTCGTTTTCAGGACTCGCAAGAGACGCTCTTGTTTGAGCCTCTAAATTGGCTTGCTTTATTGATTAAACCAATGAAAGTGAAAAAGATAGCAATGGAGAGGCGAAAGAAGAGTTAGCATCAAGTACTGATGAAGATGACAAAATTAATAACAATGAATCGGGGTTTCATATTTGAACAAGGTTGGCGTAATCGTCCATCGATTTTTTTGCGTTACCGCAAATTCAAAATACATTATTATTACCCCAAGGTTGCTAGGCAATGTAGACCATGCTCTAACGACAAAAATAAACAAATTACTAATTTTTTTGTAGGTTTGAATTTCAAACTCGACATTTTTTCGCTTAAAGGGTTCCGATTAGCATCCCGTATAAAAACAATATGGCGGCTCCAGGCGAATCAACTGGATCAGTCCATTTTTAAGAAATAAGGGGAGTGCTGTAAAATCCAGTTTATTGAAATTGTCTTTGAGATAAAGTAATCCGTTTATACACTGTGGCTAGTCGATCAATGTGGATGCAGTCATGTATATGCAATGTTTCGTGGGTTCTCGCGTACATTATAGTGAATGGGGTCGTTGAAAAAATATGACAGAAAATCGAGGTAAGTGATCTCAGAGTTTCTACTTAACATATTGACTTGAAATCTTGCATACATATTCAATATACATAGTATGACAATGTCTGAAAGTTTCAGCTAGCATATTCCTGTAATAGGGAAGATATTTGAACAACATTTCGTAAACGTCAACATATATGTATCAAATGGATTCAACTATGTATCATTTGGATTCAGAACGGTAACAAATGGATGCTATAATAAATTATGCTTTTATCATGATAATTTATTTACAGATGGACAACTGGCCAGATTTTCTTTGTATTCATTGTTCGGATAAACATTCCTTATTCAGTGAAGTAATTAGCCACACCATTACAATACACCCTCATGAAGAATTGAAAATTGATAGACTTTATATAGACCCGTCAACTGGAAAATGCCATTACAGAAGGAAAAACTATGGTTTCATCCCTAATACTGTTAATTTGAAAAACGGGTCCATAACATGTAATGATGACAATGAAGATGTTGAAATTAGGTACGCCAATCAAGTGAATTTAGAGCCCAAGAACCTACAACCCACTGAAATACCCACAGATCAAGTTTCAGAGCCATTAACATTCCTTGAAAGTGACAATGAGCAGCCAACAGATGGACCATCTGTAATTAATCTTGGTGATTTTGTCAGCTCAGCTGAAAGAGCCTACAGATTCCTTGAAACAAATGACCCAAATTCAAGAATTATATCATCTATTTACAATTTTTTTGAAATCGTGGTAAGTGGAATCTTTCCAATTACCAATATAGGATTATTATTGTTTTTGGACACTGTGGACTATTTCACCGCTCCATGTGCCAAACAAGTAAGATACAGAAAAGAAACCAAATACTTTTGGTTCATGGGCTTTCGTCTGTTTCATGGGAAGTTTCTGAGGTAAGACTTCATTCATTTTTACTTTTAATTCTTATGATAATAAAATATAACTAGACTTTAGAAATTGAACAAGTTCAATTTCAGACTCCAGATCTAGACTTTTTTAAGCCCAGTCATCCAGAATAAGCCGAGTCATCCAGAATAAACCGAGTCATTCAGAATAAGCCGAGTCATCCAGAATAAACTGAGTCATCCAGAAAATGATGGATGAATGGATGAAATAGGATGGACGGATAGAATAGAATAGGAAGGAATGATAGGATAGAATAGGAAAGGATGAGATAGAATAGAATAGCAAGGAATGATAGAATAGGAAGGAAATGAAAGGATAGGAAGGATAGATAAGAAGGATAGGATAGGATAACATGGGATAAGATAGGAAGGAAAGGATAGAATAAGAAGGAACGATAGGATAGAGTAGGAAAGAAGGATAGGATAGAATAGGAAGGACAGGATAGAAAGGAAAAGATATGAAGGAAAGATAGATAGAAGGAAGGATAAGATAGGAAGGATGGGTGGAAGGATGGATGGATTTTTCAACATTTTCTTCACTTCTCTTGACTTTCTATCAGGATACCATAAGATCGATTTTTCTCGAAATTTCAAAACGCCATAACATAATCGGATCGAAATTTGGTTTGCAGATTCAGATCCCTTAGAAAATTCTATCCTTAATTCATAACTCATACGTTAAATTTAGAGAAGTTTTTATTTTGACCTACTTTTCAGACACCATATCTCAAAAGTGGGTCAAAATATTTTCTGACAGCAAAAAGCTAACACTATTAGCACACTCTTGGCTACATATATACCAAATTTCGAAGAATATAATTAAAGTGTAATGTCAGAATCGAAAAAATGAGGAAAAGCTTTGAATTTGACCTAGATTTTGACCTAGGCCCTGGACTTGACTTGGACCTAGACTTGACTTGGACCTAGACAAACACTGGACTTGGACCTGGACTGGACCTTGACTTGAACCTGGAAATGGACTGGAAAGGTATTTTTTCAATTTTTTTCACTTTTCTTGACTTTAAAATAATTCTATAAGGTTATCATCAGATCGATTTTTATCGAAATCTCAAAGCGCCATATCTTCCTAACCGGAAGTCGGATCGAAATTTGATTTGCAGATTTGGATTCCTGAGAAAATTCTATCCTTAATTCATAACTCATACGTTGAATTTGGAGAACTTTTCATTTTGACCTACTTTTCGGACGCCATATCTCAAAAGTGGGCCAAAATACTTTCTGACGGCAAAAGGCTAACACTATTAGCACACTCTTGGCTACATGTATACACCATTTCGAAGAATATAATTAAAGTGTAGTGTCAGAATCGCAAAAATAAGAAAAAACTTTGAATTTGACCTAGATTTTGACCTAGGCATTTTGGTGTCCAAATTTTGAAGCTAGATGGCTTTTGAGGTTCCATTCTTTTAAAAGCTTTCATTGTATTTAGCTGAACTCAGTCTATATTTCGTATTTTTCACTTCAAAAAAATCTTTTTTCCCATTGACTTAACATGGGCACCAAATTTAGCGATTTTTGAGCTTTCAAAACGCAATAACTTCCGATCCAAATTTGGTTTGCAGATTCGGATTCCTGAGATCATTCTACACTTATTTCATAACTCACATGTTGAATTTGGAGATTTTTTTGTTCTGACCTACTTTCCGGACACCATATCTCAAAATCGGTAACAGTAATCAAAAATCTGATGGCACATTTATTAAAGGGCTGTTTCTAAGCTATATGATGAAAAAAAGACAAAGTTGTTTCGATAAATAACGACGAAGATAATAGACAGATTTAAGATTTGACCTAGTTCTTGAGCTTTGACCTAGATAAAAATTGACCCAATTTCCGAGAAACTAGATACTGGACCTAAATTGACCATATACAGGACTTGACTCAATGTCTTCTAGTTAAGGAGAAAACGTGTGTAGAAGAATAAAGAAGAAGAAGAATACTGACAAAAGCTATAGACTCCAGATTTACATCTGGAGTCTAATAAAAATGGTCCTGATCAACACAGGCTTCGCTATAAGTATTGCAGTAGCACATTGGTGGAGGAGGCCATGGTTCTTTACCATGCGTTTTTAGTGCGCTTTTGCTATTGAAAAGGTTGCCGCATTCATCGCACATGTGGCGTGTTGGGGCAGTTTCCTCCACTGGCTGTACGACAACCAGATCCATCTACAAAATAGTTGTGATATATATTGAAAATAAAATCAAGATGTCCATCATCTTGAGTAAACATCAGATTATCGTCGGGCATCAAATATTCACCATATACTACTGTAAAATTATATTTTTGTTGAATTATTGTCCCAACTCAAGTTTATATGTAACCATATTTGTTTCTTCCTGATGTATCCAATGAGAGCGTTTAAGAAATATATGTAAAATATTAAAAATACACACATTCAAAATGATTCAATTAAAACCTAGCCAGTCTGTTCATTGAATCCAATTAGAACGTCTACTAATCCACATGATACATCATAATTAAATTGCTTTTTTAAAGCGGATATTTCATACCATAACCCCAAAAATATTATAAAATGCGTTGTATTTGTGTTTAACTTCACACAGACATATTTGTGTACGTGAAATAATTATATTACTTGAATGTTTTATTCCCCATTATAAGGTAAACCTATGGCAATTATACATACCTTCTCACAGCTATGAGCGAGGTGATAAAACTGGTCGAGTGAACTCGTTTGAGTTATCTATTCGCTGTAAAATTATCAGAGAATGTGCGTTTATAGCGTTGCTTTGGTTTGGTAAATCAATGAAGTATGATATACACGGATGAGTAAATGTAGATTATTTAAACAAAAGTGCAAATTTCTTCCATTGAAAAGTACAGAGGCGGGTACTCACGAAACATTACATGTGCTTGACTGCATCCACATAGATCGACTAGCCACAGTGTTTATAATGATTTTGAAAACGTTATCCAAAGAGTGATTGCGTTCAAAGAATACATGTACAACAGCCAATATAAATCCTTGTATAAGAAACCGGTTTGTCTTGCTTTGTTTCATTTGTAGGATATTTCATATGCCAAGCTGTGTGCTGTTACGTTATGGGGAAATTTAGATGCCAATTTTTCCTTATTGTACACAAATAGAAGATCCTGAAACTTCACCCTAAATGTGGAATTGATTTGTCAAAATAAAAATCACCCTTTTATAAATGTGTGACGATCTATAATATACTTATGCTATATAACAGTTAGAGGTGTTGACACAACGACCTCGAACCTGTGAACCCTAGAGTATTATTCCGGGATCGGGCCTTTTATACTAAACGGTGAGCAACACCAGAAACGAGCGTTCGATTTGCTAAACGATATGCGTCACCCTTTAAGTCATGTTATCCCCGGGCATCAATTTGCAAAGACTACTTTCAACTTCATAATTATTGAATGCATCACCGAATGCGACCGCTTACATAAATCATCCATTCTTTCATTGATACACAGGAAATAATGCACCAACCTTAGTTTTCTGTTCCAACGTGGCCATTTTATTGGATCAGTGAGCGTAGCAGTACAACTTCGTTTTCAGAGGTGGCGTAACCGTCATGCTATGCCAATAACAGCGTGCTATTGCAATAATGAATAAATACATGATGGGGCACCAGTCTGCAAAGCGGATAATTATCCATGTCACTAGTCTTGATTGTTTGAACAATCAGACTAAACCCCGGGACTAAACCCAGTAGAAAGATGAAAAGTCATCGTAGCCGCCGTCAATTAAATAACCTGATCGATGTCATTGTCCTAAATTATTTGAATAATCTGTACATGATTCAGCCGGTGTAATTGTATCAATAAGACAGGTGTATGTTTGTACTTTGATTTAATCTCCTCGTGCTCAAGGTGCACTAAAACGGTAGTTCAAATTATAAAGAAATATATATATAATATTTAACTTAAAGGCAGAATCAGATCTATAGGGGAGACAAAAGTACAAGCAACGTGTACAATTGACCTTACCAATGTATTCCTTACAATTTCAAATACAATATCTCCCAAAAGATTCACGATATGTTATAAATTAATGAAGATATCATAGCTTCTCATTTCACATCAAGATAAAGAAAGGTGTACGGAATATGCCTATATCAATTATATCATCCCATCGAAGTGTAGTATTTGATAACTAGCCGATGAAAATTCGAACGAACGAAGGTGGTAAGCAAGAGAGGTAATTATGTCTGTCATCTTGAAACTCTGGGGCTTTCCCTCCTCTTGCTCAACTCAGTACCACCTTCCTGTTAGGGCACATTCTTGTAACTCTCACAGTACAGGTGAAACGAACTAGTCAGGAATGTAAAAAATGAAAAAGTTACATCATTTTTATCAGTACTTATTGAACGCCCTGTAAATATTGAGTTTTGGAAACAATACGGTATACTTTTCTCAACGAATCTCCTTCATTAAGCCATAACTGTTATGTTAACGCCCTTCATGTTGTCCCAATCCCTATCCCAAGACTCCAATAACAAACAGTACAACTGACATTTTTGTCCCGACGCGAACAGCTGATCTTAAAGCGTAAACACTAATAGTGCAATCAGTGCCCAAGTGGATCAACAATATTAAGAACACAGAGCTCGAACAATGTTCACTTTTTGATAAAACATCAGACTAGATATATCAACTTTCGACCTTAGATTTTAAATAAAGTCCTAAGTTTAGTAGAACATGAACAGAGTTACTCAATTTGACCGACTTCGTTTAAAATAATATTTAATCTAGTTTCATTAATAAAGTAGGGCCTATACTTAAGTTGCCTTGACATTGCCTTGCAAAATAATTGACATGATAGTTATTTCAACAAAAAATAATATCAAATTAGATTATCTCTAAACTAGAATGCGATTCTGAAATATTATAAGAAACAAGGAGTGTGAATTAACTGAGAAATATAGACCGAATAACATGAATTAAATTGGCGAATAAATACCGCATGATAACACACCAACATTTAGTACAGACCAGGTATTGTATCTACGAATAAATACCGGGTGAAATATTGACTTTGTTCACAGTTTATAGAAGCCGTGAATACAGTCATGTCCGTATGTACGATAACTGAAGCAACAAGATAGATTGTACTATAACTTGATAAGTATTGATATGTAAGGACTGTGGACTGATACCCTGAGTGTCAGCGTCTATAGTACAGAAGGGAGATGAAGCTCTCCTTTAAGAGGCAAATTCAAACTATTGGAAAGGGTATTGAACTAAACGATAACGTTGCGGTCATGATGCGACCTCCCAGGGTTGATTTCAGCACGAATCTCCCTTATCATACTGACTTTATTACACAAGAAGATAAACGAGCCGCACATCACTAGATATATTCAAGATAACTTTACGATAATTCGCCCTCGCGAAACATGCAATCATTTTAAAAATCGTTTCAGAGAACGTATCAGGAAAACACAAAAAAAATAACAACTGAAATAAGAGGAGAAAACGATTCCAAACCAGTGCTGACACTGACCGAACTTCACTACAGCTCTAGGAAACCCAGGTTCCAAAATGTAAGTATCGCATAATCGCAATATTATGATTTTGTATTGTATAAAACCTGTTAGAAATTGAAGTCAAATTAATGTGACAACCGAACTATGTAAATAGTAAAATAAACTATGTATACAAACAATGCACTCGGCGTAAAGAAGAATTATGACACATTGGGAAACTGAAGAAAAATACTTTATTCAAAATGTTTTTTTGTTCCAGGATTTCAGACGCGATTATCAAGCTAAGTGTTTTGACACTACTGTCAGTCCTCGCAAGGCCAACATCTTGTCTTCCAGTCCAAGAACTTGACACCACGTTTTCCCTTTTAAAAGCACCTATAAACATAAATAACCCATTCGCACCTTTATCAGATTTGGATGAATTCTGTAAGCGATTTCTCGAATGTTGGAAACATCCAAGTGTGGTTAAAGTGATGGAGAAAGTTCATAAGCTGAGAAAGGACGTCGAGGATAGCACACAACGTATACTGGAGGGAAATGCAGGGAAAAATACATTGAAAAAACTTGTGCGAAATGAGCTGTTGTTGGACCACTTTAAATACGGATTGTGTGTCAGCAAGGCATGTAAAGAAGCGATGGCAAAATTTGACGCTTGGAAATTATCAATGGGCAGTGGGAAAGTCCATAATAGATGGGGCCGTAAGAGGAGAGATACGGGTAAAATCACGGCACCCAAAAGCGTCGTTCCGGAAAACTCGATGTTCAATACCCAAAAACGTGGACTAAGTTTGGTGGACCAGTTTGTTTTGCTGAGAAAATGGGCAAGACACATTATTGGTGATAAGCGATAATTTAAAGACTTCGACCTGAACTTAAGAGTGGCGTGGTCTGTAGATTAAAGAGAGCAGCTATATAAACAATGAATAATCAAGTATCATGATTGATTAATCTCATCGTATCATACTAAAAGTAAACAATTAAACCATAGAGTTTCTTAATATTTATATATTGATGTTCGAAATAAATAATAAATGTATTCTTCTAATAAATTTCATCGTTCAACTAGTTTCCTTCTTCGACGTCCAAGGTTGTTATAACCCAAGTTGGAGCAACTGAAACTTTGTGAATCAAAACTAGTTTCGCCATTATGAAAACTTGAACGACATCATGAGTGAAGACTTCAAACAATATCAGAATTGACAAGTTAGTGTAACGTACATGTAGGCCTATATAGCCTATTATAGGCTATGTCATCAGTGAAACCTACTGAGTTACTCCCTGCTGACAGGCTGAAGGACAACGGCACATCCGCTGCTTCCACTCCGTTGTGTGTCTAAGCTGTCTCAGGTCTAAGTGGAAGGTGTTTTTACCCCCATGTCATATAAATGGTCATAAGCCAGTAATGTTGAAAATTGTTCTACTATATATATTTTGTTGCAAATCAATTATCTTTAAAATGGTAGTTGGTGTGTTTGTCAGAAATATTGGCTAGGGGGTGGTTTTTTCGGTCCACCCTGTCGATGGGAATTTTATAGGAAGTATGTTCTATAACATTTTTAATCAGGGTAAGCTATTGTATAGCATCTAATGCTTTATTTTATCAAAGTAAAGTGTCTTCTATCAACAATACATTGCCAATTCAGAAGATAAGATGCATCAGCATTTACACAAGAGAGATACATCATGTCATGTCAATCTTTGAGAAGCAAAAATGGGGACAGTCGGGAAACATTTTTCAAAAGTTACGGCAACATTTTTGTAATATTTGTTCAGGTTGTTATATCCCTCGTCGTACATTACGAATTTTGACTTTATTTAATCAAATGCTTAAATCTTTAATGAATCCGTGCTAGTTTGCGTTATGTGCACTCAGCTGCATTTTAAATACAGCTAGATAACTTGGATTATGTTTTATCAATCAATATGGCCGAGTATTATGCAGCTTAAATGATAAATATAAACTTAACATAAGAACGCTGTAATTATCTTCACTGGCCTGCCACTGATGTAAATAAACAATACAAATAAGTAGGCTTATTGAAATATTTACCATTTACCATTTTTGATAAGCCCTCTTTGAAATAAGCATCCATGCATATGGTGATGGGCTATCAGTGAGAAACTCCGAATGCAGTGTTAAATGCTCTGATATTTACCCGGAATCTTTTAAGTGCCATTAAATAAATATAATTTCTCTTACATCAAATTAGATTTTAATTATGAAGATCAGAAATGAGGTTCTATTTTAAATTGCGTCAATATTCATGAACAGAAATTTGCAGTGCAAAATGACAATTTTAACGAGCATCTCTGAATTTTCAAAATCAATCCAACAAACGATCATCTTCGCACGAACAGTCTTCCCTGCGTTCATACCGCGTCGAGTGAATGAAGATGATCGATTTGGCTTGAACATTTTACGTTTTTAGGAACGGTTTTAGATCAAAATAGTGCGGCCTTAAATCCATGATCGAAATTTGCAAATAAAATCAAGCTCAGTTGTATTGGCTGAAAATGGAGTGAAAATGCGTAAACATATTCTGATTTATCAGAGCCACTTTTTACCTAATGCTTGGGAGAGATTCCAAAGGATAGTAAAGACTGTGGGTCCCAAGATGGCCTACACATGACTTTTGGAGCGAAAATCTCAAATCGTTGAAGTAGTAGAGAAATTGATACAGATGTATGGACAGGCGCACTTGCTGGCAATATATACATACACCATGTGGTAGGAACACAAAAACTACAAGTGTTCAAATTATATTGTGAAACGAACAAAATAGTTTATTCACTATAAAAGATTCGAACATGACTGTATTCACGCCTTCTATAAACTGTAAACAAAGTCAACATTTCACCTGGGATATATTCGCGATCAATACCCCAGTTAATACGTGTAATGTGTGACGTCATAACGGTGGGTCGTAGTAATGTTGGACCATGATGAATATTCGAAACAATTTGGTGAGTTTTCATGTTCGAATCGTAATATAGACCTCAGAGCAGGGGTAACCCCTGCTTTTCGGTCTATATTTCTTAAATAATAACACATACATGTAGGTAGGTCACCTATAAAAAATATCAGAATATGCAAGATACCACAGTATCAATACACATATACTCAAAATCAGTGAATAACAAAAATAAACTTTCATGCATAACATTCAAAAATCAATCTCATATTGGCAATGTTTAATTCAATCAAAGGTTTCTGTAACAACCACATTGTTGCCATTTGTTGCAGATGCCAACTGCTGAATGCCATCCACAAAAAGTTGAAGGCTCTTACAATATATCATTATCTTGTGGTGGTGACATAAAAATAGATAAATTGGAATAAATATATGAATCAGCAATTCATTCTGGGTGGAATAGAAACATAATATGGATGTGTTACACAATAAAACAAAGAAGAGGTACATGGCAGAGAAGTAACAATTACAATACACAGAGTCATGTTCCTTCAAAATGTTGTTGGAACAAGTCAATGATGCCTATTGTATCATGCAAAGGACGATTCTCGGTTTGGAGAACGAAGTTCATCAATCTAAATGAGCATTATCCCTGCTTCGGACAAATTTGATTTTTTCACATAATATAGATTTGAATGTCTTCTTTTGAATAGTCATAATTTAGTTTGGGTAATATTTCTAGATTTTTCGCAAAAAAAATATTAGCGCAGTACACTATTGAACTTCTTTCCCCAAATCGAGACTTGTATTTTATTGAATCGATCTAATTGAGCATTATCCCTGCTTCAGACTAATTTGTTATTTTTACATTTTGTGGATTTAAATGTTCTCTTTTGAATATTCAAAGTTTAATTTGGGTAATATTTCTATATTTTTCATGAAAAAAATTATTACCCAGGAGATTGTTCTCCAAACCGAGAATCGTCCTTTCTATTACTAAAAATGCTCATCATAAATCATTGATTTGGAACATTTGCAATTCAACACATTTTAGCCTTGCAATTGTTAAGTTTGATACAGTGGAACTATTATGTAAGTTGAAAACATTTCCTTCCTCAAAAATGTTCTCCACTCAGTTGGGGTTCCACTTTCAGAATTTAGAGATTCATTTAACATAAATTCTATGGTCATGGGACTCGGGAGTGTTCCACTTAAGGAGGAGTTCCACTGTTTTTACTGTTGTGATATGACGTTAGTTCATATATCATGTTAACAGCTCTATCTTAGAAACTTCTCAAACCACCACTTGTTCTATCCTTGGCTGTATACTCTCTAGTATCTGAGGCAATAGCTCTATATTCTCCCTTATGTTATGGTTTTCAATCCAATCAAGAGAAAATTTCAGCAGATCTAGAGGTGTTATTACATTCATATTGTCTGTTCCTCCTAGACATCTTTGACTGATCCTTTAGGTTCCAGGCTCAAACTTCATGAGAACTTTCAACAATGAGTCAATATCAATAGTATCACCCTTCCTCAGATAGTCCAGTGTGTCGTTGATGGTTCCCTCTGGCAGTTCTAGCTTGTTTACCATGTTGAACTGTTTCACTATGAATGACACTTGATCATATGGCAGAAGCCCTGAAACATATGTACATACGAGATATACTAGTATATATAATGGATATAATACTTCATAAAATTGTGATACACATAAAAGGTAATTAGAAGGGATGGTGTCCAAAGATTTCCTTGTTTTTTGGACATCATCCCTACATAGAAAAACGAACTAGTATATCGTGTTTCATATGAACCAAAGAATTGATATCAATAATTTGCTAATGATTACAAAAGGGTAACAATTTGTTACAGACACTATCAACCAACTGACAAATGTAATCCATTGAATGCAAAATGCTGGTCACAAAAAGAAAATAGCTAAAACACAGAAATGAAGAAAATTGATAAGTTTTTGTTCAAGTTTCTGTCATTAAAATCTTCATTTGAAGAAAAGGGAATGGAAAAAAGAAAATAAGTAGCCAGAATATTACAGCACCAGTCTTGTTCATTATACATCACGATGTATCTGAAGCTAATGACCATTTGGGCCTGGGTGAATCAATACACTTTGGACAATGAAAGATAAAAGAAAAGGCAATAACTTACCATTTCTATCAGTGTCATTTCTATAGAGAACATCTGCAAGGTTCTGGAACCTGTCAAACCAGCCCTCACCCTCTGTGGCAGGCTGTGACTGGTTGTGGTGTTCTGGGCCTTGTTGTTGAAGCTGGTTTGCCCTGGATTTCTACAACACAAAGTACATAAATATGTAAGTGCCAAAATGAGAACAAGGCATTAACATGACAAAATGTCACCACCTAAAACAATTTGGTCAATTTAAAGCAAGTTGGAAAATACCTTTTGACCTTGAGAAGGTCATTGAAGGTCAAAGGTCAAATCTAAAGTCAGATTTGAACTTCTGAGAACTTGTAAAGTCAAATTTGAACTTCTGAAAAGATGTAGATGATTTTGAAAAAAAATTTAGTCAATTTGAAGCAAGTTGAAAACAGACCTTTTTGACCTTTTTTGACCTTGAGAAGGTCATTAAAGGTCAAATGTCAAATCTAAAGTCAGATTTGAATTTCTGAGAACATGTAGATGATTTTGAAAAAAAAATTAGTCAATTTGAAGCAAGTTGAAAAATACATTTTCGACCTTTTTTGACCTTGAGAAGGTCATTGAAGGTCAAATGTCAAATCTAAAGTCATATTTGAATTTCTGAGAACATGTAGATGATTTTGAAAAAAAAATTTAGTCAATTTGAAGCAAGATGAAAAAATACCTTTTTGACCTTTTTTGACATTGTGAAGGTCATTGAAGGTCAAATGTCAAATCTAAAGTCAGATTTGAATTTCTGAGAACATGTAGATGATTTTGAAAAAAAAATTTAGTCAATTTGAAGCAAGTTGAAAAAAAACCTTTTTGACCTTTTTTGACTTTGAGAAGGTCATTGAAGGTCAAATGTCAAATCTAAAGTCAGATTTGAATTTCTGAGAACATGTAGATGATTTTGAAAAAAAAAATTAGTCAATTTGAAGCAAGTTGAAAAAAGACCTTTTTGACCTTTTTTGACTTTGAGAAGGTCATTGAAGGTCAAATGTCAAATCTTAAGTCAAATCTAAAGTCAGATTTGAATTTCTGAGAACACGTAGATGATTTTTAAAAAAATTTTTAGTCAATTTGAAGCAAGTTGAAAACATACCTTTTTGACCTTTTTTGACCTTGAGAAGGTCAAATGTCAAATCTTAAGTCAGATTTGAATTTCTGAGAACACGTAGATGATTTTGAAAAAAAAATTTAGTCAATTTGAAGCAAGTTGAAAACATACCTTTTTGACCTTTTTTGACCTTGAGAAGGTCATTGAAGGTCAAATGTCAAATCTAAAGTCAGATTTGAAGGTCAAATGTCAAATCTAAAGTCAGATTTGAATTTCTGAGAACATGTAGATGATTTTGAAAAAAAATTTAGTCAATGTGAAGCAAGTTGAAAAAAGACCTTTTTGACCTTGAGAAGGTCATTGAAGGTCAAATGTCAAATCTAAAGTCAGATTTGAACTTCTGAGAACATGTAGATGATTTAGAAAAAAATTGAAGTCAGTCTAAACAGTATTTGTTAAGTTATAGGAAGTTGTAAGAAATTGTTACAGACGCCGGACGCCGGACGCCAACCTCCAACCACCAACCACCAACCGCCAACCACCAACCGCCGTCGCAAAAAAAACGGAGACCATAACAATATGTCACCACTTTTGGTGGTGACATAAAAACCCAAGAGCATTAAAAACACAGCAAGATGTAACTGAAAAGTCTAATGAAAGCAAACCCACAATATACCAAAATATGATCTAAACGAAAAAGAAAGAATGTCCAACAAAAACAAACCCCTCTTTCTCGACGATACAATGGACATTTCTTCATTAATACAATACTCCTTTTTCCAGATGCACACATCAGAAGCCAAGAATTTGAATGGATAACTTATTGTAGGTTAGTGTTATGTATATTAGGAATGGTAAGCTTTGTTTACCTGACTTTCTTCTAACTCACGTATCTGTCTCTGTACTTCATCAATACGGTTCTGTTGCTGTAGTTTACTATCTATGTAGTCCAAGGCATCTGGCCTGGCAATACGGGGACTGAGGTATGCATTCGGGTCAATCTCTGCAGGAGGGGCGTATTCCATCTATATTGAAACCGTGAATAAAGAATATAAATAACATGAAGCTTCTTTTGCATTGGGAAGCACACATATACATGTAAGAACAGTTAAACCTCTCTTAGTGAAATGAAAGAGGTGTCTAGTGAACACAGTCTTCAGCACATACTCCATTGATTTCTGTATAAACTGTATCAAATCTCTTCTCTGTCAATGTCTGTACTGAACATCTACCTACAGTGAACACATTTTTGTGGCTGGACAGGCGTTCACTGTACACAGGTTTTACTGTAAAATAATCCTATTTCATGATTATACTCATAAGTGGTATAAACATAATATGTCTTCTTATAACAGAGAATATCAAGAAAGAATATTGATTAATCTTTTTGTAATTTTGACATTCCAAGGAAGAAATAACCTCAAAGAATAATTTATAGAACAAAGTGCATGCACATTCTAATGCTAATCACATCAATCTTTCTGTCTCGCAAGACAGAGATGACATTGCGTTCATTAAGATTTCAACATTCTCACCTGTTTTGTTGTAGTGTATTTATCTGGCTGTGTTTCCTGTGCTTTTGGCTGCCTGTCTCTAGGGGAGGAGTCACCCAGGGGCCAGTTTGCTGAGGGGGCAGGGTAATGCTTCACATACTCTGTGGGCCTCTTGCTAGGGGGAATCCTCAAACCAGTCTCTTGAGGTTGAACACGTTCTAAGAACTTCAAAAACTGCTCCCAGCTGCAAAAATCAAATAGTTCAGGTCATTACGAAACAAATTTTCTTATTTTAAAGCTCACTGCTCTGGGCTGGCAATGCACAAATAAAATTTAAAGGAAGGACTTTTCAATAAACTACATAAAATTTCATCACAGATTTATACAAAGTCTAACTGCAATGCTCTTGTGGTTTCATTTTACTGGTAGGCCTAATTCCATTCATTCCTTAATAATCTCTTTTACCAATATTAACCCACAAACTCACAAACAAAATGTTTGATTGCTTTGATGCATTATAAAGCATGCAGAAAGAGACTGCAATTTTGCTTCTTGGTTCATACACCAGTGAATACAAGTTTTGGTAAATCTGAAAACACTAGACTATTAAATCAGTGAACATGTGATCACTAATTTGTGAAACTGAGTTCTATGAAAATAATGTAAAACATATTGTGATTTTTAATTTTTAGTAAACATGCATGCGTACTAATTACTTCCTAAATACTTAGGTGATAATTCAATAAATGTTGCAATCTGGACAAAACAATAAGTAACTGAACACTATCAACTTATAAACACACAACTCTATAACTTTACTTATAAATGAACACTTACTCATACTGTTTCTGCTGTCTGTTGAACAATATATCAATAGATCTGTATGATCGAAATAACTTCAACTAATTAAAGGTAGAATCAAGAGAAAGCAAGCAAACTTGAGGAAAACAGAGTCTTGTTTAGTTTATTTTTGTCTCATATCATTTCTTGTCATCCCTTGTAAAAAACAAACTTGGCTATTTACATCTATTATTTTGGCCTAAAAGCTTGTTCAGTTTCATACAGAGCATTATTAGATTTCCACATTTCAAATCAACTTCAATTACAATCTCTATTTGATAATATACATGCACCATGATATACCATGACATCTCATTTCTTCTCAGCCCTGAGATGCCATGATATAATAAGCTTGATTTGGCGATCCAAGAGAGCCCAAAATTGAGGATTTTTGAGATCTCTCATCCCAGCTCATATTTCATTTAATTGGGGTCATTAAACTTGTGTACGCGTACCTGTGCTAATATCTGCTGTTAAATACAATGCTTATTATGTAATGTATTGACATTAGGTAAATGATTACATGATAACTATCACACTTATTGACAGTTATAACTCTTCCCATATGATGGGCTCAGATCACAGAATATGCCTCATAATATCAGAGCATGTTTCAGGTGAAACAGAAAGATGCTATGAGTATCAGAATGATATACATGCAGTTTATGATCTTTTTGAGATATTATATTGGGAAATTGTAGGGAATAGGTCGCATTTGTTGGGAAATCAAAAATGCTGCTAGAAATATTGCCATCCAACATACTTGTACACTGTCAAATTAGCAAATAAAATAAGAAAAATTGAATAATAATATAATAAATAAACAATAAAAAAATCCAAAAAATCTTGAGTGATTGATTGGAACCTTACATTATGTTTAACAGAGGTTCACATGCCTCCCTCCATTAGGAGTACAGTACATTGACAATGCTCAATAAGACAATAAACTTACTCATATTGGCCTTGTCCTCTATCATCCACATGGTCCAGGATTTTATTGATGATTGACTCTTGAAGAGGAAGCCTATGGAAGCGACATATTTCCTTAATCTGGAATTAATTTTAATCAAAATAAACATTGTAACTCAACTTAGACGATTTGGTCTGATATTCTTGTGATTTAGCCTCTTACTCAGTTGAAATGGATTGGCACTTTCTGTATTTATCTAAATGACTAAACATTATAATATTCCACAGTACAGTCAAACCTGTAGAGTGGAATACCTACAGAAGTGGAACACCAGCTCTGTTAGAGGATCATTTTTCAGAGTCCCAAGACCTACTGACTTCATGTTAAATGGACCTCTATAAGTGGAACACCTCTCAAGTGGAACACTTTTTAGAGGTAACAAAGGTACAAGACAGGTTTAACTGTATATTTAAATGTCTGTATGGTGAAGCAGATAAATGATGATGCTTCAGAATAAAGTTTACTGTTCAACTTACAGACTGGTGTTGCACTTTTACAAGTTTTACTTTACAGGGATAGGAAATTGCTTTACTTACCTGCATTTCTGAGAGAGTACCTCTGTGGTACTTATCTGTCAATTGGAACGTGAGTCTGACTCTGTCCAGCCTTATTTCATCATCACTGTTCATGAGACATTGTTCTATCATCTTCAGCAGCTTCACATCCTCACGCTGTACCTTGAAGGCACCTAAATGAGGGGGGCTGCAACAGAAAATAACAGTAGAAACACTCTGAGTATTACATAGGAGTTTTAAGTTTTCATACTGAAAAAAACTAGTCTTTAATGTACATTCTTTATAGCCCTTGTGAAATAAACGATGTGAAATGATTAATAACGATAAAATATTATCAACTGAACTTCATAGACAAAGTTGAACTCTAGTAAAGTGTAGTGTATAACCAAGCTTAAATATACAATGTACATGTATTCAATTTTCAATGCATTCTCCAAAAGGAGACGCTGCACATAACTCACCTTGCACCATCCGCCTGTGTTATAGGGTTGCTGTAATAGTTGCCACTCTGTTGACTTGACCCTCTCCTGTAGTTGGGCTGTGCATTCTCTGTGATGTCACGCTCGACCTTTCGCTCTGGGTCAAACCCATAGGGTGGTAGCACAATCTTTGAATCACTTTAAAGGGAGACAATGTGTTAAGATTCAATATTTCATTATGAATATTTTTTCAAAATGTATAAACAAAGTAGGCTTATATTCCAGTTCAGAATACTTATAAATTAGGCTTTTTCAAAACTAATCTGCAACTTAAAGGATTTTCAACCTCTATATTAACACTCAATGAATATTATATCATTGGGCAAAATGTAATTTTTTATACAATCAACAAATCATCACGTGAATGTCTAATAATACTGACAACATATTTTTCTTAATATTAGATTGATATTTACCCTCTCTTGGGGTCAACATGTGAAGTTTCCTCTGTGGATCTCTTCATTGCTGCACTCATAAATGCCAAGATTTTCTCATAGTTGACCATATTTGGGTTCATATCAGAGATAAATTGTGCACACATCAATCTAAGGCTTTCTGGCTGCACATATGCCTGGAATGCATGGAAGAGTTAAATTTTTAGGATTTAAAAAATTCAAAATAAATATTTGCTTATAGTAGACTATGTTGTTATCTATTCCACCTTACTGCATTCAAGGATCGTATTAATCTATTCCTTTTTATCCCACCTGTAGTATAATTCCCTCTTTGTTAAACTACAAACAAGTAAAGATCAACTCTTTGATACAAAGTGAAATGTAATAAAGTTACAACATTTTGCCATCTATGAAATGAGTTTATATTCATCTGATGCAACTTCTGAAAGGAGTGGAGATTATAACATAGCAGCCGGATTACATGCAGAGTCACTAATAATATCAAATCTTATATCTATCATAAAAATGTGCAATGCACATTAATATGACACAAAAGCAAATGAGGCATTGATATTACAAAATTTTGATAAAACATACCTGACTTTTAATCAATGTGAAGCACAAATCCTTGTAAGTAATATATCCACTCAAATCTTTATCAAATCCTGAGAAGTCAATATACATGTCCTTTAACTTTCTTGGATCAAATGACTCTAAATCTTTTTTAATCCTTTGCAAGAGTTCCAATTCATCTTGTTTACTCAGAGCTATTGACTTAGAAGGTAGTTGATCTGCGCCCAGTAGATTCCTATCATATAGTTCATCTTTGGTGTGATCATTTTCATTTATATTATTGCTGGTTTGCCTTGGCTGGGTGTTGTGTGTATCTGGGCTAGGGATGGGGGGCAAAGGGGAGTAGGGGTTTATATTTTTTGGCATGGGAGACTCCCCTCCTGCTTGGCTTTCCTGAAAGTATAAAGGAATACATATGAGTAAGCCTAGAGACCTGAATGATATTTCAATGTTGTTCCAAAGTTATTACATGTACACTATACTTACATTTTAGATTGCCCCTCCCCCCTTCTTCCAAAGAATCAATTTAATATACAAATTTAAAGTCACTTCCTTTTTAAAATGGACTATGTCTTTGGATGAACATTGATATATTGATCTTGTACTGAATGATTTTTAATATAGGCCTACAGGAAAATGGCACCATTCGGAAACTGGAACAAATTGGATAAATTACAAACATGGAACCCTGTAACATAGATATGACCACTCATACAAATTGTTTACATGACAGGACAAACTGACTGATTCTAAAAAACCATTTTACAAAATAATAAGAATTCAATGACTTTAAGATAAGGGGTAATCTCAAAACATACCTGTATGCTATATGACCTCTTCTGGGGATCATCAAAAGGATTAGGGTCATACCTTTTCTTTTGAGAGGTCCCCTGGGGAGACCCTGGGGACCCACTTAAGGGACTTAGTTCAGCAGCATCTTTTAATTGTTGTCTCCTGGAATAGAATGATTCCTTAATGTTGATGCTAAAATACCCAAAATTAAAAATTGATCGTCTATCAATCATGTAAGAACTGATTGCTACTTCAGGGTAATTATCTATTTTAATATTGAGTCTTATTGTATTTAACACTGAAAACACACTGGTTACCTTTGCTTCTCTGGGAAAGTCTCTGGCACTAAGACCTTTTTACCACCAATAATTTTGACTCGAACATTGGTTGGGGTGTCTGTAGTTCCAAAAGGTGCATTCTTAGCTACAAAATGATCTTCTATTAGATGGTCATTGATGTCTCTAATCTCCTGAAAATTCAGATACACAATAAAAATGGTGATAATTTAGCAGTGGATGAGCATAATATATGAACTTGTAGCATAACATCTGTGAAATGATTAGAAATTGTTTCTCATTGAGGCTCTGGGTGGCAGCTGGACACAATCTGTAGATTCATAATTTAGTGGCAGGACACAAATTGTAGTTTCATATTTGATGTACAATATTAGATCAAAATGTAATAAAATAAGAACAATCCTTATAGACTATTAGTATATAATGCTTGAAATCTTCATTGCAATATATACCCACCCTTGGTCCTGATTTTGGCATAGTGTGTTAGTAGAAGTGATGTAAAATCATTGCAACCCCCAGTACATTCACCGTATTGTATTTTGCATTCAGTTGTTAATTAGGCCTGTCTGCTTTTCTCTCATCTTCTGTTTATGGTTGCTGAAATCCTTAAATTTAAAGCAATTTTTTCATTGATTCAGTTTAGAAAAACTTCCTGCTAAAGACAAAATTGTATGCACTGTCCAATTAGTAACTTGGCAAATAAGCAGAAATACTGTTATATGAAAGTCAAAACAATAGGCTACTGCAGATAGGGCTGAAACCAATTCTCATACCGAGTATTCGGCCAGCTAATACTGTTCTTCTTTGAATATTTGCTCTAAAACTGGATGTAAATAATTATGATTTATTAGCAATGCCAAGTTTAAACAGATTTGAACAATCAAAGATCAGCAGATCTTAGGCAATATATCGCATATACTGTACTTATGGGCTCTAGTGGAATGGATACTGGAAGACTCTAGCAGTATGTGATTACATAATCTACAGTATATATGAGTTGGCTTATGAGTTTAATGTTCTAAATACAACGGTTTTATAGAAGCGGGAAAGAGTGTGAATCAAAATAATTCTAGTTACATGCGCAATGGTCAATGTATTTTTGAATAACCCAAACTGAACTGTCTATCACTGGAGAATTTCACACACCTGATACCAAAAATACTAATAGAGAATTTGGAAAGCATGCAAGGAATAATAACGGAAGACTGTATTATTTGCCCCCCCCCCCCCCCTTATTTGACTGCTATAAAGTTGTTGTCGGTGTCATTGCACAGGCCCGTAACCTAAAGCGACTCCACCCCCCAGCCAAAAATTCTTTCAAAATTATGCGGTTTTTCAACATTTTGAGCACTTTTTGCATGATTTTTTGCCAAAACTTTCAAAAAGCTCTCCATCTCTCCCGGCCTTGGCAAAAGCTCCCCCTTGGTAAAACTGCCCCCTCCCAGGTCGATAAATCTAGTTGACGAGAAGTCAGTCTGAATATATTCAGCCTAAATAGGATATAGTCTAGGTACATTCTGGCTACGGGCCTGTTGAATCTGCATCAGTGCATGACCTTTTTCGAAAAAAAATAAAATTTGGAAATTCAAACGTAGGATTGGCGATTCAGCTTCTGTTTTGGGCTAAACAAGATTACTTTCATTGCAGCATATTAAAACACATCCCGAGGTCATATGCTAAAACGAAAATATACACTTACATACTTTGAATTATCTAATTACGAGAAAAAGCGAAATTCCCACTGTTTTTATGTTGCCTGACGATTCAATATCCGGGTAGTTCCTTTTCTGCCATCTATTGGGGAAAATACAAATTTGTAGGGACCTGTCATTTTCTTCAAATTTTCTAAAAACTTATGTGACGGGTCTGAAAATTCAAAAAGGGTGAAAATATGTTTTATTCTCAATATATCACGCCCGGTAATCGAAGAAAATGAACGGAGACAGCATAAGTTCCCACACGTTAAACCGAAGTTAATTAAAATAACGGAGGGGACACGAGGGGAGTGAACGGAGGGGGAGGTAGGTTAATATAAATATGTCTTAAAGGTGGAAAAAATTTACGCGAAATTCGTGTATTTGAAAAATGAACTCAGTAACAACTGGGTGTTACAACTCTGAAAAGTGAACAACAGGGACCTTTGGAGTTGTTTGGATAAAGTCAACTTACATAGCTTATCCGCTGTGTGAAGGGAATGATTTTCAATGCCAGTAAATTTTCAAGTACGAATCAAAATTTAATTAGAAAGACGACTATTTACAATAGAGCCCCGGCCCAATAAAAAAAATTCATGCTCGTGGGAACTTACGTTTTAAACAGTATACGTCGCGAGGGTGATACACCTGTGTGTAAAACCGGCGTGTGCTTTGGGAGCTTAATGAGAATGAGACTGTTAAACATTTTTTACTCACTAATATCCAGCTTTTTCTGAAGTAAGGGTTCCGATTAACATTGTATTTGTAACAAGCATCTTTAATGTTCAAGATGACAATTTAATTCTCAAGTCAATACTAGGTATCGTGTGTTGTGATTATAAGAAGCTATTAGAAATATCACAGTGCGCTTATATAATGCACAAGCTGATCAAATCATTACTCTTAATAATTTTGTGATCCTTTCCACTCATTAATCATTTTATTTAAAATATGGATGTAACTCTCTTTACAGAGGCAAATAAAGTATACATACATAATAGTAGTATACGGCGGGCCTTTCGACCTACAACCTGCACCTGCACCATACACCATGGTGCACCGGAAGTGCACCGGAAGTGACGTCATAGATCACATTGTAAGATGGTGCACCGGAAGTGACTGCACCGGAAGTGGAAGTGACGACATAGGTCACATGGTTACTGATATAACTGGTCAAGGTTACTGATAAGAGAGAGATAATAAACTGATATCACACTGAAAAAGATGGTCAAAGGTTACTGATAATTGATAAGAGAGAGGTAATAAACTGATAAGACAGTGAAAAAGATGGCCAAAGGTTACTGATAATTGATAAGAGAGAGATAATAAACTGATAAGACAGTGAAAAGATAACTACCATGGTTTCTGATATAACTGGACAAAGGTTATATTGATAAAAGAACATAGGTTTGAGTTGAATGCACAGAAATGATGTCATACGTCACATGGTTACTGATATAACTGGTCAAAGGTTACTGTTAACTGATAAGAGGGAGCTCAATTGATAAGATAATCAAACAAACACTGTTAAGGTAACCTGGTGACTATGTGATAAGCTATCTATCCACTTCATGGATGTTTCATGGTTATAGACCAAAGGTGGATAACAAACTGATTAAACAGTAAAAAAGATAACTGCAGAACCATTTCAGCCAAACAGATTTTAACTTGCAGAATTATGTTAACCAATCAGAGTACAGTATATTTGAATCAATCAGGTTTCGAGATGCAGAATCATTTTAACCAATCAGGAAACAGTATGTATGGACTGTTTGAACCAATCGGGGGACAGTATATTTTCATCCAATCAGAAAACAGCAAAATCAACCAATGAGAGAAATGTTCCAACAATCAGATTATGACTTGCAGAATTATTTTAACCAAACATAGTACATTATGGTAGAAATTTGACAAATTAGAGATATGTTCCACCACTAAACCAGTTCAGACCCGTATCAAAGTATCAAAATTATAAATGCCAGTTCAGACCCGTATTGAAGTTTTATAACCAAAAAGTCTCCTGAGTTATTTAAGAATATTTTTTAAATTGTCATTGTTGATCAATTTCTGCTTATTTTTTCACCAAACAGTCACTTGTTTCTTATTTCCGAGTCATTTTAGAATATTTTTCCAATCTTCACGCTTGAGTAATTTTTGCTTATTTCTTGAGTTTGAGGTATTTAATCACCAAATGGACACTGTATTCTTACTCCCGATACATTTAAGAGCATTTTTACAATTTTTACGCTTGAGTGATTTTTGGTGATTCCTGGAGTTTGAGGCATTCTTTTACCAAATGATCACTTGATTCTTACTCCTGGGTCATTTTAAAGTATTTTTTAAGTGTCACGTTTGGGCGATTTCAGTAACTGTTGATCGATTTCTGCTAATTTTTGGAGTTTAAGGCATTTTCACAAAATAGACACCCACCCACTATACAAAATAACACCCTTTAATAGGCATCTGTTAATTTAACATGCCACTGATAAAAATATAAACCCCTACAAAATAAATAAAAAATGCTAACGTTAACAGTTTTACAGCAGAACATTTTCGACCAATCAAAGTGTATATGCAAATGAGCTGCAGAAGCATTTCAATCAATCAGATCAGATTTTTGCACTCTTTGACCCCACCGCCGCCGCCACCGCCGCCGCCACCACCGCCACCGCCGCCGCCGCCGCCGCCACCGCCGCCACTATCAACAACAACCCAACAATAACAGTAAAATGCATTTTAGTGCTTTAGTTGTTTATTTAATATACATATTGTCATTTATACAAATTATTTCATAGTCCATTGTTAATGATCACTGTCTGCGTTGGCGTTTTCCAGGTGGGCCAGAATAAACCATAACATCCCTCTTTTTCTTAGGTTTCTTAAAAAGTCTATTCATCACATTTCCATTATAGGTGTGGTCAAAGGAATCATTGTCACTCATTTGTCTGTAAACTCTCTTTGATGGCCGATCCCGTTCAGCCATTTCTTTCTGCTGCTTGTCAATTTCTGCCTTTGCTCTCTGATAAACAGCTTCAGTGGGACTGACGTGTTGAACAATTGGTTCGCGGACTGATGACACTGGTATCCCCTTGAGTTTTCCTCGCTTACCATAACCAGCATGTTCGATGACTCTGCTTTCTACCTGGGCTCGTATAAACTTCTTCCACACTTCTGGGTCATCCACATAAGGCACTATCTTAGGCATTGTTGCTTCCTCCGTTTCTCTCAAACTTCTGATGCCCATGACTAAGGTTTCTCTTTATATTCTCATCGTAGTGACGAAAAGGGTCTACCAAACGTTCATTCACAAAATCTCACTACGTTCTTCTTCCATCTCACCAGATGTATCTTCTGAATCATATCCGTCAATAGACTCCTCATCGTTAAACATTTCATCAGCTATATAAGAATATTTGGCCAAAGTTTTTCTGATAGCTCTCGACAGAGACATGTCTTGATCAACTAAGAATTCAATTTCTTCTACTATTTCTCGATGTACATCGGCATCTTTGACTTCAATAAATAACCTCAGAATTTCACCATAGTCATTTAAAAACTCAGATTTTGCTTTGGGATAAAGTTTTGCTTTGAGCTTTTGAGTAATTTCCTTCTCTGGTAATTCCCTGGTAGTGTATTTTTCATACAAAGTGTCAGCTTCTTTTTTCAATACATCCAACACGTTCTGCTTCAGAGTAGAAAATGTATAATTTTCCTTCAAATTTTCAGCATGGGGTTCATTTTTACCAGAGTCTTCATATTGGCAATATTTTTGATGTATGTCTGCATGTTTTGTGGTAATCAACACTGTTCCACAGTCTTTACAATGGGGGAGATGTAAAACGGAGGGGTTTCTTAGAGTAACATCATCCATTGGACCTGGATACGTAGCATCCATCTGAGTTGGTTGAACAATGGTATTTGGTCGGAATTCCGACATATCTTGCCTCTGTTGAGCAGGGGAGCTCCCTGCCGTGTTATAAAAATGTTGAAATGATGTATATGGAACACTTTCTGCAACTTGCTGCAATGCATTAGGCTTAAGCCTCGAACCATCTTCAGTTTCTTGCTTCAGATCCACCACTAAGTAACCAAATGGATTTTCCGTAGCTTGTCTGTAAATGTCAAGTAAAGTATGTGTCTTTCGAGGATACATTTGAGATGCCAAAACACTTATCTGTCTTTGATCCCTCGGGTTCTTGAATAGAACCAAGTAATGGCTGTTTAAGCTCATTGTTCTGCTTTCTCCATTGGGTGGGAAAATATTTTGTTGTAACGTGATAATGGATATATTTTTGTGATGAGAACCCGCTGTGTATAGCAATGTAACTGCCTTGTTAAGGTCCGCCATGAGATCATCTATCACAACCAAATTGGTCACATTTCCATCGAAGTAATCGGGCTTCATCAAGTCATCGCAAAGTCCCATAACAAACTCGATATGAGGCTGTTTTCTCTTTATTTCTGCATACAAAGGCTGCCATTGTTTGAAGAACCATACTATTCTTTGTGGTGGTGGATTGATTAATTGTTCGGCTCTATCAATAAGGTCGACAACATAGGTTGTCTTTCCACATCCAGTAGGACCTGCAACAATTTTAGTAAATGGATGCCTGAACTGTATAGGTGAGTCGAGATCGAAGTTAGTCTCATCTTTTTTGTGAATGTTTCTCATATGTCTCAGAAGAATATCCTTCCTGGCAAATGTGCCAGAACACACAGAGCAAATATAATCCATGTTGCCACGTAGATGAGGTTGCGCTGAATGAATGAATCAAGCCTGCTTTTCACTTATATAGTTTTAATACATCCCTCTGTTGAATAAAATATGATAAAGGCACAAAAGGTGGCGGCGGGGGTGGCGGTGGTGGCGGCGGCGGTGGCGGCGGCGGCGGTGGCGGTGGCGGCGGCGGCGGCGGTGGTGGCGGTGGCGGCGGCGGCGGGGTCAAAGAGTGCAAAAATCTGATCTGATTGATTGAAATGCTTCTGCAGCTCATTTGCATATACACTTTGATTGGTCGAAAATGTTCTGCTGTAAAACTGTTAACGTTAGCATTTTTTATTTATTTTGTAGGGGTTTATATTTTTATCAGTGGCATGTTAAATTAACAGATGCCTATTAAAGGGTGTTATTTTGTATAGTGGGTGGGTGTCTATTTTGTGAAAATGCCTTAAACTCCAAAAATTAGCAGAAATCGATCAACAGTTACTGAAATCGCCCAAACGTGACACTTAAAAAATACTTTAAAATGACCCAGGAGTAAGAATCAAGTGATCATTTGGTAAAAGAATGCCTCAAACTCCAGGAATCACCAAAAATCACTCAAGCGTAAAAATTGTAAAAATGCTCTTAAATGTATCGGGAGTAAGAATACAGTGTCCATTTGGTGATTAAATACCTCAAACTCAAGAAATAAGCAAAAATTACTCAAGCGTGAAGATTGGAAAAATATTCTAAAATGACTCGGAAATAAGAAACAAGTGACTGTTTGGTGAAAAAATAAGCAGAAATTGATCAACAATGACAATTTAAAAAATATTCTTAAATAACTCAGGAGACTTTTTGGTTATAAAACTTCAATACGGGTCTGAACTGGCATTTATAATTTTGATACTTTGATACGGGTCTGAACTGGTTTAGTGGTGGAACATATCTCTAATTTGTCAAATTTCTACCATAATGTACTATGTTTGGTTAAAATAATTCTGCAAGTCATAATCTGATTGTTGGAACATTTCTCTCATTGGTTGATTTTGCTGTTTTCTGATTGGATGAAAATATACTGTCCCCCGATTGGTTCAAACAGTCCATACATACTGTTTCCTGATTGGTTAAAATGATTCTGCATCTCGAAACCTGATTGATTCAAATATACTGTACTCTGATTGGTTAACATAATTCTGCAAGTTAAAATCTGTTTGGCTGAAATGGTTCTGCAGTTATCTTTTTTACTGTTTAATCAGTTTGTTATCCACCTTTGGTCTATAACCATGAAACATCCATGAAGTGGATAGATAGCTTATCACATAGTCACCAGGTTACCTTAACAGTGTTTGTTTGATTATCTTATCAATTGAGCTCTCTCTTATCAGTTAACAGTAACCTTTGACCAGTTATATCAGTAACCATGTGACGTATGACATCATTTCTGTGCATTCAACTCAAACCTATGTTCTTTTATCAATATAACCTTTGTCCAGTTATATCAGAAACCATGGTAGTTATCTTTTCACTGTCTTATCAGTTTATTATCTCTCTCTTATCAATTATCAGTAACCTTTGGCCATCTTTTTCACTGTCTTATCAGTTTATTACCTCTCTCTTATCAATTATCAGTAACCTTTGACCATCTTTTTCAGTGTGATATCAGTTTATTATCTCTCTCTTATCAGTAACCTTGACCAGTTATATCAGTAACCATGTGACCTATGTCGTCACTTCCACTTCCGGTGCAGTCACTTCCGGTGCACCATCTTACCATGTGATCTATGACGTCACTTCCGGTGCACCACTTCCGGTGCACCATGGTGTATGGTGCAGGTGCAGGTTGTAGGTCGAAAGGCCCGCCGTATACTACTCATAATGTCTCATAGACACATTACTCCCCCTCTTCGTTCAATTTAATTGTTTTCGATTATTTTTTATATAACGTATGGTAACGTATTTTACAAAACCAACGATGACAATAGTTTTGTGATGATAACGTCTCTTGAAAAAAATTAATCTTCCAGGTTTGTTGAATTTTCTAGCGAAAATACTATTTGTCTCAGGGTTTGAATGTACCAATAGAAATGGGAACGTGTTGTTAACAACATCAGAACGTAATTCTGTTGGATACAAAGTAGTGTTTTCATGAACAACATAAAAATTTGATTAGAAAATAAAAAACGATAAAAAAGTTAAATGAGTTATAATTGGTCCCTAGTACTGTATCTCTTTGACATTCATTTCATCTAAATAAAGCCCTTTTTGCTCTTGAATAAAAAATATAAAGCATATTAATCGAAAGACGCCAATCGACTCTCAACTCAAGCGAAATAAATTGGATGCACATGTGCATAACTAAAGCATCTGTCCCATTTCATAAAATTATTCAATATAACAATCAAAACCAAGCATCTCTTGAAAGGGAGAGATGGACGTTTATTTCATGGTAATTCTTCGATTTTTAATTTTAGTGTATCTGGCAAAGGGGAAGTCCGATCCTTTTTTTAATTCTAATTAATCTGGACTTTTTGCATGTTAAATAACAGTTATATTAATCTCCGATCGGATATCTTATTTCTTTATTCACAAAATAAAATATACAATTATACATTGGCATGCTAAAAATAGCTACCAAGGTATTTATATCAATTATGAATGAACTTTATCATACCACGTTAAACTTTACGTCTTAACTTTTTATGATGTTCTTTTTATGATTTTAGGTTTTTAACTCCATCACTTCAAATCCAATATGTCAATATTTGCAGTTAGTGATAGTTATACAGGAAAGTTAAAACGTAAACTATCTTTAGATTTGGAATATGTTGAAGAAAGCAAAAAACAATCAGAAATATTCAAAAAATTTATTTTATGTCCATGGCACAATGGGCACGATTTTGACGAGTGTTTATCGAATACACAGAATGGTGGCATTGGATTTGAAGAGAACTGATTAAATAAGATGTCATTGTTATGCCGCCTTGTGATAAAAGGCTATTTATGATAAAGCTCAAGAATAAAGTCCACAGTAATGCTAAATAGGGATTAGTCTACAAAAGATTTTATGAGATTCTAGCGAACTTGTAAAAACACTAATCCACTGAATATGAGGTTATCCGAGCAACCATTCTAAACAACAAGTAATAAGAGGCCAAAAGGAACATGGCGAATACTATCACAGGATGAATATACAACCCAAAAGATGAACATGTAAACATACACCATCTTAAACAACAGCAATAAAAAATTGAAGTATGTATGAAGGATTTGGACATGCCCCTAGAGGGGTTACCAGGAGAAGTGGTAGAATAGCGAACCAAACGTCTAGATTGTCCGCCTCGGAAGAGTTCGCCACGAAGTTCAGACAAAGGCCAACGACACAACCACGGGTGATAGGGTTTGACAATCTCAGTATGAGGCCCCCAGAGAAAGTGTTAGTGAGAGGCGTATATGGATTCTTTCCACCCGTGAAGTTAAGAAATGGAAGTGGTACCAGCAGTAAAACGTCTCTTTCAAGTAGACGTTCACAGGATATCCAATTGGTATATGTTCGATTTCATTTTTCATCCTGTTTTAATTTCCATTTTCATAACGTTTAAGTACATGTAGCAAGACTGTGATTTTAATCTGAAAAAACGTGTAACGAAGTCCTATAATGAGGGAACGACAATACGTTGTACCAGAGTTCAGACGAAAACGTACGGACGCACGGCCATTTGCTATTTATAATAAAAATATTGCTATCGAAATGAATGTGGATAGTTAGATAAGTAAATGCAACTATATCTTAAGAATAGGCCAAGATATAATATAATACTATAGTATCAATCACTTTGCTTTTGATGTTGCAGGAAGGTCCCTCAATGGAGCTAGTTCCGCAAGAAACACAATCCCTCCCAGCCCCCTCAGTGGCATCCAGGTCAAAGTCAGGTAAATCTCGCAAGTCTTCAAAATCTGCAGACGCTGGCCTAACTCACGAACCAACGGTTGTGTCTCCCCGTATGCGAGATAACGAGGACGACAAAGACAATAAAGAGCCAGCACAATCATCCATTCCTCACCTACCTCCAACCCCTGCTGCTGATCAAACTGCCAAAAGAGTTTATCCAAATATTGTGGATCCTGTTAATAAACCATTCTCAGACTTAAGTTTTCTACCAAGGCCCAAGAAAATGACAAATCGGAATAATTCTCCTTGGGTGTACAGGTTTAAGATTAAAAAAGGAATGAATCAGCTTACAAAACTCATGAGTAGTAAAACACCAGGGATGATGACTGTGACGAATAGCACTACGCCAAGAACACCTAGAACACCAAGGACAGGAAAATCTGAAACTTGAACATGACTGGAACATGTAAAAATGGCAGAAACAAAAGCCCCGCTTGTGATATTATGGTGCAAATAACTTGGATTATATAAATATCAGACTAGAAAATTAGTTTAAACATTTCTTGTTTGTTATGCTGTTAAAATGTTGTCACAAGTCCAATTTGTAAACTGCTTGAACATTTCTAGAAAATCAAGTGGGATAAATGAAACTTAGCTTGTTCTAACATTTTTTTCAAAGTGGAATACACGTTCATTTTTCAAAAATAGATTTACAAAATAGAACAAATGATACCTTTCTAGTTATCAAAGTAAGACAAATGAACATTGTTTAAACATTATTTCAATTGGAAATGTTCAGTCTTAATAGTGGTTTTAATTGAAGTATTGTTCAAACAGTTTCAAAAGAAGGACATGTGAGAACTGTTCAGGTTTTGTAAATGGAATCAACTTTTCAACAATTTCCAAAGTTGGGCAAATGAGAATTGTTCAGTTCACGGTTCAGTTTAAAAAGTTGAAAAGAGGTTTCATTGCTTCTTTGTTCCACTTTGGAGACTGTTTGAACATTTCTAATTTATTATATAGTTCATCAACTTATCAATCTTATATTTTAATCATGTTGAAAACAAAACACTAATTGGATATTTCCCTGGTTTTGCAGAGTAAATGTAAAATCCTAAACACAATCGATATACATGTCGTGATACAAAATTCGAATTCAAACAGTCGCCATTTTGTTCACCTCAACATTTGAATCGTGAATTTTGGTCTTATTTCCTAACGAAAAATTCCAAAACTCACAAGAAATGATCGAGATTGGTTGGAATCTTTTGAACTGTTTATTTTGAATTAATAGTCGGTTATAATATCAGAAAATAACAACATTTTTACGTTTTCATTGTTAGAAAATATCGAGTTTCGATCCTGGGAGCCAATCATTGAACTTTTCAAAATGCCGTTGTACTATCTAGAATGTGCTTTTTCAAATATAATAGGATGTATTTAGATCTTACTAGAAGAATGGCATTGGTAAAAGGACTCTATGTCTTGGTCTACTCTTACTAGGCTAAGTGGAACTGTTATCTGTTTGTATTGTCCGTCTACAAACTACAGTATTATAATAACCTGAATTATAAGGTGAAGATAGCTTAATGTATAAACCATGTAAACAATAATCTAGAGATAATAAACAAAATTGTAATGTAAACAACAATTACAAACACGTTTATTTTTTGTACATATGTAACTAGAATTCATAGGAAATAAATGAATTAATAAATGTAACATATTTGTTCAATGTTAAATTGATGAATCAAAATCAAACTGGTCTGAGTTTAAAATACAAAATTTTATAGACATACAATTCAATAATTTCAACTGAATGTTGTGTCTACAATTCTGAAAGGTGATTATTTAAAGTACTTGTCAACATGAAATACTATACTCCTGATAATACATGTATTTGCTAATATTTCACTATACCTCCGATTCATATATATTTTGTAATTTTCATAGTCAAGAAAAAACAACAAAACATGTCTCAAGCAATAGGCCCAGTACAGTAAGACCTTCATATACAATTCAGAATTTGGCACTTTTCAATTTGGCAAGTTCACTTTTATCTAGGTGTTAACAATAATTTAATTTAGCAAATAGGCCTACTTGTGAAAATCCCTTAAAAATACCATTAGTGACTGCTACATTGAGTAACAGTGTGAAGGTGTTCTGAGGAAGATTTCCATTGGCCACATGGTAGAGAACTGGTGAATTGCCAAATTAGGCACAAAATAAAACAACTGACTGTAACAACAAGTAACTGCTTTTTCTATAAAAATTATTGCTTTAACATTTGTTAAGTGTATAATATTACATTGGTGAATCAAATGCACAAGGGAATTTAAATTAAACAAATTATAACAATTTTTTTCAGATTGATACACCTAGTACCAAATATTTGCATAATATGTTCAAATTAATGTTCTAACAAGATCCACAATTAATTAAGTAGACTTTGATACTAGCCTATAACATCAATTGAATTCTAGATTATTTAAATGTTCACTACAGTGAATCAAATTTTCTGCAATTTTTCTTAATTTTCTAACTTATACAAGTATGTCGGATACAATGTCTAAATAGATATACAATAAATAGCTATCTAGTATCTGAGGTATTTAACAGTAACAGCACAATGTATTTCAAAAAGTTTATAGATTCAGGTGCAACAATTTTATTTGAACACCCTGTATATTTCATCATGTCTCATGATAAATGTACTTTCGTTTATTTACTTTCACATTTAGTATTGAACATTGCAGGTATATGTAACATATTATACACCAAATACAGTATATGCATTTATAAAAATTATAAATTTAGGTCAGTGCAAATAAATTCATCTAAAGTGTTTAACATTCCATTCTGCAATTAGCTTATTTTGAATGTCGAGATTGAGCAATTAAGGGAATGTTTTCTTTTTATAAAATATCGAAGTATGCTGAAGGGATGAGATGAGTACTTTTTAATTTCAAAAAGGTGCAGAAAAAGCTACGATAAGGTTTGTAAATATATGCATGAGAGAATGTTAGACACTTTATTTATCTACTTTTAAGAGGTGTATGTGAGTAATGCACAATGGCATAAATAACAAGAACAGTGTACATTTGAGAGAGTGCAAATTTAAGCCACCAGTCATGCAAACATTTGTTGCGTGTGTATTGCGTAACACCTTTGCTAGTTAAGCGCTATTTCAACTGCAGGGTAACAACCCACACACACTCTCAAACTTAATAAGTGACATCCATGAGATGGAATGGAAGTAATAAAAATTGGCATTAGAGACATTTACCAAATCTGTAATAATATTCATATTGCTGATTTAAAAGGGCTCGGTTTCATGTTTTCTTTTCATCAGTGTCATCTGCAGCTTTGTCTTTATCTTTCATATCTTCAGTTTTATTAGTATCATTGGACTCAGAGACTTTATTTCCATTTGAATCTTTAGCATTTGGGCTTTTTGGTTCATCGTCATCTGTTACAGGAGTAGCATCTTTAGAGATATTGTTATGTATATTACTAATGTCAAGCATTTCACGAAGTCCTTCATTTTCAATTTCAAGTTTTTGTATTTTTTCTAATTGAGATGCACCATGAGCATCATCGATAGCTACAGCCTTTTGCATAACTGCGGCCATTTCATAGATTTTGTCAATTTTTTCAAGCATTTGGTTGTTATCTTCAACACTTCCTGTTGGGCTTTTAGCTTGGTCCTGTTTGTTTGCCATGACTAGTTTAAGAATTTGTTCCCTGTATTTTGACATGACAAGTTCGAGTGCAGACTGGTGTTCCTCAAGGGAAAGACGGAGCTCCTTGTTCTCATGTTGGAGTTCACGGATTTGGCGATTTTCTTGTGCAATACCTGGAGAGTCAATGTTACAGTTTTAATTCAAATATAAAAAGTGCATGAAGTATTAAATCGTAACTGACTTTTAACAAATATAACCAGTCCATATTAATTTCAAACGTACTGTAAATAAATCGTATTAACTCTATTACTTAATTATTCCATAGTATGACATTTCACACTCTTTAATCAAGTAAGTCTTGTATGATATCTTGTAAGCTGCAGACACATGTCACACACTCTCACATTGAACAATTAATACAAGAATTTCAATTTATCTGTAAATTGGACGTCATCTCAAACCCGAAGCAGTAGAAATTAGATTGAATTTTTAATTAGGCATTCAGACAATGATTTGTAGTTGCTTCAAAAATATTGTAGGAAGAATTCAAATTGCTGAGAGTGGATGTAACATGGGGCATAGACATATAAAATATAAAGGATATTGGGCCACTGTATTGGAGTCATTGCGCCTACGCTGACATAAAAATGAGAGCCAATTGTCTAATATATAAATTATTAATAAAATCATAGATAAAAAAATGTGACAAACCTAACACAAGGGTGGATCGAGGTCTATGCCTAGCCACCTGATTCAATTGTTGAATCTCCTCTTCATAAGTTCTCATAGCATCTATCCGTTTATTCAATGTGTGGGCCTGAGAAATCAGTGTGTCAGCTGAGTTGTCGTGGTCCTTCAGCCTGTCCACCAACATCTTAGCATCACACAACACTTTCTGTATTGTTAGTGACATCTGGAATTTGAAGGGAAAATTAAATCTCTTTTTCCAAGGTATCATATTTGAAATCAGGGCAAAGATACCAAATTTTGACACGGTTACTTTATTTTTGAGTAACAATTAAATCACGCCCAGTGATCGTACAAAATGGATGGAGGGGGGATTAGGCGATTTCTGCAAGAAAACTCAATAAATCTGGAAGAGAAGATTTACAACTGAATTGCCATACGAGTGCACTAATGTACCTAAAAAAATATTTTTTTCACTGAATTTTCTTGTTTTTTATACATTTTATCTAAACATTCTTCTCTACATTCTAGGTACCTTAGTGCATGTATGTTGTGCAAAGGTGAGAGATGTAGAAATTGTGGGGAAGGAGTGATTTAAATTTGAAAAATAACATGTTACCCTATTGAGGGTTGCAGCAAAATTCCGAACATCACGCATTTGCTTCAAACTTTCATACTGGTCATTAGAAACATGGTGAATATCATGTCACTTGCTTATTTTTAAGGTCAAAGTTGTCATTACTGTCATAGAACAAAAGTGGACGACTGTAGGCCTAAAACAGTCTCACTTGCTCTCCTCTCTCAGGTCATAAATTTCATGAAATTCAAATGCAAGTATAGATGATCTCTACAAAGCTGGAGTAACAAGTAATATGACTGCTTCATTTATGACAGTTAGATTCGTGTAAGAACAGAAATACGTCAAAAATAGTGGAGGAAATAAAAAATACTTACTTTTCCAAAATTTGTGAAATTTTAATTTTATATGTCGGACTGAAGAAATTTTATTCAATCATTGGTCAGAGCTATGACTCACCAGATATATTGTATATGCTTAATGTTGACTAAGGCATTAATGTTGCCTATTAAAGAGGATTTATTTCTAGAAATTATTGGTTCAATTGAAATCTTGTAAACATATGTATTTTGATCAAATAATAAGATAAACATTATTTTATTATTCAAACTAGCATGTGCCGTTTCATGGATAGACCTATTTCTACAGCTGATAAGTTGCACTTTTATCTACAATAATATGGAATCTTGATGGTATAGACAAAGTTAGAGCGATGGCTAATGTAGATGAAGTATCTCCACTTCTCTCTAAGCAGGAACAGAGCTTGAGAAAATCGTGAGTATCACAAAAATCTCCATCTGAAATATCAATACTGAAAAGTTTTTGAAAAACAAAAGTGAAAGTCCACTAAAAATCACATGACAAATAACAATAGATTATTTACTGATAGTGTTCCAAAGAGTCCAATCAGAATGTTTCGACAGAAGATTGGTATAAGAACACAGATATCAGAATTTTATTAGGAAATACCACAGGAAGTTATATCAAGTCCTTTTTGGGCCGTTTCCCTTTTTGGGCCTTTATGGGGTTTTGCCCCCCCCCACCTCTCAGAAGAGATGTATTCCTAATACATCTCTTCTGAGAGGTGGGGGGTTTAAGGTGAAAGGGATAGGTTAACATCGAATAAAACATCACAACGACATGTTCAAAAACTAACTGGTGAAAATTTGTGCAAACGAAGGTGGTACGCAATGGACGCAATTCCCTCCACGCGCAGAGATAGATCTCGAGGGTTATACTATCCTGAGAAATTACGAGAGGCAGTATGAGAAGATCAATGATCAATATTTCAGACTCTTCAACAATCTTCGAAGAGTTGACAATACTGGGATCCTTTTGTGCTATGTTTTCATTGTTAACTCAAGCCTTGAACCCTGTTAAACCCTGGGGTTTTAGAAAAGTACTTTTGTAAACCACCTCGACCCCTTGTCAGCATTCTAGTAAGTACTAGTATTGAGGGGCTGTATAAGTCGTGTAACGCTCTTAGAAATTATAGTGAAACCTGATTTTGGAATTTTATCTAATGTTATTACAGGAATTTTGAGTTCAGCTACTCCTCTTCCCATGATCCATATGAAAAATATATGTCTTACAAGTACATTATGATGTTAGTCAACGTGTTCTAGCACATTTTGGGTATTAAAACAATGTTAATCATTTTGGGTGGTAAAAAATCCTAATGTACAATAATGTACCCTGCGTGCAGAGTCTAGTTAAACTACACTCTGCCTAGTAGATACCATATTACAGTTTAGTAGCCCCGCCCCCACGACGCGTACCGGTGACAGTTTGTGTTATAAATAACTTTTGACCTACGCGCTGATCTTTCTTCCACCAATCAGCGAGCTTGAAGAAACATACGCCAAATGCGTTCTAATTAAATATGCGCATGTCATTGGTCAATTCCGGGCTCAGCGATGACGTCAGAAGGAATGACCATATATAGAACGTCGGTCAATTTTGGCCGACGAACACTGATTGGCGCGGTGAGTTCACAGGTTTATTTTAGTTTGAAAGAGTGAAGACGAAGCTCTCTTTTAAGAAGTGAAGTCAAACGAATGCAAAGGGTAACAATAATGTTAACTACTAACACCATTTCACCAGCAATACAAAATCTCTGTTACTGTCCTAACAAGTTCATTATACCAATGGCAAGGTTTGTTAGTCTGCCTTTTCCTGAGGGCACCCTCAGGCTTTAATACTTGCATTTACATTTTTAAATTCTAATAAACCTTCTTTTTGTACTCTACAGACGTTCTTATGCTGGCAGTCAAGGGAGAGATGGAGCTATCAGGTATGTTCTATAAGTTCTGCCTTTAGATATACAACCTTCATATTAATTATAATGATGTTTGTTCATCACTTTATCAATCTAAATAAAGTATAATATATAGCCTTTATGGGTATTTTTAAAGTATTTCAAAAAGTATGCATCTGAATTATTTAAATTATATCTTTAGTTGTTTATCAAGTATAAGTACAGATTATCTTGTTTCCGTTCCAGTGGAACTTATTGATGAAGTCCAAAACTGCAGTATTTTTTCAGAAAGCAATATAATTTATGAAGTGCTTTGACCTCCCTAGGAGTTTATCAATATGGCTCTTAACAAAGTAAAACATATTTATGATAATTACAAATTAATTATCACATAAATAAGTTTAGGAGATACAAGAAAGACTTCATAGTTATATATGTTTGAATAGTGAACTGGAATGCTATAAAAGAAAGGTTTCATAATTACTGTTTGTCTATGTTAGGTGTTTCCCAAATGTGTTGTGAGTAGTTCTCAAAATCAAATTGTCAAAAATGCTCCTTTAATGTATTTAGTTCAAAATGTGATCAAGCATATGATTTTTGCACACAATCAAAATAAAAATACCCGGATTAATTACTTTTAGATATAAATATTTTTAGATATCACTTCTTATTCCTGGTTTAAGAAGTTATGTCCCAATTTATGCTCAGCATTATGCCGGGCATAAAAATTGCTATCTTAATCCAAAAAAGTAGTGTTTTGGAATTAGTTCCATTTTAAATAATCTGCTATTATACCTAAATTCATGCTAACAATAGTCATGGTAGTATCCCAAATATGTTGCTGCTTGTTACACAAAGAATTCTATATTTCAGAATTTTATTGACAATATGAAAATTGTTAATTTGAGGCTATTGCTCAATATTTTGAGTCTGTATTAGCAAAATTACCATGTATGTTCAGATGCCTTCATATGTATGATAAACTTTCTACTCTAATCTTCCGTGCAGACAATCCGTGTCATATAGTTCAATCAACACCAGCACAGATGATATAGAAGAACATGACCCAGGGACATCGGCTATGCTGCATAGATATAAATATTACAACAAGCTCGCTCCCCACAGTGAAAGTTCACTGGTATGACCTTATTTTGTATCATTGTTAGATAATGACAGATTTTTTTTTTTTTTTTTTTTTTTTTTTTTTATTATTAAATTAATCATTTGTACAAAGAATACATACAATAATACAGTGTAAGTGGCTGTGCTTTTAGCATTATTAGCCACGTTCTACAATTACAATATACAATGTATTCAATCAATAATATTTGATTAAAATAAATGAGATACAATAAGATAAAAGTTGTTTTGTGGAGGATTTCAGACATTTACACATCGCTCGAAGAAAATGGCACTGCACTTTAAAACAATCAGATTCTCAGCTCTACTTAATGTTTTATCACCATTGAGGATCAGAGAAAGTTTATCACGTTGTGTCTTATATTTACGGGAGTATTGTATATTCATATTTTTTAGTTGGTTTTCTAATTCAGTCCAGAATGTTAATCTCAAGTTACATCGAAAAATCACATGGCTGGTTGTTTCACTGTTAATACCACATGAGCATATGGGGGAATTTACATTGGTAAAGTTATGCGAGTAAAGGTGAGCCTTGAAAATGAAATCACATCGTACTCTGTTAAATATAATTTCTTGGTTTCTTGAGATGGACAGTTCTGATGAGTTAATGACAGTTTCGTTAAAAATATTTCTTTTTAGGCTTGATTTAAATATGCTTAAGCTAGATGAGTTCTTTATATCAGATGGCAGTAGATTCCATTCTGATATTGTTTTTGAGATACAAGATCTTTCATAAAATTTGGATTTAACTGGTAAAATATAGTCAAGTTGGTGTCTTAGTACATGTGTTTGATTTCTTTTTAGTGGTTCAAATATCTCAGTAACATAAGAAGGCAGCAAATTGTTGTGAGCTCTATACATAAAGGTAGCTCTATGATATTGACGTCTATTTGAGAGTGTGGGCCAATTTAAAGTATTCAACACTTTTGTGGTTGATGTTCCATGCATGGCACCTGAACAAATAAGTGCAGCTTTATAGTAAAGGCGGTCTAAAAGTTGTAGTTTTGTCAAATTTGCACATCCGTAAAGAATATCACAATAATCAAAGAGTGGCAAAATAAAAGACTTAAAAATTGTTTCAAGGTGTTTTCCACTTATTTTCTTACTGAAGACTTTTAACGGATTTATGAGTTTATCTATTCTTGCTACAAGTTCAGTAATGTGATAGTCAAAAGTGAGATTTTTGTCCAAAATCAACCCCAAGTGCTTGTGATTGTTTACTCTTGGTAACTTGTCATTACCAAGGGAAAGATCTGGGGTCAAAATTTCGCGCTTTCTTGGATTAAAAAAAGTCATATCTTTACTTTTACTAGCTTTGAAGTTTAATTTCCATGTATTTGACCATAAGAGAATTTTATTTAGATCCTCTTGTAATTCATTATTCTTAGCAGCTGCTGTTTCAGCTGTGAAGGATTGGTAAAGTGACGTGTCGTCTGCATATATAAAACATTTGGTATTTAAGTTATCAGGTAGATCATTGATATAAATTAAGAACAGGAGGGGGCCTAATATGGAGCCTTGAGGTACTCCTGCGTTTATATGGTTCATCTCAGATAGTTCAGACTCATGGCCATCCAATACAACTTTTACTTGTCTATTTGATAGGTAAGATTTCATTAATTCTATGATGTTATGACCAAAACCATACATTTTCAGTTTTTTTAATAGTAGCCCATGGGGCATTGAATCAAAGGCGGCCGAAATGTCAAGATAAATCCCCCTTACATTGGCCCCATTTTCAATTTCATTAGTTATGACATCAATTATACTTAAAAGCTGTGCCTGGGTGCTGTGACCTGGCAAAAAGCCACTTTGGAGGTTATAAAATAAATTGTTCACAATGAGATGGTCAAAAAGTCTTTTGAAGATTACGCGTTCTGCAACTTTAGATATACAGCTCAGAAGAGTGATAGGTCTATAATTTTTTACATCTGTTTTGTCTTTACTTTTGTGAATTGCTACAACGTGGCCTATCTTCCAAGAATGGGGGTATTTATTAAGAATGAACATTTTGTTTAATAATTTTGATAATATGGGTGAAAGTGATGGTGCTGCCATTTTAAGCATTCTATTGCTTAACATGTCAGGGCCAGTAGCTTTATTTGTATCTAACCCAAGTAAAATGCTATAAACCTCTCTATCATTAGTAGAGAGTAGGTCAAAAGATTGATCAGTTCTTGGAATAAAAGTTTCATTTCCTTCTTGATAGTTTATATGATATTTGTCAATGAAATGAGACAGTAGCAAGTTTGCTTTGTCATGGCTATCAGTGTAACTGTTACCTCTAGCATCACAAAGAAGTGGTATTTTACTATTTTTACATTTTCCCAAAAGCCTACTTACAATTGACCAGTATCCTTTGCTTCCATATCTCTGATTACTTAATTTATAGTACAACCTTGATTCCATTGCCTCTTTGGCCTCACGAATAGCATCATTAACAAGATTACATTGATCAGTATATTTCTTAAAGTATTTGTCATCATGTGTTTTCCTGTACTTACGATGTAATTTATTTCTTTTATTTATCAAGGTTTTGATATCGCTTGTAAACCATGGCTTATCCGTAGGTTTAATTTCAATATCAGAGTTTGGAATAAGATCTGTAAAAATTGCAAGTAACCCTCTCGAAAAATTGCTTACTATGTCATCTAAATCATTACTACTATCTATCAAGTGATCAAAGTCTGCTGCTCTAACTGAATTGTTAATTAGATTTATATCTGCTTGGTCATATTTCCAAATTTTTCTTGAATAAGGACGGTTTTTAAGAGTTTTAAGAAAACACTCCGTGTTTATTGAGCAATGGTCAGTGTTACCAATAGGAGGAGAAACATAAGAATTTGTTATAATATCAGGGCTATTTGAAATGAGAAGATCGATACATGATCTACTGGTATTTGTTATTCGCGTTGGTTCATCTATAAGCTGAAAAAGTCCAAGTTCTTCAATGTGTTCAAATAATTTTTTTCCTGTGAAATTTTCATTGTCTAAGGCCCACCATTGTTTACTCCTTGCATTAAAATCTCCATTAATAAAAATAGCTTCTGGGTTAGAGTCAAGTGCCATATTGCATGAGTTTGAGAACCTAGTGCAGAATTCATTTGCCTCATTTTGAGTTTGCGATGGTGACCTATAATAAATTGCATATAGATATGACTTATAGTTAATGCTCAATTCAATCCATAAGGAGTCACCCTGATCATTCATAAGGTCATTTCTAATTTTAAAAGGGATATCATCTTTAACATATATCAATAGGCCTCGATTTTTATTCGAGTATACATGACAATGACCATCTATAGAATAATCAGAAGAAACTGTCAAATCAGTTAGATTTCCAACCTCACAAAGTCCAATAATGTCATTTCCATTGATCTGTAAATGACAGATTTTAAGATGTAGAACCATAACCTCCAAATAAAGGCTACATATTATTTTCAAAAATCGTTTATTGTTCGATAAATTAGAAATCTTAGAAGTGTTGCACTAAGAATGCAAATGTTGAAAAATTCCCCTATCCCAAAAGAATCTTAGAAAAGCACTTACATAATACTCGAACATACATTCTTACACTCTGTCATTATCTATTATTTTTATTATGTGTTCCTGTCCAGAGTGTATATTTCTCATTATTATTACAGGGGAGTTAGACCTAAACGCAGAAGAACTGTTTCCCTAAATGATACTAAAGAAACTGCTCCTAAAACAAAACGAAAACGAAATCTATCATTTAGTGATTCAGTTAGATTTTTCATATCTAAGGTAACACAGAATATTAGTTTGTTGAATCACCCGTAGATGGCCAGAGGTTGGGGCAAAATGACAACTGTTCGAAATACTAAAAGGATTGGGCATGCTACACTGTTACTATTAACACTTATTTGATATCCTTGTTGCAAGTACATTTAGATATTTTACTAACACATGATGTGTTTGTTTAGAATAGTGAATTATCATTAAATTATCATTTTTTTTATATCCTACCATAAATACTCACCTTTTCAGTACTTTTGAGCGACCATTTTGATCCCAATTTGGCCAAACTACAACTAGTGAATAATGCTTTATCGTATTTGGTGACCTTGTATTATATTTGATGATACCTCCATTTACACATTTTGAAATGTTTTAATATATATATCCAATGCTTGACATTACTTAAAGAATTTGATCCCAATTAATAATAGATTAGGTACCTATTAGGTAAGAGAAAAAATGATTATAACAGCAATAGTTTGCAGTGCTTGCCCCATCCCTTTATTCTTTAGTCATGTGTACTGAATGAGATTTTACATGGCTTCCCTTAGCCCAATCTCCCAAAACCATTGAACTTGCACACCCAGAACATGAGTTTGTTGGATATAATGTATAATGATATTAACTGAAATTTTCAGCTGTTTTCAGTTTAATCATATAAAAATGTTCTTGGAAATTAGAGGTGATGAATCAAAATTGATTTGAGGCTTGATTTTGAGCATGCTAGCCAGTTAGAAGTAGAAATGTAAAACCTGTTGGATTTTAGCTTTAATTTAATTTATTTATTAAAGTTGAGTCTACACATTATTATTTAATTAAAAAAATTAAAGCTTACCTTTTAAAGAAGTCATACATAGTCATGTCTCATTGTCATATCTCATAGTCATGTCTTATAGTCATGTCTCATAGTCGTAGTCAACTTATTGTGGAAGTAGCATATCGCTATGAATCAGAAATATTTTAGGGTTATTAAGGATGATAATTACAGAATTACATCCTTGTAATTGCTGTTATTGTACAATAGAGAGTATACAATAGATACAATATTTCATCTTGAACTCTGATTGCATGAATGTATAACCACATTATGTAATGAATTAACAGCTTTGAATTTTTTCAGGTGATGCCAGACCATGTGGTGCCATCTTTGTTTTTTCTTATCATCCCAGGCAAAGATTCTGGTAAACAGGGCAGTATAGTCACAATGTAAGTAGTCAAGTCAATATGTAACTTCTTCAGGCACTTTTAAGTTATTAAAGTCGTTACATATAAGTTACAAAGCCATTATTTAAACAACTTAGTCATAAGTAAGTTACTTAGTCAATAGTTACCATGAAAGTTACCAAGTCACCTTGTAAGTTAATGTAATAGCTACTAAGGAACTACAGGGTGTCCCGAAAGTATGGGGCCCCCCCTAGGCAGACATATTCCAGTGTCCTCATAGTATGTGTCATATATCATTTTAAAGCTTGTCCAAAGTTACATTGATTTGCCAAGTATCATGGTTTAACTCCCAAATGGGAAAAAGTTACAGTCATTTTAAAAGTTAGTGTTTTGTCAAAATAAAGTTCGATTTCACACCACATTACTAGTCAATGTGTCCCCCTTGGCCATGTTAACAGCGGCAATTATTTTCAGATATTACCTCAAAAGCCCTTCAAATAGGAGTGTGGAATTTTATAACCCTCTTAAAACCTGTTAGGGGACTTTAGAAGAGTTTTCTTAGAGTTTCTACCCTCACTGTTCTCTTTTTCCAACTTAATATCCATCCGACCCGAAAAGAATTACTGCTGTTAAGATGGCCCAGGAGGACACATTTACTAGTGATATGGCGTAAAATTGAACTTAATTTTGACCAAACACTAAATTTTGAAATGCCTGTAACTTTTTCACATTTGGGAATTGAACCATGATACTTGGTGAATCAATGTAACTTTGAATATGCTTTAAAATGATATATGACACTTACTATGACGACACTGGTATATGTCTGCCTAGGGGGGGCCCCATACTTTCGGGACACCCTGTATATAAGATATCGCTTTGTAATATTCATATTCTGTTATTCTTCTAAAGACTGTTGTCAATACAATGGGTAAACCTGACCATAGAGTATTATGTTTAGAATATTGCTTACTTTTTCTTAAAAGCAGCTTTGATCATATTTCAATTTTGATGTGTTTTAGATTCTCGATATGGAATACGATGATGGGCACTTCATTACTTAGTATGCCATGGGCAATATCACAGGTAAGTGATTTTTGGTGTATAGTACATGTACTTGTAACTTTCAATATAGGTTTGGGGATTTACATGTGCTACATGGGCACATCATTACTTAGTATGCCATGGGCAATATCACAGGTTAGTGATATAACACAATAGCTAGACAACTGTAATCTTATTATTTGGTGGAAAGTTGAATAATGGTGATGGCTGCTGCTTCAGAAATGAGAGATATTTGTTTTGTTTGATATTTTCAGGCAGGATTTGGAACAGGGATTGCCATTATGGTTGTGATGTCTGGTATAATGCTATTCACTGCCTACAGGGTCGTCAAGTCTATTGATGGAATACGTAAGTTTTTGTCACTTTCTTCAAAAGTCATTTTATATAAAACTATTCAAGTTAATCCAGGTATTTTTTTATATCGTAGGCTTAAAGGGAAAAAAGTAGTGTCTTAATGAAATATTTTGTTCCCTCATTATGAGCATCCATAGGAATGTTTAGTAATAATTAGCAATATATTGAAAGTGAAATCTGTTATATCATGAATCTAGTTTATATAACTATGGGCTTACCATTAAAATTGGGTGGGGGGTTTATGTTTTCCTTCACCAGTATCTTCATTGTAACATGGCAATATTTTTCTAACCAAATCATCCTCCAAATAGAGACCACAAAATGTGTTCCTCCTTTTAAATCTTGGAACCCTGGAATCAGAGGATGACAAAATGTTTGAGTATACATTGTAAAGTGCAACCAGACATATTTTCGGTTTCCAGAGGTCCTGTATTAATAATATACAAGAAGAATTGATACAAGAATGTTTGCTTGGTACAGATATTCTGTACAGATCAACAGAAATATATGAGCTATGTTCTATATTTTTGCAGCAAGATTAGGGGAGGTTGTTGAGTTCTCTGATATCTGCAAGTACCACCTTGGTCGTGTCGGGGAGTTTAGTGCCGTCTTCTTCTCTCTATTCGCCCTTCTAGGAGCCATGGTTGTTTACTGGGTTCTCATGTCCAACTTCCTCTACAACACTGTGGCATTTATTTATGGTAAGTTGAAGTGATGTTTATTTTGATGCTATTTTGTAATTTTTTGTTATTGTTAATGAAATGATAGAAAAATGTGTATATACAAAAAGAACTAGATTGCCTGGATTACATTGGACACAACTACAAAACATGACAGGATATGTAGGTGTAAAATCTGGCCAATCAAAAGAGCTTTGAAAATGTTAAATAGAGGGCTCTCACATCAAAAGACTGTATATTATTCCTCATGATCTGGTCTTGGAATACAACATGACATGTGGCAGCTTTCTAGAAAACCGAATGCTACACTTCTGTAACCAATAAAAAAGAAAACTGATAACATTCAATGAATCTGTTTTACAAAGATAAATTGTTTATGACTGAATGCCCTACATGTTCATATAATCAAATTGTTTTGTATCATTTTAGAAGTGTACATATACATTAAAACTTGTCTAAGCAGAACACCTTTTGTACCTCTAAAAAGTGTTGCACTTTGGGTGTTTCACTTATAGAGATTCATTCAACATTAAGTCGGTTGGTCTTGGGACTTTGAAAAGTGTTTTACTAACAGAGGTGTTCCACTTGTAAAGGTGTTCCACTTTACAGGCAATAACATCTGTTCCATAGAAATGCCACATTATTTGTTTGTTATTTCAGAATCTGTCAATCATCAAAATGTCTCAGATCGCGTGACTGGTAATGGATCACAATATGATGGTATGTTAAATCTTAATTAGAATATATTACATGCAATGACCAGTTTTCAGTGCTTAGATAATGATTATGAATGATCTTGATATTACATAGTTCATTTTTTTTAAATTAATTGATGGACATTTTATTAAGGAAATGCTAGTGATGGGGAACACTTTTTACTTTCTCAGTACAGAGCCTTGAAACCATTTTGTCTCATGGTGTATGATCAGATGGTATAAGTAAAAACTGAATAATACCAACATCCTTTGCAAATGCATTGCAAAAATAGGACTTAGTAAAACATATGATTAAAAAATACATTTTTAGAGACCAGATGGAATCATGGATACTCTATAATTTTGAAAAAGTGTAAATTAGGAGAAAAGCACTGGGATTTCATATTTTCAAAGTGAACTTTGTAAATCTGATGATGCAGTGTGTTTGATTTAGCATAATTAAACAGTCTTAGATCAACGTTTCCAAATGCATAAAGGTAAAAATATGCAAGAAGAAAAACCCTGTATTGCATGAAGAGTAGTCCTGCTTCATGCCTTTGTGTTCCGCTTCATGCCCTTGTGGCCCCACCCTCCATAAAGTGGTAAAGTAGATAGGAATAGGGGGAGACTCATGCACTCATGAACTATTAAATCTTGATTGTAATTTAAAATACTATTCAAGTATTAACTTATCTAGACATATCTACATTTCTAAATTAAAAAATAAACCATGACATCCTGGTTGTCATAGCAAAGGAGGAAAGACTAAAAAACATTGTATCAGTCATGTGACTTTACTTGACCAATCCTGTTCAAATTTTTTAGAAAATTGTGATGAATATAGTCATCCTCTTATGGCCCTGAGCTTTAATAAAATGCTCAAACATGAATTTTATTTTGCTTTTAAAGAAATACTAAGACATCAATTTTATAAAATATAGATCACATCACTTTTATTAAACTGAAAATCGTTTAATTACTAAGATAATATCTCTGAAGTATGGAAAAGAATCTAACAATGTTCTTAAAGGCCCCATGTAAAGTTCAAACCACTGAGGCTTATATTGTAGTCTTACCCAATGTTATCAAAGTGTAATATGTGAAACTTTTTTTTTAATTTCAAAAAGTGTTTTTTTTGTTCCAAAATTTGTGAATTTATTTAAAACCAACTTTTAGAGGTCACTCATATCTTCTAATTAGCCACAATTCATACTAATGCATAGCATTCATCCTCTCATGTTTTTTCCGAAAATATTTAGAAAATCGGTTGATAAACAAGCGAGAAATGAACTTATCAGTGCATGAAAATGGTTCTGAGAAAATGCATTTCAAAATTTTAGTTCTCATAGAAACCAATGGTACAATGATATCTAAAACATAATTTATTCTTCCTTTTAACCTGGTTAGACAATCAACATTGTTTTTTATGAAAGTCTAGCAGATTTAGAAAAGATTGACATCGAAAAAAAAAATTCAATTCTTTTCAAAAAGTTTTTGTTACCTTAGTGACATCACTAATGTTTCAAAATATTTTTGATAAGCTAAAACATTGAAGTGGCCCATTAAATATGACATTTTATTATTGAAATAGTGTGTCTTTTGTTCAATCTTTGCATTGGTGTTAAAAAGATAATCTTTTTTGAAATGCATTAAGAAATATTTGATGATTAAGAAATTTCAACTTTTTTTGAAAAATGGCGGGAAATTTGAATATTTGAGAAATGAAATGCTCACAACTTTTTTTTCAAAAAATTTTTTTTGTTCAAAAATCACTTTTTAAGTCCTGACAAATAGTAAATGAATGATAAAAAACTATTTTCAAACTTTAGACGGGGACTTTAACTGTTAAATCCACTGTAAAAACACTTTAAAACCAGTGGTTTCCCCCATTTTTCTGTGACATCATTGATGTTTGAATTTTTAGTCAATGTTAATCGAATAGTCAATGGAAGTTTAAATTATATTTTCACATCCCATCAAACAATTTAGTAATCTAAATATATATCATTTTTGACCATTTCAATTCCGTCTTTGTTATTCCCATCAAGATACACTATTTTGTTTTGATCATTAATGTTCTCAGAATCAGCAGGTGTATCATATAACACATCTTCCACATAATCAGTCTCATCTGCATAATCATCCGTAGCGTTGTTATAGTCCTTAGTGTTGTAATATACCACAGGTAATGTTGGACTCTTCGTTTTTACATTGATTTGTGTGTATAAATCCTTCGGGTCAGGGTCCAGGTGTAAGTTTGGTGGGACCATAGCCACACTTTGGTTCATTCCTCTATCCTTGCTGTTAGTAGGGTGGTCTCTGGGTTCTTTTGAAGAGTATTTGTGATCCTGCCTTTTGCGATTTTGAATTGTCAGTAACAGTAAAAGCAGTAGAATAATTGTGATGATGGCTAATATAGCAATTCCAGTTATAAGTCCAATAACCAATGGACTGAAGACAGACTCTTGGGAGAATTTGTCTGCGACATTTTGATTCACTGTCACTGTATCAGTAGTGGAGGAATTTTCCTTTGTTAGAATGCAAGATTCTGTTTCCGTGATGCACATGTAGGCTAATTTGGAGCAACATGACATGTGTTGGAACTGGAGGTCACCTCTTATTATAGCCGCAAAGGGGCATGTTCCACAAAAGTCACTTGGACAGCTGTGATGTGAGATCAAGAGATCAAATCTTATTGCATTATAGCTATTCCAAGTTTGTGGGTATAAGCGTACAAATTGTGCATCAAATGGCTTTGTAAAGTTATTGTAAACTGGTGTTATACTGTCATTATTCCCCAGTAGTATTTGTTCCTGTTGATTGTATATTAATTTCGTAAAATGGTCACCATCATCACTGTATTGTAACTTGTAAGAAGTGGTCCATTGAGGATGATCTGCACGTCCTTTTGTAACAATACCATATACGCACATTGCTTCCCCAAGATTAACCTGGATCCATTCACCCACATAACCATATTTAGGTACCCAGGCAGTACGACTATTGATATTAGCATATTTTGGGGTTATCCCACTACTATGACTTGAAGATGCTGAAAACTGGTCATCTGAGATGTTCCCCATTATAAAATAAGGTTCTGTTGTATCTGATATCCCCAACTCTGTTTCTCCCACTTCAGTATTGCTTGAGTATCCTATCCACACTTTCCTTATTGAGTTTCGGTTCATGGCATCTTTCACAGCCTGTTCAGCTTGATTGTCCTTCACTGTGATGATTGTAGCATTCATTCTTGTACACTCCATGGCAGCCTCAGACCAAGTCATAATTTCAGAGTTCACCTTTAATACAGAGTCTCTTGAGGTCATATATCCAACCGGACACACCATTCCCTCCATGTATCTAACTGAGCATATCAGAATTAAAGTCACTTTGAATAAATATTCCATATTGTCAGTTTGTATGTATTGTCATCCCTCATCAATTATGACATTTTAACACAAGTTTTTTAATCTCAGAATTCTTATTAAGTAAAGTATTGTAGAATTATAAAGAGAGACACGGAAGAGAACCTGTCTTTTCTAGTTATTTTTTGCCTTCCTAGTTCCTGATATGAATAACATGTTTGGCTATCACGACTTTGCCTCTGGCAATATATGATTAAAGAGGCGTATCATTAAGTATGAACATCAACATTCCACTCCAGTTAATGTGAGTTATCATAACACAATGATATCATGACTGAGGATCCAGTCAATGTTTTTTTAGATACTTAGGGATGGACCATACACCATTAGGGGATATAATGTGAACTTGTAATTATATGAATATCTTGAGACAAGAATGGCACAAAAAATTGACCCTGGTTGGAAAGAAATTCTGAAATACTACCTACTGAATAGGACAAATAAATATACAGTTTTATAAGATCAAAAAGTTTCTCAAAAAGTGTCATGAGAGTTAAAATAATCGTCCACCCCATTTCCCTATTGAAAAAGTCATAATGGTTAGCCACCCCCCTTCTCTTTCACTTTTAATACAAAAGATTAATGTTTAAATTCTAAGAAAACAACGATGCCAGCATCAGATAGATAACTTGATGACCCGGTATGTTTCTTTCACACAAAAACATTAATGTGAAATACTAAGAAAGTTTTACTCAGATTTGGACATCAGATATGTGACAAATGATAACCTGTATCACTTTTACCTGTAAATAAATTAGCAAGTAATTAGCATCTTTTCTCTTAATTAAGACTAGAATAAAGAAGATAATAATGCAATTACAAAAGTAATTTCAGCTTTATCTCTATTTTATAATAATTTATTGACCATTGAATATAAGTTGAATGTATGGAACCACTGGCACTTTAAACCCTCAGCCATTTATTCCCAAGTATTAATGTCCCTTCAACCAACCTGAACCCTCTCAATTAAGTTGATTAGTTCATAAGGTCATCAAAACCATTCTAAGAAGGCAATAACTTTTGGAAAAATACTTTTTGGGAAATAAAAATTATTTTGAGTGTATTTAAGAAATATTTTTTAAATTACCTTAATATTAATGAAGAAAATTGGACTGTGTTCATCTTCATTTGAGTTCATGTATCTGTGAGTGGTTGAATTTGTAACATCAATGATCTTTTGTGTGTACAATGTATGGTTTTTTGTTGATGTATCAACATTAAGTAAAAAAAATGAAAGTCACTTTTTCCTGAGGGAGAGGAATAGAATAATTTATATCTTTACGAACAAGTTTTCTTGTTAAGTATACCAAGCACTATATATTTAAACGTCCAATAAGTCTATGACTTTAGCAACAACATGAAATGTTATACATGATAAAAATAGATTAAATAGAGGGATGTGAAATACTGATGTATTAAAAAGGTTGTATAGAATAGCAGGATTAAGACTAATGCTGATTATCTTTATCTATTTTGCAGTGCTCTGTCCAAATATCCCGTTGTACTTGATAGAAGACAATGCAAAACCAATCAACAATACAACAAGTCTACATACAATGCAACAGACGTATTCACCAATCAAATACCTCCGACACAATGTAATCCAGCAGACAACAAGTAATACTACAGCGCCATCTTTGTTTGACCAAGTGTGGAATCAGACAACAACTGTACCATTGTTTTTGATTCTGGTCTTGTTTCCACTGATGAACTTTAAATCTCCAACATTCTTCACAAAATTCAACTCACTAGGTATGTATGTTATGATATTTGTTCAATTTTGAATACAATTTGAAAATTTAAGTTTGGAAGATGTAGATATACTTAGGTTTTTACCCCTTCTCCAACTATTTTTAAGTTTAAGACTATGGATGTACTATATATCATATATACTTGTTTTCAAAATAATACTGTAAAAGATATTAGCAAATTAAATGTATTGCGCCAAAGTCTTGGTTTTGTTGAAATAGTCATTTGTCATTTCCTTTCTGAACTTTCTCAGCCTTTCAACTAAATGTATGTATCAAACCATAGGGAGGGACTAGATCAACAAAAGATGGCAGCATTAGTTTGTCCATTTATATCTTCTGTTTATATTCCTACCCAGTCTATATGCATTAAACCCTTGCTATAGTAGTATCCTATGAAAGTGTATAGACATACATTGTAAAGTAAAAACATCTTGATTTATAAACCTCCCTGTGCTGTATTTTTTTCTCCAGATTGCTCTAAAAGCTAAGGAATATTAGAAGATTGATAATAAGTGCGTTTGTTTCAGGAACGATCTCTGTGCTTTATCTGCTCACATTTACTACAATCAAGGGAGTCCGTTGGGGCTTCCATCTGGATTTCAACCCTGCACATGTTAACACATATGTACCTGGTAAGTTAGAGCTTTATATCATATGTCTATATTAATATCAAATGGACAAATGTAGACTATGAGGGCTGTTTCAAAAGTTATGTAATGAGGGACTCTAAGGTTGCTAAGATACAAGGGTGATACAAGTTCTAATTGCTGTCACTCAAGTACTGTTTGTGCAACATACTGTATTTTATATGACCCATGTTTCAAATTGGACTTTTTTTTTTATTGTATTCTATTCTTCGGGTTACAATAAGTATATTTTGTTACACAACACAACAAATCTTTTATTTAATTTGGAACCAGGTATGGCTTGTGGTCACTACTTTATTTGTTGATACTGCATGTATATTACAAGCTATTCAGCAGAAGATGTGTCTCATGCAGTATGTAATACAGATTGTATGCTATGTTAAAATTGTTGTTCGATTGATATCAAGATGGTTGGTCATCATTAAAACCAAAGATGCTATTCGACTGAAGTCGATGCCCTTTGGAAAGGTATGTAACCACCTCTGAACCTATCGGCACCAGTCAAAGGTAAACTCAACTTGATGCAACAATGAATTATTTAAGAATTTAATTTAAAAATTGGAGTTAACTGTTGCTGGACCAAGCCCAGAATGATTGATTAAACTCCTAAAACTCACTCACTACAAGGCCAAAAAACTTTGCTCAACTCAACCGGCACATCACGCTACATACCTTTATTATGAACCATGCCTCTCTACACTTCACTGCACATACCATGGTGTATAGAAAACATTAATTTTATTCTTAAATCGCTTTGCTCAAATGAATATAAATAAAACAATTGTTTATTGGAGCTTACTTGACATTTATCTTAATTTAGCCCCAAGAATCAACAAGCCATAATTATCCAAAATGTCAACACCTGCCATTTGTTACAGGTGCCAAACACCAACCACCAACCACTGGTTGGTGACCATAATGACATGAAAATAACATTTTAAAATGAGCTTTATTTTGCAGATTATATACAGTATTTGAAATAATTTTATTTCAGAATTTGAAACTACATTATTTACGATGACAGGAATCCTTTCCCTGGGGCTGTTCATCCACAATGCAATCATTAGCATTATGAGGACCCACTCTAATCCTAAAGCTGTTGTATGTGTTGTGTATACCTTCCTATTTAGCATGTAGCATACCACATTGATGATTATGTCACTCATATTCACAATACTACAGATATAGTATTAAATAATAACATGTGTGTAATAATTTCTCTCTGACAGTATCTGGAGAGTCTTTTATTATTTGTTCACATCTCACAATGGCATCCTAGTGATCCCAGCTAATCTAGTTTCTCCTGTTCTGTGTTGGGACTTAGAAATGTGATAATGAGACCTCTTTCCCATGACTTGTTTTATGAGAAGACAAATTGTATTGTGCTATTTGATTGACATGATCATTGTGGTATATTTTGGATTGGAATGAACTTTTCATCTGCTTGTGTTATAGTGCTGTTAACCAATTTATTAATATTTAATATATTGTTGTTTTTAATTTGTGTTTTGGGGGTTTAAACTAACTTAATATGGTGCTTAGCTTACTGTGGTAGTTGTAATCAATTAACATTTGCTTTTACTCTAAAACATTCAACATCAGCCATAGAGATGTTGCTCAGTGATAGAGCTGATACTATCTTGTAATTTAAGATTAAGGAGATCTGGCTTAAATCCTTAATTGAAGATCATTCCTTTAAACTTTAAATTTTAAGATCATACTCTGAGAGAAAAAACTATTCCAGTTTTCACACTGAAAGAAACACTTATGTTGCTGGACAATTCTTATTAGGACTCATTAGAAAATTAAGATGGCTTCAGACTTGGTGTCCAGTTGCACATAGTTTTACTGTTAAAAGAAAACTCTCATTTGATCTTTGTCTGTAGATTGTATGGAGAATAGGATTAGTCAGTAGTTGAATTAACCTATTAACATAGTTATTAACTAATATAACATATAACATTGTTTTTGCATTGTGTGTATCTCAACAACTAAATGCCTCTCTTATATATAGGTAAATGTTGGATAAATGGAAAATTATCAATAAGTCAAATGTGATTGCAAACTTAAATATTATGCCATACAGGGATGCTGCCTATTAATGTGTACTAGGTTCTGTGACTAGCCAGTGATTTCAGAGGGGTAGTCACTAAAGAGAGGTGTTCAACAGAAAGAAATGTAGTCATGTTTGACTTATGGTATTTACTATTTTTTCCCTAAAGCATGCTTGTTTTGTTTTAATTAGAGTTCGAGTTCTCCTTCTTTGCTTTGAGTGGGACTATGGCCCTTGCCTATTTTATACATAACTGTGTACTGTCAATCCTCCGCAATCAAAAAAATCCAGAAAATAGTGTAAGTAGATTAAATGGGGGTTAGCTTCAAATAGAATTACAAAAAGTTTCTTAGAACAGTCTAAATATTATTTTCAATATAAAGTTTCTACCATTGACCTACTACATGTATTGTGCAATTCTCCGATTAAAATTATTATATACCAAGTCGGTATGTTTTAATTTGTGAAAATATTGTTTTCCCTGCATGTCAAAGTTTAAGATTAATGAAGAATTATATTTTGGTAAAATAAAAGTACATACGAGGGTTGATCATAAAGTTCTCATAATATCTCTCTAATTTCTTTATTTTTCAATATTTTCCTTTGAAATTTTCACAGAATATGCAGCATGGAATGTTTTATTAATCCAACAAACAATATTTACAATAACAGAAATATTAAATAAGAAATAGTTGCCATAGTAACTTGAAATCAAGGCACCCGAGGCAAATAAAAAAACTAGCTAGAATAGCCCCCATTAACCATGTTTAAATACAATATAAGTTGTCAAATGAGCTATCAAACACATTAAATTGTCAAATAATATGGGCTCTCGACTGTTGTGAACTATTATAATGGTCAGGTGAATTGTATGATCTCATAATGGATGATTGTTATGCTTCATTAGAAGTGACTGTTAGACCCCGTGACTGTTTTGTCAAATATCCCGAGGAAAATTGATTTTGCCCCTTTAGTTCATTTTTAACATGTACAGACCATACACAGGGTGTCATTTTGCTGATATCTTAGCAATATATTTGTTTTAGACCATGTTTAGTCTGACCAGAGGATCTTACAAACTTAACATAACATTTTATCTGTATGAATTTTATTTTTCTGAAGATCTCTGCATCTATCGCATTCTCTTACTCAGTCATTTCTGATCATTAAATTTGAGTCTCAGACTCTGGTATCACATCTAACGGAGCATGAAAGCACCCCTTTTGACATCACACAATTTACACAATCGGTTTATTTAATTGTTAAAGCACTTTACAACATATTCAAGTTAACATTTTAACGTGTTTGGTAATTCATGAGAGTTTATTATGTATGTAAACATGGTTAATTAAGCTCATTCTCTCAATTATTTTTATTTGCCCTGAGTGCCTTGATTTCCAGTTACTATGGCAACAATTTCTTATTTAATATTTCTGTTAAACTAAATATTTTTTGCTGAATTAATAAGACATTCTATGCTGCACATTCTGTGAAAATTTCATTAGAATATATTGAAATAAAAAAATTAGAGAGATATTATGAGAACTTTATGATCAACCCTCGTATGTTCAAAACTACATAAAATTAGACTTATGTTGTATTCCAGGGAAGAGACCTGACCATAGCATACATACTGGTAGCCCTCACATACCTTTACATTGGGGTATTCTTCTTCGCCACCTTTCCTTTACACAAATACTGCATAGAAGATGTAAGTACAGCTACTGTCAATTGGAGAAAAATATCTACCCTACTTCAAATTTCAAATTATCGTTCAAATAGTGTTTTCAATACTAATTTAATTTTTTAAGCACTTTTGTAATACCATATAATAATCGAAAAACATAATTATGCTGTGATTATTTTATTCCAGAATTTTTTAAACAATTTCCTGAAATCAGATACTCTATCAGTCGTAGCCAGAGTTGGATTGTTCTTCCAAATGGTGACTGTATTCCCTCTGCTCATCTATATATTCCGTCTACAGTTCATGCACAGCATGTTTGGGGCCATATATCCCAGGTGAGTTGCTTTATACAAGGGTGGATCAAAAAGTTTCTCACCTTTATATATTTTGTCTGTCTAGGTAATATCTCAAGTACCAGTTGACAGATTTGGGTAGTGTACATCTGCTCAAGAAAATTGATGGGCACTTTACTTTCAAAATGTAAACTATTTTGCATAAAACAATGTAGCCTTTGATAACTGAAATACTAACTCTTTAATTGATTTGGTATATGCTGATGCTTTGATGACAAAATTGCCTCTAAACTCAAAATTGAATAGTTATTTATGTAAATGTACTTTTTGATAACTTGAATACCACTTACCAGATTTGGTCCTTTTATAGGACAGTGTATTATAAGCATTGGGCATCTGCTCGGGAACAAATTTTCCATATGGCTGTACCAAATTACATTTTTTCTGAGACCCAGAAACTAAATATACAGTGTAGTAGCAATATAGATGAAGCTCTTTTAAAGTAGAGATGTCAAATTTTTGAAAAAAGTGCATTATAGCTTAGCACTCTTGTATTCCTGGTATCTTTCTCCAGCTTCAGCCATGAATGATGTATGAACCTCATTGAAGTGTGGTTGGAGGTTTGCTTTCACCTTTTCCATCCATACTGCCAGTTTTGGACGTTGTTCAGTCAAATATCCCTTACCATATGCCTCTAGTTGGCTTAGCTCACAAACACAATGGAGGTCAGCAATTGTTAATTTTGAACCTGCCAGGAATGGGTTGGCTTTCAACCATATTGTCTCCAAATTGTCTAACATTGCCTCATAGTTACTCTTGGCTGTTGACTCATCAATGCTTCCTCCCCCAAACTGGAATCAACAATATTTATCTGTAGGCTTCAAAGAGAAATTGTTAGAATACTACAATAAAGTACGTAATCATAAACAAATACAAAACATGATGCGTGAAAAGCCTTATGCCAGGGTTGTTTCCACTTACCTGTAGTTTTTATGTATAATGCTAATTCATTTCCATGTATGTCAATAATCCTGTTATATATTGTTTTGTTGCTAAACTAGTTTCAAACTGTTTGCTGTATTTCTCACTCATCCTGTTCTTTTCTATTCAGAAAACATTTGACATTGTAATATTGTTTGCTTACCAACGCTTGGACATAGCCATGGGCATGTTTTCTCATGTCAGCTGGGTGCCAGGCCAGGTATGTGTTCACCAGGGCCCGATCCTTCAGATCCTTAGGGTACCAGTGATCAGCCACATCTTTTCTGTCCCCTAGGTACTGCAGAGCAGCCACACTGAAAGTTTGATGAAATCTGTCAAATCTGAATGTCATTGGATTATTGGCATGCTACCAGGTTTTCATGTCTGTCTATGGCAAAAGTGCTCACGTTGAGAGGTGTTCAGGTTAGGAAGGTGTTTGGATATACATGTTTTAATTTACTTTGTGAAAGGATCTATTGCAGGGAGCTTCAAAAATATGATGGCGGCAGTTTGGTTCTTTAGATGCAAACTTTAGAGAATTTTCAAATGGAGCAGAAATAAAATGTGTAAGGTGTATGTGTAACTGTACAATTCATTTGGTTAATGTTATTTGATTGGACAAGTCAAACAAAAAGGGGTTTTAAATTATAGTCAAATTGCCAAAAGACGTAAAATAATTCCCCAAAAATTGCAAGTAGCTGGAGGCCACTAAATACCTGTCATGGTCATATCTATGATTACAATAATTGATCCAAATATTCGTAACTTTACAAACTATTTTTGTTAATGACAACCCCCTGTCTAACATTTTGATGGCTCTTTGTCTCTCATCAGGATTCAATTAATCTCTGGATAGTTAGGTTTCAGCAAGACTGTATTGTAAACTCTATCAGGCATCAGCTACACCAAACATTTCCCTTTGTATACAAGTGGACTTTCAATCCAAAATCAATGTTTTGTTCAGTGCTTTGAGTATTAATTATCCCATCGAACGAAGTTCGGAGGGATATAGGGAACGCCTCCGTCCGTCCGTCCGTACGTATGTCCGTCCGTCCGTCCGTCCGGGCAATAACTCAAATACCGTTGGCCCGATTTTGTTCATATTTTGTACACATATACCCTATGGGGGTAGAAGTTCTGCTCGAAAGCCGATTTTCAAAATGGCCGCTCATTTCAAAATGGCGGCCATTTTAGTGCCGATTTTAAAGTAATTTAGGTGCAATATGTAAAACTGTAATAGCAATATGTATTTTACTATATCTCGAAAAGTAGTGAAGGGATTTTGTTCATATTTGGTATGTGAATACTATAAGCATGGCACCCTGTCTAATGACACTTTTGGTAGAAGGTGGCCATTTTGAAAAATGGCCGCCATTTTAACGTATTTTACTATAACTCGAAAAGTAGTGGAGCCATTTTGTTTATATTTGGTATGTGAATACTAAAAGCATGGCACACTGTCTAATGACACTTTTGGTAGAAGGTGGCCATTTTGAAAAATGGCCCCATTTTAACGTATTTTACTATAACTTGAAAAGTAGTTCAGCGATTTTGTTCATATTTGGTATGTTTCATTTTTTTATATGTGAATACTATAAGCATGGCACACTGTCTAATGACACTTTGGGTAGTAGGCGGCCATTTTGAAAAATAGCCACCATTTTCACGTTTTTTACTATAACTTGAAAAGTAGTGAAGCGATTTTGTTCATATTTGATATGTGAATACTCATGAGCCTTGCACACTGTCTCATGACACTTCGGATAGTAGGCGGCCATTTTAAAAAATGGCTGTCATTTTTACACTTTTTACTATAACTCGAAAAGTAGTGGAGCGATTTTTTGTTCATATTTGATATGTGAATACTCTAAGCATGGCACATTGTCTAATAAAACTTTGGGGAGTAGTCGGCCATTTTGAAAAATGGCCACCATTTTTATGTGTGTTATTTTACAAGTACATGTGTGCGATTTTTCAAAAATTTTATAGGTGGCTACTTAAAAGCATATTATTTCTTCTGATGACAACTTGGCTAGTGAGCAACCATTTTGAAAATGGTGGCCTTTCTGGTGTGTTGTTTTATGATATTTGCTATATATTTCGTTTGTAAAAATGCCAGCCATTTCTGTTCGATGGGATTCGCTACGCTTTGGCGTTGCCGTTGTTCTGGTTGAAACTTTACCTCTCTACTATGAACATGCCATCTATTTCCAATGTTGGGACACGCTTGAATGGATTCATCCTGGCATATTCCTCAGTGTGAATACTTGCATACACTGCACTCCCTGTAAAATACATATGTGAGGGCTCAGTTGAAAAAGACACAGTAAGAACATGCAATAGAAATATATAATAGAGACACAACACAAACATATGAGACACAATAGAAACAGACAATAAAGACACAGTAGAAAAGAAAAACGATAGAAAAGATAAATATTGGACTATTTTATAGTGTTAACTGATTTCAAACGCAAAATAGTGAAGCCAAAAATCCAAATGAGCTTTGCACCGATTTAAAAATCCTACATTCTAACATTTGGGATGATTATTTTATTACCTTTATAAATCTGAAGGTCATTGAGTTGAAAGTCAATGTTGTTTACCTTCAGGAAGATCCCCAGGGACCTACAAGGCTGGGATATGTAGTCCCCATGAAGGATAATTGACATTGTCAAATGTTTCTTGGCTTTTATATCCTTCTTCTTGTTTCACTTTATCTATGCCAGTTTTCTGTTTCTTGATCCCCTCCTGTATGTCAGTTAGGACATGGAGTGTTGATCCAGGGTATGTAGGTCTAAAGAATATTTAAGATATCCACATCTGCTCTCAAGTTTTACTATTGAGTACGCTGTATGTACATGTATGTACATTGTGCATTTTTGGACTTTTGCTCAAAAATGGTTAATTATTAAAAAAATTGAAGATATGTGTTATTTGAACACCTTAGAGATAACAATGTACATTAGAGTACATACATGTATTATAAAACCCATCTTAATTCATGAACTCTTCCACCATTCCAGAACATATTCCATAAATAAACCCAATCTGTAGGAAACATCTACCTATAGATGTATTGAAATAGGTTGTGGCTTCAAAGTTGTTCACTATACAAAGCTTTTACTGCATTATACAATTCATACTTATACAAGGGGCGATCCATATATTCTGATAAAAATGCTCTCATTTTGTGACTTTTTCATATATCCCTTTTATTTTTTCAGAACATGTAGATTATGTAATTACACATACGGTGCTAAAATATTTAAGCTATATCTTAAATTAATTTTGAAATAAGGTTGCCATGGTAGCCTGTATTTAGGGTAGGCGGGTCAGTTAAATTATAACGTCTAAAATAGATAAATATGTTAATTTACTCATTCCTCGGTACTTATTTTAAGCAGATCAAACGCATCTTCCAGTCATTGCCAACTATTCATTGATCTGTTCCATACCCCTGTTGCCCTTGTTTGATAATTTGTACAGTGGGTAGCTATCTTTTCATAAGTAACATCTCAATTTATCGTAGTGTTATTCTCTGTCCGCAAGCTTTTCTTGCAACCAGATTGTGGATGATCTTCAACAGTGACCATGCCATCCTCTTTACGATACTACCTATAGATTCTTTATGCAGATATAACACCTTGCCCATGCTTTTAATGAGTCCATGTATGTCTCTGACAGTGTTCTCTTACTTATTCTTGATAGAAAAGAAAATCTAATGGTATTCCCTAATGTATCTGTTAATGTCACACTCTGCGTCAGCCACATTAACCTCATCTGACAATTTCATTTTTGGTGTGTTTCATAACATATAATGTCAATTGGTCCATTCTGTCCTACAATGCTATTGTGATTTGTTGTGATGTTATAGTGAGCACATATAAACATTTGTTTAGCAACAAACAACGAGTAACAATACCAAACTTTTTAAGAAGAAATGCATGATTTCCGCATGCTTTAAAATAATTAAAATAACAAGTTATTATGATATTTATATGTTATAATTTAATTGACCTGCCTACCCTTAATACAGGTTACCATGACAACCTTATCTCATTGATAATTTAAGATATAGCTATAATATTTTAGCATTGTATGTGTAATTACATAATCTACATTTTCTGAAAAAATGAGAGGGATATGTGAAAAAATCACAAAATGAGAGCATTTTTATCAGAATATATGGATCACCCCTTGTATTTGCTTTCAGTATACGGCATGTGTTGGTGCTGAATGTGGTGCTTACCATAATTTGTGTGCTGTTTGCAATATTCCTGCCCAGTATTGGAACAATCATTAGGTAAATCCTTATCTCATTTGTTAGCCTCCGTGTGCCTGTATATTCTACCATAAAGGGACAATATTTCAACTCTGTATTTTGAAACATTTGTTACCTGCACCATTAATGAACTCCTTTTCTGTAAATATTAGTTTGAAAAAAAATGTTTGCCTTTTTGACATTTATTCTCTAGAAAGGAATTATTTATGTGACTTGCCTTATTTGTCTGATTGTCCACCATATATATTGTCTTCTCAAAAGTAATCATATTTTCACTTGCTCCCTCCATTGATAATAGTTGCTCCCTCCATTGATACTACTTTCTCCCTCCATTGATACTACTTGCTCCCTCCATTGATACTACTTGCTCCCTCCATTGATACTACTTGCTCCCTCCATTGATACTACTTGCTCCCTCCATTGATACTACTTGCTCCCCCCATTTATACTACTTGCTCATTCCATTGATACTACTTGCTCCCCCCATTGATACTACTTGCTCCCCCCATTGATACTACTTTCTCCCTCCATTGATACTACTTGCTCCCTCCATTGATACTTCTTGCTCCCTCCATTGATACTACTTGCTCCCCCCATTGATACTACTTTCTCCCTCCATTGATACTACTTGCTCCCCCATTGATACTACTTGCTCCCTCCATTGATACTACTTGCTCCCCCCATTGATACTACTTGCTCCCCCCATTGATACTACTTTCTCCCTCCATTGATACTACTTGCTCCCTCCATTGATACTTCTTGCTCCCTCCATTGATACTACTTGCTCCCCCCATTGATACTACTTTCTCCCTCCATTGATACTACTTTCTCCCCCCCCCCGTTGATACTACTTGCTCCCTCCATTGATACTACTTGCGTCCCCCATTGATACTACTTGCTCCCCCCATTGATACTACTTTCTCCCTCCATTGATACTACTTGCTCCCTCCATTGATACTTCGTTCTTGCTCCCTCCATTGATAATACTTTCTCCCTCCATTGATACTACTTGCTCCCCCCATTGATACTACTTGCTCCCTCCATTGATACTACTTGCTCCCTCCATTGATACTACTTGCTCCCTCCATTGATACTACTTGCTCCCTCCATTGATACTACTTGCTCCCCCATTGATACTTCTTGCTCCCTCCATTGATACTCTATGAGATACTCCACATTGCTTTTCCCAGAATTAATATAAGTTGTAAAGCTTTTGTTTTAATTTCCAGAGTTTGATTCTGTTTATATATTTTATTTTATGTTTCTCTTTTATTTCAGATTTTCTGGAGCTTTCTGTGGGTTGGCCTACGCTTTTACTCTCCCATGCTTGGTTTACATTCTTCATCTCAAGGACATGGGGAAGCTGACTTGGTTTATCTCCATAGTAACCAGCATCATCATCCTCCTTGGTATCGCAAATTTTATTGGACAGTTTTTAGTTATAGAGAAATAGTTCATGGATCATTTTTTAAGAAGTATAATTTTACTGGTTTGATCTTAAGTAATGTTTTGTTTTTAAGTAATTTAGTGTACATTGAAGGTGGAAAATGAATTTTCCATCAAATTGTTTTACAATGAATAAATAGCATTACATAGCAGTTCACTATGTATGTACAGTATACTAAGGAATTTTAATTTTATAGCATTTATAAATGATTTTTTAAAATGTGTTTCTGGTTTATTTTATTATGAGATATGAGCAATGTCCAGAGTTTATACTGCAATACTGTGTTAATTTGTCGCATTTCAATATGTGATACAGGAATTTTTTGTTTAAACTCAGATGATATGGGACCAAAAATGTAGCTAAACTCATTAGGCTAGTAGTAGTATATTTTACAATTGAAACAATCATATTTAGTGCAAATGGACTGGCAATATTTTCTTGATTATATATAGGTATATATTTATGGCTCAAATATCAATGTTATTCAATGTAAAATGCATGCATGTACTATTATATACTTAATGCAGCTATTGTACAGGGCATTGTAATTATATAGTGCCTTCATTCTTGCTAAAAATCATTATTTTGATATTCACAAAATGACATCCAATGCAAGAGCAATTTTTTGTACTGTAATTAATTGCTGGCATTCTGATTTCTGTAAAGTCATTGTAAATGAAACATTTTTTCTGGAAATTGATATCAAATGGTAGTGCCTCATTAAACGGCAACCGTACAGTGGGTGTAGCTTCCCAAAATTGAGAGAAATATGCAGCATAAAATATAAGGATAAGCAGTACACATTATTTTCTATGTCCATTTTATGAAGCTACAGCCGCCATAAAGCAAAGTCAACTGAAGTTTAAAGCATCTCCATATGTCAAGTGTTCTTGTTCTACAAAAAGCTTTCTTAGATTGAATATGAAAGCAATGCAAATAACTGAAGAATGCTTATGTATATATATTTTATCTTGATTTTTATTCATCAATGTAAAAACATTGCAGTTTAATATTTAATAAATATACAATATATTACAATAAACAAAATATTGAATTCAAAATATATGAATAATCTTATTCAGCTATTTACATGGACGGTTCTCAAGGTTGGGATTAGTTTCAAACTGCCTCTAAAAAACAAACACACATAAGTTTCAATAAGTCGAGATTCAGTCAGACAAGGGTCTGTTGCACTGCACATATATTCTTGCAAACAAATAAGTGCAGTATGAAATCCTTTAAACATTACAATATCAAGAGTCTTCCTTAGTACTCTATTGTAAATGTCACTCCACTGCATTGGTGTGAATGAAGTCCTACATGTGCATTCTTTTGAGCAGTTATGGGAGAAATGATCATACGAATCCAGTCCTTATTGAGATCAAGGCTAGGTTCATTTGATGGAATGCATTGAATTCAGTGCCCCCTATACTTCAGGTAGCGGTTCATCTTCCTCTTGTTTTAAGCCCAGGTCTCTTAGGAATGATGCCTCCTCATCCAAGTAAGCATTGTATTCTTGCTTCATGCGGTACACTATTTCATCTTCTGTTAACTGGACATTAGGCGCAATCTGGAATGAACAATTTTAATTGTATTTATGAAATACAAAGACACATACGGGACATCCCAAGTACATGTACAGGACAAAACGAATGACAAATATGTAGGATAAAATCAAAATAAGTGGAGACCAAAATACATTTTACAAGAACAAGACAAAACCAAAAGCAAATACAGAACAAAACCATATGTCAATTACATGATAAAACAAAGTAAAAGTATAGAACAATTACAAGACAAAACCAAAGATAAGTACATGACAAAACTCAAGACACCGGGACAAAACCAAAGAAAGTACAAAACACAAATACTTGGGCAGATCAAGTGCAAGACAAAAGTGTACAAAGAAACCTGTTAAGTGGAACACCTCCATTGGTGGAACACCAGAGTCTCAAGACTACCTGACTTATGTAAGTGGAACACCTCCCAAGTGGAACAGTTTTAGGGGTAGCACACATGTTCCATTTAGACAGGTTTTACTATACAGTACTTAGTCAAAACCAAAGACAAGTACTGGATATAAATGAAGAATAATTGAAATTCCTACCCCAGCTCTTCTTTTAGATTCTGCTTCAATTTCCATTTTCTCTCGTTCCCTAAAGTCCCACCTTGCAACAACGAACGCTCTCCTCTTTACTTCACGATCAAAGTAGTTTGTAACACCTTGTAGCTCATTAGGGGTGGGAACACGAAGACTCCAAGGTATCTCCATGATGTGTAGGGTACCAGAGTTGTCACCCACTGCCAGCAGGTGCTGCTTATCTATAACAGTCATTTTAGGAAAAAATCAAACTTGTTATTTATTATTTTGTTAACCTGATACTTTTCAGTCAATGTATTAGGTGTTGCTAAGGCAAATAAACCAGTTTTAATTCAATTTGTTTCAATATATCACTGAATTTAGCACGTCCAGTAATAAATGAATGGAGGATTAAACTTACTAGTTATATGGTAGGGGTATATGCAGGTAATAGGATGAGCTGATACATTCTGATTTAGTGAAGGTTCGTGAGTACGATCCAGTATGTCCCACACATCTATGCTGCCATCAACACGTGTGATATAGAACACTCCGGGTCTAGAAGGTGACCAGTAACCTCCTGTAAGACGCTTGGATGAAGGATTTGACTGAAGTATAGGCCCAGACTGAAATGGAAATGAGGTATCTTATATTACAGGGTGTCACGTAATTAATAAGATATGCCTGTGTTGTCTCCCTACGCCATTACTTTTCTAAAATGTTTGAGAAATAGAGTGATGTTCAGAAACTTAATGCAAAACTGGTGTTTCATTTGCTCTGTGGTATGAATGGATAACAAACTTCCTAACAAATGCTTGCTTATTAATCCATGAAGACTTTTATATTACTACTCTTAAATTTGACGCTTTTGGATTTTAAATTCATATTTGTTTTAGTTGGACTTTGTGCTTTCTCATCAGTTGAATTTGAAATACTTACAATGACGCCTTCCTTCCATAATGAGAAGGTCCAGCCTCCTATACATAACAAGACATCTTTGAAGAATGGAGACCTTTGAAGCGTAACTATAGGGCCATCATGAGCTTGGTGGTAAAACTCAGGCTTGGGGGCTGAAATTGAAAAATCATAAATGAGGTGTATTTGCTTAAAGAGGGTCAAATTGCATATAACAATATATTACGCCTATACATGTGCTTAGGTATAAAACCTACAAGGGTTTTGCTAATGAATAAAGAAAGAACACAAATATCCTCAACAAGACCATTTATTATTGGAGTGTTACAGAAACAATTTAAAATGAAAATGATTTCACTTAGTATGTTTCTTTTTGGCCTCTGAGTAATAAAAGTCCAAACTCTCTTCTTGAACTTGTAAGCTATAATAACTTACTGTTTATTTTTCCAGTGTCCTGGTCCTTCTGTGGCATCCAGTCTACATAGACAATCTCTCCATCTTCTGTCCCTACATAGAACTTGGTCTGCACACTCTTCAACAGTTTATTCTGCTTGGCAGAGCTTGGCTTACCGCCATACTGGAACCCCCCAACAGTGCTAGATTCCTTCTTTTCCATCCCTGGGGCTTCATCCTCAACTAAAATTAAACACAATTTGAAAAAATGAATTCTACTGTTATTTGAAAATGGTTATTCAACTAAGCTAGTTCGTTTCTTGCTGATTTCCCGAGCATGGGATATAATTTCAACATAAGTATTAAGGTGCTACATATTTTATTTAGCATATTCCTGATTTAAACATATAGGATCACCCGAAAAGCGAAAATGCCTCTGTAGAATGAAAAATTCATGAAGTTGGAATATTGGTGAATAATTGACAGGCCCTCAAAATAAACCAAGGTACGAGTGAGTTAGATTCACAATGTCATAGTATAGGGCTTAGATAAAATGTTGATAGCCAGAATTCAAGTAATTTTTCAAACTAAGATGTGTGATGTGAGGATATTCCGCATGATCACATCCTCATATTTTACCTGCACTTCTGTCCCCCTGTCTTTCTTGTATGGTAAATTTTGTAGGAGCGTGATCACCTCCAGGTTCAGCCTTAGATAGGAACACCTAGAAACAAAGCTTGGGAATAATCATTTAAGTATGGAAGATTCTGATATGTGTGTATCATTCATAATCGATTCTTTTTCTTCAACCTATGAGATGCATAACAGCATATAAAATAAAGGTAAATGAACTAATCAATACAAATGTAAATAACATGTTTCCCAGTTCCTTATTTAACTGAATTTAACTGAATTTAATGATTTAATTAAGAACCTCTTTCATGACACACATTCGTATATTTGAATTGAAATGGCAACATATTTGATGATACTTCTGGATCACCCTGTATAGAACACTTTTAAACTGACTAAATAATGTACCCTTAGATGTGGTTTCCAGACCAGGTCTAGGTGTTTGAATGTGTTTGGCACCCCCATAGGACCCTTCTCATCTTGCACCTGGTGCCCCTTTGGAGGCCTCGTGTCCCACACCAACACTGAACTGCAAATCAATAAGTCATGAATATATCAGAAGACAAGAATAATAAATTAATCGAATGGTGAATGGGATTTAAACTAACCAAATGTGGATCCAGTATTTTCAGTTAGAAATAGCACACAACCTGAATGAGAGTTTAAAGCTCAACCAACTAGGGATGGTGTAGGAGAAAAAAAATTGGAATTCGTAAAATTTCAAAATTGATAATTTTTGGGTTTGCATAGGTCCATGCACCACCTATACAATATGCTCCATCATCAGGCTTTAGTGTTGTTTACTTCAAGAAACTCTGATAACATCTGAGTAATTGAGATGATATGGGGTATATAGGTTATCTGTGCCTTGTATGTTTACAACAGAATTTACTTACTAATCCGTAGCACAAGTCATGATCTGTACACTTTGTTGAAGTTTGTTTTCCATTGCATAACCCATTCTGTTCAACTGTAAGACAAAGGTAAATTATTAATTTCTAAGTAATGTAAGAAAAGTGGACTAAGTGGGTCTTTCTTCAGTTTTACTAGCTGCAACAATTGAACGAGAGAAGACCTATAGCTATTGATGTACATTTACAAGAAGTACAGGGTGTTCAGTAAGTAAAGCTAATTTTGCTCTCAAACTTTTATTTTTTGTCATTTATCTTTCAAATTTTCAGTGAAGAAGCATTTGACATTTGTCTAACTACCCTGAAAAATTAAATAAGATATGATGAATAATAGGCAAACAATGGTTGTCATAGTAACGTGAATACGGGTTCTGCGGAGCAATTTCTTACTTTAATAAAAATGTTATAATGCAATGAAATTGATTAAGATTAATGCTGCATATGTCTTTGTTTGCTATGGCTGAAAGTCACGATAAACATAACAACAACATACACAAATATGATACCATGGCAACAGTAGTCTATGACATCACAGACAGATGATACAACAGATGGAATGATCCAGAATGATCCATCAGACACTGCTCCATGACATCATCAAAATCATGGCTGCCAGGATTGCCAATGGAAGCAAAATGAACAATGAAATGAAACAACAATTGAGAAGTAGCATCAGATACAATGTGTTGCTAGGGAAATCCAAGCAGGATACCATTAGGGATATCCAAAAAGCATATGGGACAGTGTGCCTAAGTACACAATCTACAATGATTTTGGAGTATTTTCATGTTTGAAAAATGATCTGCGTGGTAAGATCCACACAAATATCCATGAGCTTCAGAATGCCGTTCAACGTTCGCTGACAAAGAACTTTCCAGATGGCTTCCGCAGGATATATCAGAAGTGGATAGAACGACATCAGCTGTGTGTGAAAGCTAAGGGGAACTACTTTGAACATGAAATAGAATGCTAACTTGAAAGTAGAAATGTGGAGTAGCCACAGAACTATGGTTGAAATATAGACAAGACAGAAACTAACATTAACAAAATCTACTATGCTGTGAACTTATAAAATTGCTCCGCAGAACCCGTATTCGCGTTACTATGACAACCACCATTTTGCTGTTATTCATTATATCTTGATCATTTTTTCAGGATAGTTAGAAAAGTGTCTGATGCTTCTCCACTGAAAATTCGAACGATGATAGACAAGAAATAAAAGTTTGAGAGCAAAATTAGCTTTACTTACTGAACGCCCTGTACATTGGAACTAAATAATGTGTTTTGAAGATGTTACCTCCATATGATCTGGCATCCATAGAATATCTGTAATTGCTGCTTTATGACTATTCTCTATACTAGATACAGCACAGTATCTTACGATGGGGATATCCATGGCACTTTCATCTTCAAAACCAGGCTGAAAATAAAGCGTAACACATGATAGTTCTAAATATCACAATATCAGCTTTTCACTTGAATAAAATTTTAGACAATCTGATTCTGTGTAAATCTCTTAGATTGCTGAAAATGAAGTTTAGGTTGTGCATCATGCTCATGGATTTGTTAGCTTTCAGAGAAATTGAGAGTTATGCAATGCACCAAGACTTTAGCACATTTTTACTGACAGCATTTATCATTTTGTCATTTTGGATTTTTTGGCAAAGTTTATAACTTGCAATCTGATTTTTTAAGGGAAATGCTACCACAACTTATCTTTGTATTTCTCTAGTAAGTCAAAACATGGGATTTCTCTTGAAAGTATCATAAAGTAAACTTACAATAGTATTATTGTTTTTCTTCCTTGCATTAGCCCTTGGTGCTTTAAGTCTGTCTATATGTTGTGATATATCCCACAATACCAGCTGACCATTCATACACCCTCCTGCTATTATATTAGGATCTGTATTACAGAACTTGAATGAGTAGATATCATCAGGAGCCTCCAGTAGTAACTGAAAGAAGAGAACCAATTGTTGATTAGTCCAAATCACAAGTAGATGGGTCTTCTTTATATACAGGTACATTTGAATAATATATTTAAACCATTAAATATTTTTGTGCAAGATACAGAAATGTTTATTAAATGTGTATTAAAAGTTAAGACTTTTTAAAAATATGGGCCCATTTTCCAAAAAGGGTCCATTCAAAAGGCCTTTTTGAAAATGAGGCCCCCAAAATGTCCACCAGTGTTTATGGAGTTATCTATATCATAATAATAGTGGACTCATTTTTGGTTTTCAGTTACATTTGTAGAAAATCTTAAATATAGAAGGACAAACTATGCCTATTTCTTTTGTTAGACATGTCCTTTATTCAAATACCTGTGGATGAATGGGATCAGCAAAGCTCCATATGAGTATTAGAGAGGGGGTCATTATGATTTTTTCTGCATTGTCTATCCTATCATCAAATGATATCTTCTCTGATGCAGATACAGCTACAATACCTGAAATTATAGATAAAGCTACAATGTACCCCCTATACATAACGACATTTGAAAATGATGATTTGACAATATTTCACAATATAATAACAGTTTAATTATGATAATAGTTTTTTAAAGAAGCATCTGTTGAACCAAAAGTGCTTCCAGTTTTCACTTTACAGAGGGCCTTGGTCAATCTGCACATGTAGTGCTTTTGTGAGTCTTTCATCAAGTATACCTTTTATAGTTGGATGCCAATCTATGCATGTGATAGTTTTATCTTTGCTGAACTGTAGATCTGTAAATGACTGGTATTCCTTGAGGTGATTATCTGCCTTGCTGCCAAAACCACTATCGTCATCTCCAAGTTGATTCCAGTCATCAGCAAATACATCCATGATCTCATTCTGTTGCAGAGCCAGCTGAAACCTGTAATTTATTAAATATGACAATTGGTTTGTTATACAACTTGTGCTCTAGATCTATATTGCACACCCTACCAGGTATGTAATGACAAGTGACATGGTCCCTGAGATTCCCATTCAATATCACACTCTGTGTGTATGTACAAAGCCCATATGAACATGCGAGAAACACATGCACTAAGGGGAAAATGCTCTTCAAATTTTGATTTATAAAATAATGTCTATTTCAGTGTTTATACCTTGGAGCCACAGATTTTAGGAATTCTCCAACTTTGGGGTTTTCATTTTCAACCTTCAGTTCTTCCTCATTGAACTCTCTTGGGTAATATTGAACCTCAGCATTCCTGGGGTGTCTCCAAGTTGTCTGACATCCCTGGTCTATAAATTGAGGGACTGCCTAAAATGGAGACACATTATGAGATTAAAATATAAATTGGAAGTCTACCCCTGAATTTGAAATCCATCACTTATTGAAAGTCACAAAATTTGAACATAACTTAAATGTCTGAAATATACAGTTAAACCACTTTACAGTGAACACCTATGGAGCCACAAAAATGTGTCCACGGAAGGTAGGTGTTCTCTACAGAAAGACAATTTTATACAGAAATCAGTGGAGTATGTGCTGAGAAGGGGTGTTCCCTATCGATGTTCACGAGAGAGAGTTGTTCATTAAAACAGGATTAAATGTACCTCTATGGCATGCTTTGATTTGGCTGTTAACAACAGATCTTACTTGTATAGACTTTGTAAGCTCTACTTTCTTCACATCAGGTGTTTTGTCTTCATATGGGGTACATTCAATGTAACCATCTTTAGCATCTGCAACATTGCGGTCTGTAAATTTAACTGGAGCACCAAACTCTCTTCGAAGTCTCTTAACACTGATGCTGATCTGGAAAATGTGGACAAGAGTTTTGAAAGGGTTTTGATTTACATTATTTATGTGTTTTTTATAAATTACAATCCTGAATATTAGAATGCTAAACACTGCAAGGATGGTGAAATTCATGATATATCACAGCAACTTCTACTTCTAGCAATAGAAATCTTGTGATAGTTCAACTGGACGATTCACAGAGAGTTATAAATTAAGAGACAAACGCCCGCCCACCCAACCGCCCGGCAAACTGATTACAATATAGCACCTTAAGACTTACTGAAACACATAGCCACCCAACTTATTTAGAATTCTAAATCTCAACTTTAACTTTTTAAAAGTCTAATATAATCTTACTGGCTTTCTTGTTTCTACAACTGCTTCCTCTGCAATTTCCTTCTCACTGCCATATGATATCCAAGGCTTAGATTCTGGGGGGATGTACTTATATTCAATCTGTTCTTCTTCGACTGCCTCTCCACCTTCACCTCCCTCTGCACCCTCCTCTTCTGGCTACAGGGAGAAAATACAGAATTTACTTGTAGTAAATGTAAGAGTAAAACACAGAGTGATAAAAATATAACGATAGAAAACACAAGGTTATTAGATTGTATCACCACAATAATTCTACAAAAACTAAAATTATTGAAAAATACAACAGGGTGAATAAAATGCAGGAGTTATTACTGTCCACTTACCCCCTTCAGCAGCTTGTCTTTAGCTTCCTCTGTGAGTGCAATAAGGTAGTTTTGTCCATGCTTGAAATCTGCATCATATACCACAAGTATATCTTCACCTGGATAATCCTGAAATTCAAAATGATTAATCCAATCATTCAATCATCTCTAGTATCATAGATCGCCATGGAATTTGGGATAGGGCACTTACGATTTGGAATTGGTGGAATCCATGGATGAATCAAATTCGTTTGAACAAACACGTGATTTAAACATCACATCTCAAAAGGGATTCTCAACGAACTGCATAACAATGGTGATCGCAAAAGGTCCTTGCAAAGTCCTAATTATTCACCTATTTCTAACAGTTCCTATGAATTATTTTTTTGTACGAATGAATTCTTATAACATTAGGAATAAACATCTTATAAAATAGGGTGAATTTAATCGGTAGGAAACATGAAGAAAATTATGTTCAAAGGATTGATATTTGAGTACTAAGGAACTGAATTGTATTTTTAACAAGTATAAAACACTGACCACTATTGTTTGCTTTATGACAGAAAAATCTGACACTCCAGCCCGCATTTTCAAATCTTCCAAGATTTCAGCTTTTGGAATTAGCTTGAATGGTTGCTCTTCTGTGACATGTTCATCAGCAACACAGGAGAATATTTCCTGGGTCTTAGATGTCATGAAAAATGGTGCAACATTGTCAGGTAGTGCATTCTCATCTTTTTCTTCCTCAGGGGGTGGCTCTGGCTTCTTCTCTTCCTCCTTTTTGCCACCTTTCTTACCTAAAACAATATTTGTTATGTTATTTATGGCATCATCATATCTTTGATCTTAATTTTCTAATTAACTGAGGTCAAGAAAAAAACATTATCATGTATTCAGTGTTTTTTGCTCAATATCAATCAAAGTGGCAAAGAAGAATACCAAGTGTAAATTGTTCTTTTCAATACCCTTGGCAATGTGTTACAATCGTAAAAATAAAAAAAATTACAGCTGATCATATATGGAAGATATTGAAGATTTAAGATGCCAAAAATGTCTAAATTCAAAGAATTTATAAAAGATGTACTTTTTTAGAATTATTGACATATTTGTGTTTAGAGGAAAAAATTGATATTTTGATTTACCTATTATTTTGACTATTATGTAATGCATTCTAAAAACAGTTACTATTGCCAAGTGCACCTAGTGTCATAATTGACCCTCTTAATATTTACAGATTGTAAACTTTTTGTTGGATTGTTTTATCTTCAGGAAGACGCTTTCAATAAACTAGAGTTTACCAAACTCTCCTAATTTCTTAAAAATAGACTAATCCAGTAGACTCATTTGGAGCCGCCATATTTTTTATGAGAGAAGCTATCCCCTAACTTGTAACTACAGTGGACTGCATATTTGGATGCCTGTTACAGAGTTACAATAAAGTTAGACTTACCACCCTTTTTCCCAGCAGCTTTACTTGTTTTTCCTTTTGCAGGAGCTGGACTTTTTGCATTAGCTGGTGATTTGGACCTTTTACTAGTGGCACTCCCTGGCTTTGACTTGGCACTTCCTGGCTTGCTTCCACTGGTGTCCTGTAAGAAAACATTGTTAAGCATTGTTCATTTTAATTTCATGAAATTAACAAAACACAAAGAGTAACTTACAGATTTGAATCATAACAACTTTTAGAAATTTTAACATTTTGTTGAACCTGATATTATATTTATATGGCAGTGAAACACGTATATAGTGAACACCACTGGAGTGTACTCTGGAGGAAGGTGTTCATTACAGAGAGGGGATTTTATACAGAAGTCAATGTAAAATCTCGAAGTGGTGTCGTCTAGAGACAGGTGTTAGCAAGAGAGAGGTGTTCACTAAGATAGGTTTACTGTATATTCTTGCTCTTGTAATTTTATTTCCAACATCCACTTAAACTCATGTATCTGAAGGCTATAAATCTTAAAATGGGGTAGTACCTTTTCTTTTTCTTCTGTTGCATTTTGTTTTTCCTTGTCAGATATTGCCTTATCCGGGTCACCCATTTTTATTCTTCTGAAACATAAAAGAACATTTTTTATTTTACATAACTAATTTTAAGTATATGCTTAGAGTGAGCAGATGTGGATGTGTATAAATTGGAAAGTACATGTAAGGTACATGTACAAGGGCTTATTGTTATATGTTAATTATGATAAAAAACCTGTTTTAGTATATTTGGCAGATGAGATATTCAAGTTTTTCTCATTTTAATTTTACTTCACAAATTAGGCATAGGTATCATTCTGATACTCATAGTATTTTTCTGCTTCACCTGAAACACATCTCAGGGCTGAGAAGAAATGAGATGTTATGGTTTATCATGATGCATAGGCGTAGGTTTGAATTAATTGTGAGGGTAGCAGAATGGAAAATTTCCAGTCTGAACAATTATCATATTTATGGGAGCGGGTCTCAAGAAATTTTAAATTAATAAGTCTCCAAACAAATATGTTTTATTTGCCTCCCACGTGTACATGAATACTTATGGCCTCCCAATGCATAGGCTGAAAACCTTTAGCTATTACTCCTAAGCATTGAGTACAAAACAGAAATGCAACCGTTGGCAATTCCAGTGATCATGATGTCTATTCCGGAGATTGTATGCTTATTCTGAAGAAGTGATGCCACTCCAGATGACATCACACCATAGATTACAAAGAAACACCATGGTGTTTCTTAAAATACCTTAAAAACAATAACCATGGTTTATTTAGCCTACGTGATCAAACTGACAGATGAACATCGGACATCACCAAAACTACCAAAGCCGGACATTATCTTTTCGCTCTAAAATTTGAAAAATTGTCTCGGAAAACTCTATTAATAGCGTCAATAGTAAATATAATGGAACCATTCAAGCTGAAATATGGAGAGGATACAGGTTCAATATTACTTGATGTTTGAAAGATGGTGAAGGCAAAAGTCAGTATGAGGGTCATGTTTTGGGTAGATCTAGTCATTTTTGGATGTACTATTTTTGGCCTTGTGTCCTGTCTGCTCATTATTTCATTGAGCCTACCATGGGCATTCAATAGAAGCCCATGAGAGACCCTATCGCACGGCATAAGTCTTGCAATAGATAGCATGCCTACCAAGCCAATGTGAATCCGATCTGGCTCAGGGCCTGTGTCAAAAGATGAGAATCAATGAAGAGGTAGGCCTAGGACCGGACTGGTAGCTTATCCACACTACCAACTCAGTGACTGATCCCAAACACATGAACAACTGAGTGAAAGTGAAAACTAGAAAACAATCACGATTACCTTTATCAAAATTGAAGACTGTGCATATAGGCTTATAACACTTACATTGTATGCTTTAGATGTATTTAGTTTGTTTGGGTATGTTTCTGCTGTGCTATGGGGACGTCAGTAATCGAATAATCAGACAAAATATAAAATTTCATGAAAATGTTTGGTCCACAGTCTCCATCTTGAAAGTTCCCGGATGTAGGTTGCTATGACATAAATTTTCCGATTTTACAAGCCTGTCTTCGCATTTCTAGAGAAAAAAATCCACCAAAATGTAAATAAGAGATATTGACGACTATTTGTAATTAAATATTTAGGTATTGCGTGATTATTTGTTTATATTATAAATATTGATAATTCCACCGCCATTTTTATCGAAGGGGGTATAGCTCAGTGGTAGAGCATTCGACTGCAGATCGAGAGGTCCCTAGTTCAAATCTGGGTGCCCCCTCATTATTTTTCTTTTCTGGAAGGAAGTTTTTATTTTTATAATCCTTCTTACAACATTATTATTGGACTACTGACAGTGTTATATCTTGCCAGAATCTATGGTCTAGGGCTCTAGGCCAGAGGGAAAAGGTTATCCCGTGCCGACTAAAGTCCTGGCACGGGATAAGGAAAAGGTATCAGCATAGTACAGGCCACTACAGGGTGAGCCAAAATAGGTAACCCAAACAAATTTTAATTATTCAGTCATGCATGTGTTTAGGGTCACATTGGCACAACTAACCCTTGTTCAATGTTCTTTCATTCTACCCAAATAGCCACAATTTAATGGCAATTTAAAAAGCATGCTCAAAATGCTGGTCTCTTCTCTGGAGACAAACTTGATTTCAATCAGGTGAAGTTGTTCTGACTACAATCTCACAGTCGCAGTCAATAAAATGAGTAGTAGTAGAATGAAAGAACATAGAACAAGGTTCAATTGTGCTGAATGACCGAGTTAACGTTCATTTGGATTACCTATTTTGGCTCACCCCATATATACATAGGATTACCACTTTCAAAGGCCAGCCTTTCAAGTTTGAAAGAGGTTAGGCCTACCACCCACCGATCACCAACCACCGTCACAAAAAATGGAGACCATAACAATATGTCACCACTTTTTGGTGGTGATATAAAAAAATGGACACCATAACAATATGTCACCACTTTTTGGTGGTGACATAATAACTATAGTTCTGATGGGACTTTAAAAGAGCAGGTCTGGTGATACCGAACAATGTGACATAAAAATAGAAAAATATTCTTTAATTCTTTTAATTTATTGGTCACTATGTAATTCCACGGACTTTCAAACCTATTTGGTCTAAAGTATTGGACTATTCATTTTCATACTTGAAGAAACAGCAATTTTGTCTTTTTGTCAGTTAATATTCCTTCTTCTGCCTATGAAGTATTTTCTTCATTGCATATTCAATGAAAATAGTGAAAATGGATGATAATGTGGCATTTTTAAGATTTGTGTCCAAAAGTAACAGTTACAGTACCACAGGCAGACATACATGGACTGATGGCAGAGGAAGAAAGTATTTCCATTGAATCTGGTGGAGACATTTGTGATTTCACATAATATATGTACATAACTATAGGCTAGTATGTAATTATAAAATAATATTTATATTTCTTGGTCAGTGGTCATTACATGGTGTACATAAATGATGTAACTATGTATATACGATATAACTTTGTGTAACTATGCAGTATGCAACTGTTGATCATTATGATTGGTTCTGAGAGAAATGACTTTACTATTTCTAAAACGTACTTCTGCTTTGCAAATCTGCATGAAAACTATGAACTTCAGCTGCTCTCTTCCTGACAATTTGCCAATTTGATTGTTGTTGCTTATCTTGCAATATGTACTGTTTTTCTTAAATGTGTACCTAATTCACACCAAGCTGCTTATCTTATCACACAACAATTAAATACAATAAACAACAATGAACATATACTGCAATACTCCTATGGTATTATATGACTATTTTTGTATTCCTTATTAATTTGACAATGTTTTTTGACAATTTTCTCAATATTGGCACCCATTTAATTTAACGGATTTAAATGGCATGGCACTTTCAGTAAGGAATTATTTAGGTATAACTAGGCCTACAGTAAATGCAAATAAATTGAGTCAACACACATCAAGAATCCCAATGCAAAAGAATTACAATTACAAATGAAACTAACTCCATAATTGAAGTTACAACATATGACATCATCAATCATTCTCGCCAATATATCATAGCTTTATTTATGTACCGAAAGATTGCAGGATTTATCAGAAAGGTCCATTATAACATGGAAACAACTGCTAAATTAGCGAAAACAAGCAATTTGGGTAAAAATACGAGGAGAAAATTGGGACACAAATGCAGCCATATAGCATAGGCATGTTTAAGACAATACTTACTCAGACAGATGCCAAATAGATTAACATAATACTCAAAACTGTAAAACAGAAGTTGTGTACAAAGTGTATTTGTACCATTTATCGGCAGGAATCATTCAGACAAGTTGATACACCCATGTTGTTTAATAAAAAACATAAATCCGAAATTCATTTTCTAATAACTTCATGGGTTTGGCAATGATGAAGGTTTAATGAATATAGTAGGTACTTATTTGTAAATGTGATTAATTTGACACCAGCATTCAAATAAAGTGTGGTAATTTTTTTTTCAAATGAAGGATGAGACCAGGGTAAGGAATATTATAAAAGTTTGTCTAGGTTCAAGAATCATATCCTATCATGGGTTAAATGCATACCACAATACTTTAGCCTAAAATACCTAGTAGGAGAAATATAAATCAATGAATTTTACTGGTGTCAAATTAAAAACAAATTACGAAATATGAAACTGAGATAGAATTCCAAAATGAAATCTTTATAAAAGATTTACTATTGATCCGTTTCCATCATGTTGTTACTGTCTGTCGACTGAGCTTCCATTTTCAATGCATGCATGGGGTCTGATGCTAATCTATTGTCTGAGCAAAGAGGACCTCCAAATGTATTTATTCCATTCGTACTTGGAGGTAGTAAATTAGATTCATTTTCAGGCATCCTGATTGGTGGATTGTTTTCAGCATTTTCTTGCTGACTGGTGCCACTATCGTCCCAGTCTATTTTGAACCTGGTCACTCTTGGGTCAGTAGCTAATATATTGCGCTGTAACTGGAATAAAAAATTATGTTTTTGATTTCTAATGCATAAGTTTCTTCGTCTATGGCTATTTTTATCTAACCCTGGCAGAAGATTTCTGCAAAACTGAGAAAACTGTAGAATTAAAGATTTGTTTATTCATTATCAATTTTTTGAAGCAAACCTACAATTTATTGTTACACTGATCTATGGTTTTGAAACATGGGCTCAAATGAGCAGTTGTGTAAGACTTAATTCAATAAATGTTTAAGATATTTTTCAAGATGTGAACAACTAAAAAGGCATTAGGCTAGCAATTCCAAGCTATGTCACAAAATGTCAGTTACAAATAAAAATGGTGGATAGCCTTTATAATATGTCACCACAACTAAAATGACCTGTTCTAAAATATTTTGTTAGTCTTCAATTGATTACAAGCATAGCACATACAAGATAAGAGGTAATGTGACACAGATTTATCTATTCTCAACATTTTTAATACTATTTTAACAATTCAACACTTGTTCAAGGCTATACTGTCAAAGAGGACCTCATACTTACTTTATCAATTTCTGGGGTAACTGGGGGATTCTCTTTCATTTCTGGGTCACTGTATTCATTGTTGACATAATAGCCTACGCGTATAAACTCCTTCCCTCTATAAGAGCATGTTAGTAGAATCACAGTTACACCCACGATATCTTGGGTTGGGATCTGTGTTGTATCAGGGGGGTCAGCCTGAAAGATAAATGGTTATGTACCTGTACATCATTCTCTTTTATGTAAGCCCATGATGATGCCATTGGTAAAGCCGGATTCCTGTTGTTTTCCAGCTTCATAATAAATGCAATTGGCATTAATTTGGTACAAATTGAATGAAGAGACATCAGAATCATCATCAATCTGTTAAGAGGGAATATGGGATGCTGTATGAGCCTTGAATATAAACAGATCTCTAAAGCAAATTCAACATTCAAAAACTGGTGCTTAAGATCAAGTATCATGTGGAGACATTTTTATGTCAGTCACCTGAAAGGTCAGAAGCTCATATAAAAATCAAACTAAGGCTTTTTGATAACATATACACACATTTCTAAGTTCTTAAAATGTCAAGGTCACATTAAAAGCTTAAGGTCATGAAAAAGGTCAATGTCATCTCAAAAGTTCAAAGAACAATTTCTGGATATTTAACATTACTACAGTATTCCTAGAAGGTCATGGCCACTGTGTATACTGGAATATACATTAATAAATTGATAATGTTAAGTTATTAACGATCAAAGGTCATATTAAGAGGTCAAGGTCATTGAAAAGGTTAATATACTATTTCTTTATATTTGTGACAAATCAATAATTTTCAAGTTTTTTTTAAATCAAAAGGAAATCTCCGACTCACCTCAAAGACAAACTTGTGTTTACCACCTGGAACTGGACCAACTAATACAGAATCTAAAGTTTGATCATACTTTTCACTCTCTGCAGATCCAACATATATCAACTTCCATTCCAAATCTGAAAAGTAAATGTTACAAATAAAATCAAGCATTTTGGCAATGCTAATCTGAATAAGTATATTATAATATTGAGGGAATTCTTTCTCGAGCTTATGTCTATAAGATACCAGCATATCAAATTTAAATCTTCCTGTCTAACTGTATTTGAGTTATGCCGAGACAAATGACCAAATTCAGTGTACTCATTTTGAAATATTTATTCTGCATTTCCTGGCTTCAGGCTTTATGGTATTATTTATGTAATTCCAAATGACAATACTGTATTCCTGGTATTTTTAGCGTGCGATTTAGTTTCGCGCTTATCGCGATGTGTTTAAATTGCGAAAATTAATCTTCACGAAATTATCAATTAAGGTAACTTATAACTTAATAAAAAAATCCAAGATGGCCGTAACCAGGAAGCACATGGCATTTGAGTATAATCTGACCATCAAAATTAACTGTCTTTTGGTTGGATTTTCTCTCAATTTTTTAGTTCCACTTATCATTTATATAACCAGGCTCACTGTGGTAATGCAAATAGAAACAGTAAACATTTTGGAATGGGAATTTGAGTCCTCTGAAAATGTGACAGAAAAATTCACAAAAAGAGTAGCACGGCAAAGGTCCCTGAACATTTTTTTTCTAATTTCTCTGAAACACCCCTTTAATATAGCCCAAAATGGAAGGAGCTTTAGAATTTTGAAATCTCTCATACAAATTTAAAAAAATAGAAAAAATCAATTTGAGAAGTGTACTTTTTTCCTTATTTTGATCCCAATTTTTTTATCTGGTAATTTTTCAAATTTCCGTTGCTCCTTCGTTTTTGATATATGTTTGAAGTATATTTTCTGAAATGTTCAGATATTTTGAATCAGCGGTTTTTCACGGGCTACTCCTAGAAAAAAATCTTCTCAAATCCTTTAAACGGCACTTTTTCTCAAACTAAAGTTTTTTGTTGTTCTTTGATGTCTTTGTAATGATTACAGTGCACAAACATATGTGAAATAATAAAAACGACTTCTCAGGAAGAGTTTGAAAATTTCAATATTGTGAAATTTTCAATTTTTTCTGAAAATCAATTAAGTTAACAGTCACCTTAAATCAACGGGTATTTGTGAAATTTTTCATAACCTGAGACTCCATTGCATTTTGTGTTTTGTAAAATCTTTTTTAGGTGATAAACAGGATACTTAGTAACAATGTCTGTTACAGTGGCTAATTAGATCAAATAAACCAAAAAAATATGATGCAATAGAGGGTATTAAAGGTGCAGCGTGTCGTTGAACAAGATGACATAGTAGGAGGTGTACTTAGTGAAATTCGGGGAATTTAATAGCCGCGAAATCGTGTTTTCTCAAAATTCGTAAAATTAAAAATCGCGAAATTAACCAGGAGTACAAGTCTTTATTAGGCACATAAGTGCACTCTTTGTGCAAAACTGGAAGATATAAACAATGTGGGGAAGGAGTGATTCTTGTTTGAAAAATAACATGTGACTCAATTGAAGGATATAGAAAATTTCCCATCATGCACCCTTACCTTAATAGTGGGACTTCCTGCAAATGGTAACAAAATCTGTTACAAATATGTATTTTTTTTTCTATGTCCAAAGTGAATTCTAATGTGAAACATGCCTATAATAAAGAGACAATAACTTGTTATGTTGAATGTATGTTATCCTTACCCTCTGGAAGATCTTCTAAACATTCAAACGTGATTTCGAACTCGAATGTGTTGGAATAATTTGTGGGGTTGCTCAGCACTGTTACATTGACAATGTTGACTTTTGCCATGATTTACCGCCTCCTACTTGTAACTTTAGTATAGCTTAGTATTAGTTCTCGTGCAATAATGTTATAATATGTCTATTTATGGTTCAATAAGCTAAATATTATAAGCTTTCTTTGTGTTTTTTCTATAAATTTTTTACGTCTAATATGGCGCGAAATGTCCTTCTTTGTTACAATGAATTCTACTGGTCAGAATTTCTCGTAGTTATTTCATGCGTTATGATTGGTCAATATTTTCATCATAATACCGAACGTTGAGCTCTTTTTCAACGAAAAAGGACAACACAGATTAATAAGTTCATTGATTTAGTGGTGCAGAGGCTGAATAATTTATACCTCCTGTCCCCTAAAATATACATTGGGTTTGACTTTCAATAAGATGTGATAAATGTTATGAGGGTGACCATACATTTTTTTCCCGGTATACACCAATGGGGTAAGTTGGAACCTCCATAGACTTAACATTGCGTGGGACCTCGTGGGACCTTTTGGGATTTTGCCCCATGAAGTCTGTGGGACTCCATGGGACTCCGTTGGATTTTTCTCCATCTTACCCCATCGAGTCCCACGAGGTCCCATGAAGTCCCACGTGGGACTCAGTGGGACTCGATGGGGCAAAATCCCATGGAGTCCCATCTTGCTCCATCGAGAATGAACATGTTCATTCTTTCCATGGGGCAACGTGGGAATTCGATCATACGACGTATCACGTGACTTGCTTCATGGGACTCCGTGGGATCTGATGGGACTTCAAAGGGCTCAATGGGGCAATTTGGGATTCGATGGGGCACGATGGGACTCAATGGGGCAAAGTCATCAAGGTCCCATGGGACTTTGTGGGATTAAGCCCGGTATACACCAATGGGGCAAGTTGGGACCTCCATAGACTTAACATTGCGTGAGACCTCGTGGGACCTTTTGGGATTTTGCCCCATGAAGTCCGTGGGACTCCATGGGACTTCGTGGGATTTTGCCCCATCTTGCCCCATGAAGTCCCACGTGGGACTCGATGGGGCAAAATCCCACGGAGTCCCATCGAGAATGAATATGTTCATTCTTTCCATGGGGCATCGTGGGATTTTGGATCATATGACGTGTTGTGTGAAGCCTGACATACACCAATGGGGCACGGTGGGATTTGATGGGACTCCATGGGGCTTGATTGGGCACGATGGGGCAAAGTCATCAAGGTCCCATGGGACTTCGTGGGATTCGATGGGGCAAATTGGGATTCGATGGGGAAAGATGGGACTCGATGGGGCAAGTGGGAGTATTCATATGATCACGTTTTTATTTCTTAGTTATTTCTTTGAACTATACATAAATAATGAGTTTTTTCTTGGTTTGTGTATAATAGGAAGCATGTTCCTCAAATCCAATGCTCGTATGTGGATTCTGAGAAGTTGCATACCCTTCTCTTCAAAACCAATGATTCTAGTAATTCTGATGTTCAGTTTTCAAATACACACTATTTTATCTCTTTGTATACATATCTTTGAATGTGATTTTCAGTTTGTGAGACTGTAGTAAACTTATCAACATGATAAATATTAATACAGGTAGTCATTTTACAAATGTCATAAAGTATGGGAATAATCTGAGAGTATTTATGAAATTATGAATCATGGGAGATTATAAATAATTTTTACAATTAAGGTCAATTATAAATTTACGCCCATTATTCCAAAATTGGTTGAAAAATACTGCCCTATCTTTTGTTTATACCTCAATTATTTGAATCAGCTTGACATCAAATTATGAAATCATCTGTAATACCATATGTAGCATCATAAGTGATATAATATGTGGGTAAAGGTTTGCCTTATTTGTTATTCAAGGTGTACGTGACCAAAATCCCACTTTGCTTCAAATGTATAGAAAACATGAAGTAGGAATTGTTTAACCGGCCTGGTGTAGAGTGATGGCCTGGTGTAGAGTGATGATGCCAAGATTATGAGCCCCTTACTCAAATATAGAACAGTGAATTCTCCCCTTTAATTCATCAACTTTGTTGAGAGAGCATGCCTGAATGGATAGGATAGGCTAGTACTTACTTTAAGTCAAACCATCATGGATGTTATATGAGTACATCACTCTTTCATTTCCACACTAAACACTTCATGACTGAGAAAGTAATTCCAAAATAGAGGGTTGTTTTTGTGTCACCTTGTGTGTACACATTATATTTCAGTTTTGGAAAGTCAAAATCATTCTGTCAATTCAAGGTTTGGGGCCTTATAAGGATTCTGGCAGAAATATTCCATGTTATCCAACCTGAGAAAACTCGAGACTTCAGTGAAAAATTTAAAAGTGAAACTAAAAAGTTTTCATGATTTTTAACATATTTTAATTATTTTATCATCAAAGTAAATTACAAATACATTTCAAAAGGTTGAGACAGTTTTAAATGTTTAATCAACATTCCACTGCTACCGCTAAGTATTTATTCCACAATTTTTTAAATAGTCCTTTATTATAATTTCTGCTTCAGTCCTTTTATTCAGTTTATTTGCTTTTCCTTGAAATTTTCCCTTTTTCCCAGCTCCCTTTCCTTCTAGCACTTCAGCTACCCTGAAACATAGAGGTGATCATGATTACACACCTGCAGTTTTGTTTTAATGAACATCGGAGAATAGCCCGTTACCAGGCATTAACATGCAAAATGTCACCTCCTGCCATATGTTACAGACACCCAACCACCCATCGGATGCCAAACACGAACAGCCAAACACCATCCACAAAAAAGTTGGAGACTATAATTATGTCATCACTTTTTGTGATGCCATGATTAAAGGATTGTATAGTTTTAAGTTTTTTCTTTTTAAAGGGACAGTTTCTTCAAATGATTTGATTTCTTTGACTTTAAACACCCAAAATCTTACTTTGGTCCTAAATGAGATATTTGGTCCTCTGTACCAGCCAGGAGAAAAAGTCCAGCTCCTTTCTCATCGCCAGTAGTTAGAAATATAAGCACATCCTGGAAAATCAGTTCACTATTTTATTGTACAAAATAGTAAAACTGCAATTTTGTATTTTTATAAATTTTGAACTGATACATATGGAATAATATTATTTTCATGTGACAATTTCTACATTGCATTATTGTGAGTTTTTGAACTTTGAACTTAGCTATAACTCTAAGAGAAACCATTATACATTGTATCTTATTATTGGAAATGTTCATAAAATATGTTTGAAGAATGATTTTGAAAATAATTGGGGAAATTCAATGCTTGAATAAGTAACTGAACTGGTGATTGATAATAATATATGATAAGATCAAACTCAACTTACCCCTGAGTTTATCTCATTTACAATGATATTCATGAATTCACTATCTCCTTCTTTCCTGCAAATTAAAATAACATCAGTTTTGAAATCATTACGCACTAAAATGAACCAACTGAGATGGACCAATATCAATCAAAATATTTGTGTTTGGTCATGGTATGGCAATGCTTTATGAACAGTGATCAATGTGGGTTTATTAATATCTTAATATAAAATAAATACAGTTTATTAAAAATCTAAACTCGAGTAGCATACTGTAAGGTAACAAATTATGTGGATTAGGCTAATCCCAAAAGCTTCAAACTGAAAAATTGTATGTATGAGTTATTGCCTACTGGTAGAGGAACAAGGTTGATTACAAGAATTTCAATATTCAATACAGTAAGGAAATAATAACCTATGTAAGGTGAAGTAGTTTCCAGCATTGCCATTGGATTTAAACATTTTTGCTTCCAAGATGGCTAAATCTCTCATCAATGTCAATGCACTCTGGAATAAAGAAAACAAAACAGAGACATGTCATTCTAAGTATTTTACAAAAATTCAATGTCACAACATGCAGCTCTTCCAAAAGACAATCACTCCTTGCCTTATTTGATGTTTAAAGATTTTCAAGTTTCTAGAATCTTCAATCTGTGTTCAAAGTTCACTTTTTCATAATTTGATTCACTCCCTAGAATCGAATCTGAGATCTATTGGTCTGTATGAAGAAGCATGGGCAAGAAACTTACTTTTTGAGCAATTTTTAAATTCTTCTGAGTTTTTTCAACCAATTCAGCATGCTGATCAGGACCAGTCCTGCAAAAATAATTTTTAAAAGATTTACTTAATGATGTAGGACTAGTTCATGAGCTCCATATTCATCTATGATATCACTAAGAATTATATGCCATGTTGGCTACACAAAGGTGACATGATGTTCCATTTGTCAATTATAGTGGAAAATGACTGATGGCCAATGGACTGAGGTAATTTGAGGCAATGGCAATAGAAAACAAGGTATAAACATGATGAAATGTCACAACCTGCAAATTGTTAGAAAGTGTTACAATTGTTTCCAGACGTCAAACACTGACACCACTGAATCAAAAAAATGTGGCTAACAATATGTCACATTTAACCATGTGGTAAACACTGTACTTGTAGCCATTACATGTAAATTATCAAGAAGAGTCATTTCGAAGTATGTACTCACTTCAGCAAGCCAGTGAGAGCCTTTTCATTATTATAAGCAGTACCCAGATAGTTTAGCACACGATTTCCAGCAACAAAAACCAAGTTACTGTGATTCTTCTTGCCTTTTTCTACACCAAGAAGTTTTATACTCTAAAACAAAATCAGTATCTTAATGAGTGTATCCTATATCTACAAAACAATATAACAATTATTACATACATGTGAGCATTCTATGTGTCCATTGGTCATCTACATTTACATAAAATTCTCCACATTATTCATTGCATCAACATTTTGCTAACAAAACTGCTTTCGAAGTAAGAATTTGTTTTCTCAATAAAAAAGGTATTCTAAAAGATAATTGTTTGTTCATATATCATACCTGCAAATGACTTAAATTGGACACATGGGTACCACAACACAGGTTTGCTTCTATGCCTTCTATGGTGACAATACGTACAGGACCCACATGGTCATCAGGTAAACCTCTAGCCCTGGCCTGAAGTAAAACATTGGCAATGGAATAAAACATGCAACAGAGTTCAGTGCCTTCATTGAGACGTTACTGTTCAACTGCTATGTTGGTTCAAATCAACATAAGAAGGAGACAAATCTTCAAATAAAAAATAAAAGTAAATGCTTGAAGGTATGCTTATCTTGATACATTTTGAAAGCATTATGGTTAACAATGGAGTTCAGCTTGAGCATATATTCAACCCTTTTTATTGCTGTTATAACCATGATAACTTATAAGGTATGAAATGTACCGAACTGATTACTGTAATTCCATTATTATTAAAATTCAACAGTGGACTTTTCATATTCCATTGATGTATTACCTTTTCAACTTCAGGATCTTCAGCATTCTCATATAGGGTAGGATACATTGCAATACCAGCCCTAATCTTCTCATTCACAATATTCTCTATGTTTTCCAGCTGGTCATTTGATACCTTAGGTGTATCAAGTTCAATAAATGATGTCTTCTCTCCAAGATTCCTGCAATGAAAACAGTTTTCATAGAAGTGCATCATAATTTTTTCTCTAGAAGACTGAACACTTTGTGTTCTGCGAAAATTATATTACACCAGCTGATTACCACAGTATTTTCATTCTTTGGTAATGTCTTAACCCCCAATCATTTCAATGCTGTAATTTGTACTTTCAAATTGTGGATCTGTATTGGTAAAATATCAGTACTGCACTTGGGTATAGCAATTAATTTAGTACAACATACAAAAAGTTAACAAAAAAACTCAAATTGCTGTATGATTGGGAAAACTTTTACACACAGTTGATTCTGGCAAAGTAGTGCATTACAGATAAGATGATACAAAAGCTGTCCACTGAAGTACTAACCAGGATGTAGTCTTGAAGCCATATACTGAATCTGCTATAGCTGTCACAAGATGTTGACCTAAAACGATTGATGTAATGCTATTAAAAAAGTAAGTGTTCAAATAAACCTGTTAAAGTACAGTGAGTATAAAATTATTAAACTTTTCAAAATTTGTTCCAAACTTATAATCCTATACTTAGAAACAAACCTGAATGTTGCTGCATGTTGTCAAAGCGCCTTGTCCAGTCTACTTCCAGGTGCACATTGGAACCTATGTCAAATGGTGTTGGGGTGAAATGAACCCCATCAGTGCCTTTTCTTGTCACTCTCAGGACCTCCACACCACTGATCTATATAACAACACATACAAGCTATAGGAAATTAAAATTTGATGGGTGGCCTTGACATAAATTACGTACATCAAATAATTTCATCTTCAGAAAGAAATATTTCAATTATTATAATGGCTAAAACTTGTTACGGTTCCAGTGACATCAAAAGTAGAGAAGCATGGGACGATTTTCTATGTATGTGTACTTTAAATTAAGTATAAGAAATGCTACGGTTAATTTTATTTCAACTGACAAAAGAAAAAAATATGTCTACTCACTTTCCCTCTATCATCAGGCTGAAATAAAAAATAAAAAAAACATTAACCAATAGACTTGAGGATGGTCAAGCAGTCACCATTACCAGAAAGAATTACAAATATCTGGACAAGTATGTTTGTCAAACTAGCTCCAAAAAAGAATCACCTTTTCATAATTTTAAATTTGAGAATGACATAATCACTATGAATCCTACATATCTGTATTGAATTTGGACCCAAAGAATCAATTTGAAAAATCAATTGTCCATGTTGTCTTTTGACGTTGAAAATTTTACTTTTTCAGACCTGAGTAGGTAGTTTGTGATTAAGCTTGATCCAAAGAATCAATTTGAAAAATCAATGCTTTTTCACCTTTTGAGGTCAGTGAAGGTCAATCAAAGGTCAGATCTAAAGTCAGATTTGACCTTCTGAGAATGAATAGATAATTATGAAAAAATTGGTCGATTTAAAACAAGATGAAAAAAGATCTTTTTTGACGTTTTTTACATCATTTGTTAACATGGTAACAGATATTGGCAGAAATGTCTTGGAACTCATTACATGTTTATCTAATGTTCACAATAAAACATCGAGGTCAGTCTAAACAGTACTTGTTAAATTATTGGAAGTTGTAACAATTTGTGACAGACGCTGAAATAAGAATTTGTTACATATGCTGAATGCCGAACACCACCTACCAAACACCATCCACAAAAAATTGGAGACTATAACAAAATGTCACCACTTCTGATGGTGACAAAAAAAATGTTCTGATCAGTGGAATTTTATCTGAACTTGTAAGATAAAGGGAATTTGAAAATAAAAGTATGACTTTGAGCCTGCTATGAATGGGCATGACAGTAATATTGAAAGAAGAATCTGACATGCATACCTGACCTCCTCCTTCGGGGAAAAGTACAGTGTCTTCAAGAATAACTTCAAAGCCATTGAGTTTCACCTTCTTGCCGCTAAGCACAGTCTTCAATGTAGCTGGTTCACATGATTTCACAACAGTGTTAAGCTGGAACAAAAAAGACCAAAAAAATCCATATAAATATAATCTCTTATCCACTGTACAGCCCAGATACTGGTCTTTAAAGATGTTACCCGTATGTGAAGAACAACATCCAGTAAATAAAAAGCAAATCAGTCATGAGTATATACATCCAAGGGCTCCAATAATCAAGGGATAAATCCTCACATCAGCAACCATGATGTTTATGGGCTATAACACAACACAACTAAGACACTATGAAATTCACCAGATAACGTCTTGGTTGCTGAAGTGAGAAAATTCTCACTCAATTATTTGAGCTGCTGGATATATGTGCTCAAGACTGACTAGTTTTTCAGTAACTGGATGTTACCATTAACATACGGGTAAAATATATGGATACGAATCATTCTCTTTCTTTGTGAAAATGATAAGAATAAAAATTTCTCTAATGGAAGTCCATCCATTTTGTTATAAAGACATCTCTCAGACCTCATGTAGACCATCTCTAGGCAAAACCTGGACTAGAGTAGGCCTAGACTAAAGAGGGGAGGTACTATTCTGCCATCGACTGAATATTTTCTGGAAATTACCGAGGCTGCCAATCAAGTCAGTGTACTCAGTTCAACATCAGAATGCGTGCATGTCACCCGTCATCTCAGTCCTACATACGTGCCCATACGTCATCTCATACCCATACCTATCATCTCAGTTTTATTTTATTATTTTTTTTTTTTTCATAACTTTATTTCCATAAATCAAAATAAAAAAATCATAAATCTCAGTTTTATTAAAACGCATGCATTTTGATAAAGAAAACAGGAGCATCTCTTTAAAAAAAATTGCACTGAGCTTGAAGTTCGAGCTCAGCTTGAGCCCTCATTATATAGTTATTTCAAAGAGAGAATTGAATCATTCACAGGATTTGTTGAAGGGGTTGGCAAGGATTTACTTTAAACACACCTATCTAAAGCCAACTGAGGAACTGTCATACCACCTGATGACAATATGGGGCAATATGGCCTATCTGTTGTGTTATGTGTAGCTAAAGTGAAGAAAATTTGGATTGGACAGCGGCATTTCTAATTCTTAATGCATGTGCACTGCTTGTTACATGCAGTTTAGTTGTAAATTGACCCACAAGGTCATTTTAAGAAATTTCACTAAACATTCTCAGAGCTGACTTCTCTCAGCTAAGTAGAATAAGAAAAGATAGACAGAACTTGTGCCACCATGTCAATGGTCATCTCAGATCCAAACCCGCCAGACCAGGCGTAAATAAAATAGGGGATGTGATTTCCTGGGGTTTTATTTCTAAAGCATTTCATCCAGTTCTTGTAGCTTCTACCAGCACAAGTTTGAAAGGTTCGTCATCTCAGTGTTCAGTAGACTTCCCATCATCTGAGTTAGAGCACCATAATTTCATTGTTACCCATCAACTCAGTTTTTCGTACCAGTCATCTCAATGAATTAGATCAATTAATTGCCAATCAAATAATAACAATAATTTTCACATTGACCAATAAAACGTCAAAATTTCCAGACATTTTCAATTATCGACCCCAAATCAAGTTGACGGCCAATGATACTCTGATCAGACGAGACTCTCATTGAATTTGATTTATAGACTACCCTGTGCGCAGAGTCTAATTATGAACTACCCTCTGCCTATATAGACTATATTACAGTTTAGCAGCCCCACCCCCATGGCCGATGCCCGCGACAGCTTGCGTCATAAATCACTTCACACCTACCGCACGCACTGACCTATTCTCAGCCAATTAATGAGGTGGAAGGAACAAGTGATAAATGCGTACACAATAATTATGCGATTACGTCTGAGAAAATGACCACATAGAAAGTCGTCCTTATTTCGACGACTAACTCTGGCAGAGAAACATCCAAATATAAGAGGCCACACACTGTATAAGCCGAACTAGAAGCAATCCAAGATATACAAATGTCATTCATGTACATTATAAATATACTTTTCCATAATTATTGCACAATGGTCTCCCAATTTCTTATATTTGCCGTTCTACTGACGAAATGAAGCAGTGAAATGGACTTTAGCTATGAGGAGGCTAAGAAAATGAAAAAACAAGACGAGTTTTCTGAATTGATTTCTGATGTGATCAAAATCGATCACACATTACAATGATTTGAGCATATCAAAAATAGTCTAATCAGGCTACGATGAGACTAGTTAACCTCTATATTGAGTAAATATGTGTAAATACTCACTTCTTTCAAGTAAGAATTTTTCTGGCAAGCTAATGCCATATCTCGTACTTTCTCGTGCACTTTGCGAGAGTTTGGCAGATGCATTGTGGGATTGAAAGTCAGCCATATTGAGTAAGAAAATATTTCAAACTATCCACTTTTAGTTGAAAATGTTACTTAAAGCGTCAAAATATGGATATTCTGTTAACGCCAAATAATTCCCAAGACTAATATCGAATGTGAAATGTTAACCACATTTTGAACAAGGTTTTCTCTATGGATTTATTGACTGTTGAAACCCACAGGTGTCTGCATCAAAGTTGTGGAAAAACAACCACAGAAATATTTACAGGTGAGATAAATTGTTGTACACGTTGCTCCTTGTGTTTCGAATTGACAAACCAATGACCACAAGTCAAACACAACTCAGTTATGTTATCTATTAGATACATATCATCGTTTAAATTATCAATGTATGCCTCTGTTGTTATTGTTGCAATCTACTTGTGTAACTGTATTTCTACTGGTGTGCCTGGACTTTTCTGGTTTGACATGTGTACATCATTTCTTGTATTGTACACCACATCATGTTGTCTAAAGCATATAGACTAGGAAGAGCCACAAACATCTGGTTTATGTTTTGTGTGATGGCTAAAGATCTATTATTTAGTTCACAGGTTTGATGTTAGTTTTTGTCATATATATCACTATCAGAAGAAGGAAAATAATATTGGACTTATCTGACTAAACACTCATTCTACAAAAAGCGTGATTTTTGCTGTCACACACATTATCTTGTATATATCATAATAAACAGATTCCATACCTGTTATATCATGTGTTTTATGTTCTTTACCATATTAGAAATAAAAAAATACGATTGTTTCACCTGTGTTGTGTTTATTATTGTTGTCTCACGCCGAAAATTACGATAGGGGTCTTGAAAACAAGGTGTCACAAAATTGAATTTCTTAATTCATTCTTCCATTATGGTATTATGCGATGGGATCCACCCAATGTATCACATCCACAGTAGTAAGGGGGTCTTCTGCTTTACTTTACTGCTTATTGTCCATCAGTTTTGTTTATTTTCTGATGTTTTGGGGATTTTGAATAAAGTCACTCATTTCCGGCAATCTACGAGTCAGACTATGATATGGTACAATACTGACACGATAACTGACCCCTATGTCCTGTTTTAACACGCAAAATGATTCATACCCGAGAGGTTAATATTTATGAATCGTGATTTTAATATATAATTCAACCAAGAGTCAACAGCATGATAAGGAATAACAAAAACAAAAACGTTAAATTTTACTTGCCAATTTACGAGCACCCAATTCTGACAATACAGACACATACACATATCAATGTATCTAGCAAAAAGGATAGGCGACTAAATACTCAATCGTATGTACAAACATTGCACCTCAGTCCATTTCCTTATTGGCACATGGTCCAAAAGACGGCATTGCACAATTTACGAGCCACAATTTACGGGACAACCCCTAAAATTAGATACGAAAATTAATGATAAATCAGCATTGAATAATAGGGTACGACATCCTACTTTACGACAGTGAAAGAAAAGTGAAAGAGAAAGGTAGGCATTTTGTTTTGTGACTAATATTGTGTAATTTATCACCCCTTACCAGTGAAGCGTCGCTCTTCTCTTCAAATAAAGATAGCTTATGATACGTTTACACTTCTTATAGCATGAATAAAGAATATATGACTGAAAAACGTGAAAAATTATTGCTTTGATATGCACACGTATGTTCCAACATCATGAATTGATGATGTCCCGTATATTGTGTCATGTCCCGTATATTGTGTAATTACACCTATCTAAAGTTGATTGGATATACGGATCAAACTTGATATAATCGAAATGATTTTGCGAATTCAGCTTTATATAATGTCTAAATTTATTATTTCCTCCAAAAATGATACCAACATATTCATCACAATATCACAGTACGGTACACAAAATGAGTCCCGTAAATTGGCCTTGTAAATTGTAATTGTTGTACCTTACTTTGAACCCATTAATAACACTCAAATTATGAAGCATTGCTTCCATTTGTATATGACACATTTCCCATGCATTACTAAGTAACTTAATTCAGTCTGAATACTATAACTAGTAACTATTTGCAGCAACAATGGCAAAGAGTAAAGCACAGAGGATGAAAGAATATAGGGAGAGAAAGAAACAAGAAATGGGAGAGGACTGGCTAAAGAAAGAACGCGAACGTGTTAAAAAGTATTATATACCCCTAGAACTACTACCAGCAAAAGATAGAAAAAGAAAACAAGCTATAAACAGGAACAATTGGCAAAACTTTAGAACCAAACGTCAAAAACCGAATGACAGCTCTACTCCACAGCCTTCTTCAAGTAGCGAGAATGAAGTTACTTCAACAACTGGTTATTTACAGTTGCCATCATTGATGGACAGTATAGATAAATCAAGAAAGAGTAGTGGCAGGAAAAGGGTCAATCGTGCACTATCTAGGGCTCACGGAAAAATTAAACGCCTTCAGAAGACATCAGCAAAGAATAGAAAAATTATTTCTAGGTTAAGAAAAAAAGTAAATGACTTAAAACCCGCTAATACCCCAAGAAGCAAAACAGATAAACTTCTCAAAAAATCTGGATTTTCACCAAGCAAAGTGCCTAGAACAATTAGAAAAAAACTTATTTTCTCAGAGTGCGTCAGTGATGAGCTTAAACAATCAAACCAAAAAAAACCTATTTCTGGAAGGATCCTGAAAAAATACAAGTTGGCAAATCAGCTTAGGAACTCTGGGTATACATGGCGAAAATTGAGAGAGAAAAAGGCAAGAAAGATTGGCAATCAGAAAAAGTATGATGAGATAAGAAGTGATGTGATTGAATTTTTTGAAAGAGACGATAACTCCAGAATGATGCCAGGAAAACAAGACTTCTCCAAATCCAAGGATGGAACGGTATTCATTTTCTCATAGTATTCTACTAGTAAATACATTCTGTTGTTGACATTTAACACTATATTTAAGTATCAGACTCAAAACTACATAGATATATTTTACATAGACTGGTCCATTATGCTATATAGGGGTGATAGGTTCTTAAAGCTCATATTGCAACATTTAATATGCGAGTAAACCATTTAAATTCATAAGAAACGCTTTATCCAGTTATCACCAATGTGTGATTGTTTTCATTTAACGTTAAGTCCTAGTATTTGTTTATTTGTATTAAGCACAAAGTTAATAATTTGAAAATTTTCTAGTTGTTTGAAAAAGATATATGAAATACTAGTAAATCGAAAATTTGCAAATTATTAACTTTTTGTGTTAAGTTATTTTAATGATGTAATGCAATGTTTCAGGTTCGTCAGAAGAGGGTATTAAATGATTACTTACACAACCTCCATCTCAAGTACCTGAGTGAGTTACCAAGGCACAGAATATCCAGGGCTCTATTCTGCAGGCTGCGTCCCTCCTTCATCACTCTTGTCAATTTTTCATCAAGATCAACTTGTCTGTGTCAGAAGCATCAGAATTTTACTCTTAAACTACAGTGTCTTAAGAAATTAAATCTCTTTACCTGCATCAATCCAGATGTATTTGTTAGGGATGTTTCTTCAGACCAGTTAGCCACTTCACTTTCAAATATAGCTGAAGAAACCGTTACATTCCAAGAATGGAAAAGGGTTAAAGTAGATGATAAATTGAAATGCAAAATTATCTCTACAAAAGTAGAAAGAGCAAAATTTAGTGATATAATGTTGAATGAGTATAATGTTTTTGTGGAACATGTGGATAAAATAAAAAAGCAATACTATGCTATCAAGCAGATGAAACTAAACATGTCAAGTCGCGATGTAATTATTCAAATGGATTTTGCGGAAAACTATACATGTCAAGTTCAAGAAGAGGTCCAAAGTGGTTATTGGAACCAAACGATGGTTACTCTACACCCGTGTGTTGTATACTACAAGGTGGAAGATGGTGGAGAACTTTTCCACTTGAACTACGTGTTTTTAAGTGATGTTCTTAGTCACAATGCCACAATGGTCAATTCTATCATTGAAAAATTAATACCTATTGTCAAAGAAAAGGTATCAGATGTACAGAGGGTACATTATTTCACAGATTCCCCAAGTAGCCAATATCGAAACAAAACAATTTTTTATATTGTGATGCATCATGAAATACGGTTTGGCTGTTCGGCATCTTGGCAATACTTCGAAGCAGGCCATGGCAAAGGACCATGTGATGGGATTGGCGGGGTTGCTAAACGAGATGCGGATAACGCTGTTAAACGTGGGTTTTCAATACAAGATGCTAATGAATTCCTGTGCTGGGCTATTCAAGAATCCCAGCATATTAACTATATTTTTGTCACCAAAGATGAGTATGAGATAAGTGTGTCCCAGCTTGTTGAATATAAAAATTCAAAACCCATCAATGGTACCATGCAACTCCACGGGGTTTGCACTTCGAAGTCTGGTGATGGCGTATCTCTCCATACCAGAGATACTACATGTGTGTGTGAAGAATGTTTCACACCTAACGGTTTCCTCCCCAATCAACAGTGCAATTGGCAGGAGAAGATATCAAATTTAAAGTTTCTCAAACTGAGATTAAAACTTGGAAGCACATTAATTCAGAGATACACTATGGTGGTCTGACTTAATTTCTTTGACATGCGCATATACGATAATTTGTACATACAATATTGTTGCATACAGAACTTGTTATTGTGTAATTAAGACTCTAGCATAAGTGCCTAATTTACGAGTCATTTTGCACTGTGAACAGTAAAAGGACAGAACAATGCATGACGTTTATGGCTCACATTTATTTCAATGGTATTTACATAATTGCACAACAAATAATGTTGTGGTTGAAATTGTTACATACATGTTTGTCTTCTGGACAGTTGCTACCAGCATCACGACTGAGTATGCAATTTACGAGACTTTTGTTGTAATTCAGTCTTTCCTGAACTGTTGTGGGAGTTTAATTAAGAGAAATAACATTCAAAGCTTTGCTTGTGTCATCTGAAGATAAAGTACATTTATGTTGATTCCATAATCAAGTCTTATTCATTTTATACATAATACAATATACGGGACAAAATATGGCAATCTACAGGACATTATCTTGAGAGATGTAGCAAAAAGGGCAGTCAATACTCGATAGCCATAATTTGTAGCGTAATTATGCATAGTTTGAAGTTCCTAATTTATCTACATGAATGACGAGAATGATGCATGGCATCAGTTTTATAATAAACAATACATCGTACTTTATGCTTTATTGGGGTGTAGACCCTGGGTCAGTTAACGTACATCTTGTTGAAAAATTAAGAATCGATGTAATTTTTGATACTCTTTGAACAATACATGCAACAAACTTTTATTTTCCTCTTCCAATACAATTGTTGACTATATCAATACTCATTAATGCTGTATACCTAACAAGACGATGACTCGTAAATTGGCGAAAGTGAAAATTTTGACCTGACGTTTGTATATTTCTGCCAATTACAACTTCCGCATTTCGAAAGCGAGGCTGCCCAAACTTTGCCAGAATAACAAGTCAACTACAAACTTTAACGTAAGCACTGAAATTAGTTCGGTTTTAGAGTTTTATTTCGAATTTTTTTTGACAGACTTTTGTCACGCTTTTTGTAGAATGAGTGTAAAATGAAAATCATGTTACAGTTACATGTAATTTATACTTTCAGTTACTATGCGATGAATGAGCAGAAGCGTGTGCAGATTCATTCACTATGATGAATGGACCTCCAAGTGATAATGGGGGTGTCCAAACTAATGTTGCACCAACACTTGTGTGGCACATGGCCCAACAACAGGGCATTGATGGAATTAATGCTAATGCAAAAGTTGGAACTACAAATATGGCAAGCTATCCCACCCCTGTATACCAACAACAGCAGCAATCTACATTTGAATATGCTACAATAGGTCCCCCAGGCTTACAGTCAGTCATGGGATATGTTGATACTAGTACTGGGAAGATGGTTGCAATGCAACAACAAAATATACAACAGCAATATACACAACCAGTTAATGCACAGCTAGTGCAAGGATTTAATACAAACCCAACACAAGTCATAGTTGGGCAAACTAATATTGCATTACCTTCAATAGTTGGTCAAGATCAGACACAAATTGTGTCTGCTGTGCCTCAAAAAGCCTCACCGGTGGGGTCAGTGACATTAATCTCAGGTCAAGGTCAGACTGTTCATGTACAGCCACAGCCAGCAGTAAACATAGGCAGTGTTGGTTTGGTTAGTCCAAGCGGAACTGTCCCAGCCAATTCTATGTCAGTTGTGGTCAACCAGGTAGCTGTGGCAACCCCTATACAGCCCACAACATATACCTTACAACAGCATAATATCCCAAGTGCAAACCATAATCCTCTGCCAAATCAACATATCTTAGCTACCACAAATGGCCCTGATCTCACTGTGTCAACATCCCAAACTTTGCCATCAATAAGTAGTATAGTCAGAGGTCACCATGTTATGCAACAGCCCCAGCAGCAACTGCCTAACTTTCCAGCTCAGTTCAGTGGTCAAGAGACAGGACCCAGTATTGTCAATGTAGCCCAGTCAGATCAATGGGGTTTTACCAATGCCTCAGTAGCCTCAGCAGTTGGTAGTCTCAGCCAGCTAACAGACGTTCCCAATGCTTCAAGGCACATGACAAACTCAATTTGTAATTCCGTATCTACAAATCAGTCTGTAATGACAATGACTCAAGTGACACACTCACCATTGACTAGCTGTGTGACTGTTGCAAGTCCAAACTCTACCCCTATAATGCAGTATACACAGCGTAGCCCTCACAATCGAGCTGGTCATGATAATCGCTTCACAAATCACGATCATATGTCAAAAAGTATGAACTTACCTAATGATAATAGATCTGAACTGGATATTAGGCTTCAAGATATTGAATCTGAAGGTCATGTGAGAAAGAAACGAAAGGGTCGCCACAGTCCGCCAATGCAAATCAACGTGCCATTCGGTTGGAAACGGGTTGTTGAAGGGATTACCATTGTATATTACAGGTATGAAATTTTTCTAACTTTAATTAACTGTTCTTGCTTGTATAATGTGGCTCCTTTATTGAGGAATGTGTATTAAATACACATGGAATAAATAATTTGTTGGAACCTTTTTTATGTATAAATGTTTCGTGGTGATATAACATAAAAATCACATGATGTACAATCAATGACTGACCAGCATCAGTATGTAATATTTATTTTTTGGTTTTACTAAGTTATATCGCTGAATGAACTAATGCCATCATGTAGACTACAGTAATCAGCATGTATTGTACAATATGCTTTAGACTAAAAAAGTTAGGTATGAAGGTTTTATTAATTTTGCTACGCTATTGTCAGATGATATAAGCATATTGTTCAGTGATTGTTCAGACCTTATTTAATTAACAGTTATGTGTATTAAATAGTAATTAAATATTGATTCTGCTTTGTTTCAATACTCTTAGTTGTAATTACATTTACCTGCTTAATCAGGAAAATATTACCATTGATAATCTCGTCTTTCTATCAGCCAACTTACAATAGTTTAGTATGTATAGTATTAGTAGTGAACTTCCCAGGGCTTTTTCCCAGTAGGGTGCAAAGATTAATTTTAACTATTTTAGTCGAATATTAAAGGGGTGCAATCAGATTTCAACAGGATCACATATAATTTTCAAATTTTCAACATGATGCAGTATCTAGTTGCTCTAAAGCTTGAGTTCACTAGTATTCACAAAAGCAATTAAACAGAAAGATATCAGAGACATGAAAAACCTTCATTATTCCTTCAGTTATGAAATTGTTGATGGCAAAACAGGATAGAAATATTTAATGACAAACCACATGAACCAGCAACATGTGGTCAAATAACCACATTTCGCCACATTTGTGTATTGTGTATTGTTATTTGATGAAATTAAACCAGCAATTACTTAGAAACTAATTTATGAACCACAATTTTTGGATTATATTTTTTGTTTATATATTTTTGGATATTATTGTTAATTTTGAATTAATCAAATGATTGTCATCTGAGAATATCGATAATTCAATATTTTGACCTTGATCATATTTTTGTTGTACATCATCATTCTTTAGTATCAACATTTGCTATATCCTTGTTGTTTTTGTTCAGGGGCGCGCTTTGAAAAATTCATGCAGTAAATTTTACTCACATCAATAATACTAATTTTCTAAAAACTCCCAATAAATACAATAGTTCTGAATATGCCTTGATTTTTAAGGTTCGGCAAAAATAGAAAAACTGGATGTCTGCTATCTGCATTCAATTTTAAACAATTGAATTTCTGCATCTTTTAACATGCATGTACTTTCATGTTTGATCAAAAAATATCTCCGATCTTTCTTCACATGTCAAGTTTGCTTTTGTAAGAGACATATTGGCATATTTGTTTATAATTTCAAAGATTCCTTCAGATATTTTATATAATCTCTCCTTTGTTGCAACTTTAAAAGAATTTTATATTTAAATATTAAAAAAATGTAATACTTTTTGCAGGTAAATATTTGCATCAATATCAATAATTCCAGGACTTCTAAATTATACTCTGATGTTTAGTATCAAAGCTTTTTGAAATTATAACCAAAGAAAATTATATTTATCAGTCATCAATATGGAATGTTAAATGTAACAATTTCTAAGCAAGCGGATAGGAAATGAGGTATAAGTGGCTAGACAGACAGTGGTTTAGTTGTGGTATGTCTCATATCATTTTAATTCAACTCAATTCAAGAAATTACAAAGTGGCAACTTATATATGGTTTACCCCAGTTTTAACCAAAATGTTTTAAAAAAGTTTTAACATTAAGGTTTGTTGTTATTTGGTTTTTAAAAACATGTGCAGTAATGCAAATTATGATTGTAAAGATTTCAATATTTCAAACATATAACTTAGTACTATCTGTATGTTTGCCCCTGTTTTTTATCTATGACTATTTTAATTTTTCATGACGAATTTTCCAACAGGTTTCCGTAGATATGTATCTGGGGCATTGTAAAATCAATTTCATGAGCCCTGTATTTCATAAAACAAACATGTTGACATTCTACCTTTAAATCTCTGACATAGATATTAAGATGTAGAAAATACTCTTGCTACTCTTGAGGTATATGTCCCATTCAAATTCCATGATGATGTGATAAATTTTATAAGTGTGCCTCTGCTTCAAAAGCGACTAAACTAACATGAGACACGTCGTATTTTTTCAGTGCCAGCAATGTACGACTCGTCAACCTGGAGCATATAAAGCAGTATCTACAGACTGAGGGCACTTGTAAATGTGGACTAGAGTGCCCTCTTTTAGTTGAAAAAGTATTTAATTTTGACCCTGGTGTAATATCTCGCCAGTGGACACCTGAAGATGTTAATAACATGGATGATGTCATTGATGGATTAACTAAGTTGTGCAATCACCGGAGGAAGATCATTGCCATGGCAACGTTCCAGAACAATGCAGTACCTCAAACTCTCAATGACTCACCCCCAAAAGCCAAGAGGAAAAAAGGTAGGTTTATACATGGGAAAAAAGGAGTCAGATAAAAGTTGTATTTATCCTGGTATAAAATAAGAATCCCCATTTTGCTCACGCATTCCAGTTTCCTGAAGTTCAATTCTCCATCATGGCAGGATAACAACTTTTTTTTCAGTATTTGTGCCTTGGACCCAATGGTTACTTATTCTCAAAGTGAAATGATCTATTTTAATATTTAAATAATCATGGACTCTTCTTCAGACAAAAATCACATAAGTTTTGCATATTGATTTATTGAAATTGTTTAAAGCATAACTACAGCTCTTACATAACCTGTACCAGTTTTTATAAATGTCAGACATTGGATAAAAACATATTCTATTGCCTAAAAGAGAGGGATGATGTCTTTGTCATTCTTAATATAATTTTATATCAACAAAGTTGAATTTAGTCACTGTTCTTTTGGAAGAAATCATTTAGTTTTTTTTGAAGGGGTGTATTAAAAATTTAGTTTATGTGAAACCCAAAAAATATAGCATTACATGATTGAGAGATATAGGATTTGATTAAAAAAGCACTTCTATACGAGTTGTGGCCTAATTTCCCTAAATAATTATTGAATAAAACTCAAAGTTCAAGTTGACCCCTATCATATAGGATGGAGTAATTGTATTCATACAATAAGTTATTTCTATTTCATTTGTCAATGATATAATTTTTAATAATTTATTGGTCCGGGTGTTGAATACTTTATAAAAACATTCACACTAACTTTGAATACTATAATTTGGCACCAATTACAGGGTGGTCCAAAAAAATCATTTACACTTTTGATTGCGTAGCATTTTCTGACAATGGGAAGATTTCCCAATTGTTTTTCATTGACCTGTCGTTAAGATATGTAAGTTTTGTGTGATACAAGTTTTATTATCATATACCATTATGTTAGCACAGATCAATAGTTTGTAATGTGCTAATCCAAGCTCCCTGCGAACATTGTAATGTCCTGTCCATGTTGTTTTTAATATCCTCTAGCTCATCTATAGTTTGGTGATCGTTTGCATAGAACTTGACTTTAAAGTACCCCCACCAAAAACTTTATAGGGAATGTGTCTTGAGAATATGCATGGCCGGGTGTGTTCCATATAATGGGAGATGAGTCTGTCTTCAGGGAAGTAATGACGGAGGTATTCAAGTCAAGCATTGGAGCAGTGCAATGTTGCCTTATCTTGCCAATAGATTATTACAGTTACAGTATCCATGTCAACCCCTCGCTTCCGCCCCAGTGCCAGTTCTTCTCATGACTTCAATATATCAGTCCATGTTCACAGGAAATGAATCTCCATTAGCATTCTCAAATTAAACCATATCACCCCAGTATCACCATTCTGACCTAACTTTCACCAGTCAACCTCTCTACATCACATGTTTGATGCTGATGCTCAGAAGGCTAAACCTGTGCCAAAAAGTGCATTTTCTATTTGTTGACGGTCATTACAAACTTAGCGCCAAAGATCTTGGATGGAGCACATTACAAACTATTGCCCCATGCTCTCATTACGTTGGTATATAAAAATAAAACGTACACCACACAAAACTTACATGTCTGAAAGACAGGCCTATGAAAAAAATTGGGAAATTTTCCTGCTTCGTTGTCAAAAGTGTAAATGATTTTTTGGACCACCCTGTATATTTTAACAAATTTGGAAATTGTTCTTTTACTGTCATGTATTTAGAGTCCATCTTCCCCAAATCAATTTTAGAAAATCATGTCTGTAGTGAATTGGTCAAGAAAAACATAACAAAGTCAAGTATTCATTGCTTTATGGTTGAGAGAACAAGAAAAATCATATTGTACATATAGTGGCTAATATTGAAATTGAAATAAAAGATTGAACTACTTTGTTCAAACCTCAACTTCACCTAAAATTACAGTATTTTATAATAGAACATCTATGTATATTTATAATTTCCAGGGAAGAAAAAAGCCAGGAAATCAACTCCAGATAATATGTTGGTTTCTCAGATTCTGGCACAGAGGAGCCATTTTGAAGACAAAATAGGACCAACATCTCCAAAACATAGAAAATTATCGCAAGAGGATTTACCAAGTTCTGAGACTATAGAAAATCAACAATCCAGTCCAGGTTGTGCCAGTGCTGAACAGAATCATGACACCCCTGCACCTGCAATCATTGACCCAGCAGCTTATGTACGGGAGCACATTGAGAAGAGCAAGCAGTATGTGGAGAGTCAGAAACGATTAAAGGAGCAGCAGCAGCAACAAAGGAATAAAGACTCGGTCACCATGGTAACTTCTACAGGGGAACTCGGCCCAATAACTTGTCAGATACCTCCGAAGCTTCAGTTTGAGCAGCAATCACCAAGGCAACCAATAAATAGCTCATCAAAGATCCAGTCCCCCACCTTGCAAACTATTCAATCTCCACCGCAACATATAATGTCTCCAAGACCATCAACCCCTCATACACTACCTAGCTCTCAACCAGTGTCTCCAGCCATGCCTCATCAGATGTACCAGCAACAGAGGCCCATGCCTGCCCCTGGCCCTCATCCACCTTTCATGGGTCAGTACAACAATCCCAATATGAACATGCAGCCACATGCTGCTAATCCAAATTTCAATCCATATTTTCAACATCAACCTGATGCTAACATTCCAATGCCAATGCAAGGACATGGCTATGGACCTGGTCAGTTTAACCCAGGGTATCGTATGCCACAACATAGTGGCCAGCAACCACACAGGATGCCACGCCATATGCATGACATGATGATGCAACAGATGCACACAGGTCAACCTGGCCCTCCACACATGATGCCAAAACACACTCCCCCACCTATAGACCCTGCCATGCCTCCATATATGTTTGACCCTTCATACAATGTGCCAAAACAAAAACCGAAAAGAAGTAGAAAAAAGAAATCAAATAGCGTGTTGGATAGGAATTCACCGTGTCCAAATGTTGATGTACGGCAGATGCCAGATGAGTCAAAAACAGTTCCTTTGGTACCACTCTCAGTTGTGACATCCACGATGGCACAGAGTCACGCACCTACACCTTCCTCAGCATCATTCCTTGAGAACCCAACAGGATTTATGGCCCAGCAGACTGCATTGGTGAACAGCTCTATGACTATCATGCCTCAGCCAAGCCCACATGGTGCACTGCCTGATCAAGATAGTAAACTTGAGATAGATACCATCAACTCAAATGAGGATGTCGATGCCCAATCAAAAAATGATGAAGCGAAAACAGTCAGTTCAGATTCACCTGAGAAAGTAATTGCTGACACCCAGTCAGACAAAATTGGTGTCTCACAACTAGACAATGATGATAAAAGTCTCAAGGTGTCTCATACAAATACAACAAATGTACCAACATTAACAGTGTCCACAACCATGTGTACTGTATCAATGTCTGTGCCATTAACCACGTCTGCTGCCACATCAGCTCTGTCTATAACCACACATCTACTTAGCCCAGGATCTGAATCAACTCTCTCAGCTACAAGCCCAGGCATGTTGAGTCCAGCTTCTAAGATACTTAGTCCAGCATCCACTGCAGCCACAGTTGTAACTATGACAACAATGACTGTGACAGCATCAACATCATCCACCCACTCGCCATTATCTAGTCAACACACCACTGTCACAACTGATGTCCACACAACAGGAACCTCTATTGCTATGGTTACTGGTTCAGAGGCAACTCCAATGGTTTCACACCCTAATATGTCTCAAGATATGGTACATGCTATGGGAAATGCCCATCCTGGTAATACTATGATGCCCAGACATCCAGGCATGCATGGGCCATATATGGGTATGCCAAATAACCCTTCTGGTGGTCCTATGGCTCCCAATCACCCTCAAGGATTTATGGGTCCTGCCCACCCACATGGACACATGGGAACTCCCCCAGGGTTTCCTATGATGCCACAACCCCCAAGCCCTCCAAAGAAGGCTGGGGCCAAGCGTAAAAGGTCTAGATCTCAACAGCAGCCATCACAACAACAGTTCCAGCAACAACAAATGATGATGCAACAGCAACAAATGATGTATGGAGATAACCTGATGCATCCAAGGATGCAAATGATGCAGCAAGGATTCCCACCACCAAATGGTCCACCCCAACAGCAAATGGTCCCAGGGCCTGACGGACAGATGAGACCAAGGGGATTCCAAGCCAGTCATATGTTGAGTGCAGCTGCCAAGGCGCAAGGTGGGCCTCCACCAATGATTGGGCCTCAGAATAGACATCCCAGACAGAGAATGATGGGACCAAATCATGCAATGGTTGATCCGATGGCAGGTCACCCTGTCAACTACCAACAGATGAGAATGATGCAGGGTCAGGGTATGAGGATGCCCCCACATATGAGTCCACCAGGCCAAATGCAAATGCATCCAAACATGTCACCACACATGCAGAATTTCCATGGACCTCCCCAAGGGTTTCCCAATGAGCAAATGATGCATGCTTCAAGACATGGGGCTCCATACCCCCAACAGATGATGCAACAAGGGATGAGACCCATGCAAGGTCAGAAATCTCATCTACCAGATGCTCAACAAGGTATGCATGTGGGTCAAAATCAAGGCCATAATCCTATTCAAATGGTGCAAAATATGATCACTGGACTCGATGGCCAGACTATGATGGATCACAACAGTATCATTGGATCACCTTCATCTGTACGCCGTGGTCGTTCACTTTCTGTAAGTTCAACATGTAGTAACAGATCAGATAGGTCAGGGAGCAGTAGGCTTCATTGCACCACCCCATCTGGATCCATAGACAGGGTTAACACACCATCAACACCAGGGGGAGGAAGACATACGCCTGTATATGCTGAAGACAAATTCCTTGGAGATATGGATTCAAAATTAACACATGTAGTAACGCAAGAATCAAAACAATATGATGAGAGTAATCAGCAACCTTTAAAAGGATCAGAACACTCAGAAAAACAAGCTGATAATTCTGAATCTGTGAATTCTGAGAAGACAGTTGAGTCCACTCTTGCTGAAGATAAAAGTACTTTACATGAGAAAACCAATTCTCAGACACAAAGCAATAATTCAAATGCAACTCCAGTTAACTCAGCTGATAACACCATTGGAACAGATGTTAAGGAAGCTACATCTACTGTTGCTCTACCAAATGCTGCTACACAAATTGATCACTCCAGTGTTAAACCAAAGAAGAAATCAAACCGAAGCAAGAAGTCCAGCACACCAACCATAGCAAGTATGCTCCAAGCAGCAGTATTACCTCCTAATCAACATGTTCCGTTCAATCAACAAAACGTTCAGCAGCCTCCGCAACAAATGATGCGCATGCCTCAGCAGCAGAACATGATGATGGGGCAACAGCATATGATGCAGCAGAGGTTCCCAATGCAACAGCAGCCACAGTCCATACAAGAACAGGTCAGGTATCCTCCTCCACACATAATGGTTCAGACCCAGCAGTTGATCCCTCAGCAGGGTATAATAATGAACAACCAACAGCATGTTGGGAACCAACAACAGTTCATGATTCAACAGAATGTGAACCATATGCAGCCCCAAGGCCAATTCCCTCCCATGCAGGAGCAGCATATGCAGCAACAGTTGATGCAGAATCCTAGAATGCCTCAGTGTTTGCCTGGTCAGCAACCAACAAGTCCGAAACAACAAGGAGTTCACATTCAGCAACAACATGTCCATGTTCAACACTTTCCACATCCTCAGCCAAGTCTCCAACCAGCCAGCATAGATGGCACTGGGGTTAATACACAACAAGTTGTAGCAGAAGATCCACAGGAGACAGATACCTCATCTAAACCTGAACAAACACTTCCTCCAAGTCAGGATGTTCAACCAAATGATTCAGAGACTCCCAAGCCAGAAATAAGCATACCTGATGATGTTCCCCCAAATGAACATGCTGATGTCAATAAACTACAAGATAAGGAGAATGTGGCAGTTCCATTTGAAAAGGAAAATGAAAGTGCCAGTCCTGATGAACCTAAGACTGGGGTTAATGTGAGTGATGTTGATAAGAGTAATGTTGAGTCCAGCGATCATGGTAATATCCAAGAAGCAAAGAATGATCCAACCGAGAGCTCAGAAGTTGAAATTCCAGCTACCACATGTTTATCCATGACACTTGTTTCACCTACTAAGTCTGTAGATGTCCTGGGTTGCCAACCAGTAGAGACCAAGTCAATGGTTATGGCTGTGGAGGCTCCTGTAGCTGTAGCCACATTCCCAACTGTCTCCGCTGACAACATGATTCTTCACCAGCCTGTGAATATATTCTCCACAAATAACATGCCTCAGCAGATAAACATGCTGACAGGTCAAAATGTAAATGTGGAGCTGGTGCAGCAGTTACAACAGCAGATCATCCAACAGACCCAGCAATTGGTTGGCCAGTTGAACAACCCAGCCATAGTGGCACAGTTAAACCCTGAGCTACTACAGCAAGCAGGTGTACACATTCCTCTCGAGCAGCTTCCACAGACTGTTGGCAATCTTAGTATCCAAGAACAGGCAAACCTAATCCAGATGAATCAAGCCTTGATAAATCAGATCAGTCAGAACCTCCAGGGTCAATTGAACATGAACATACTTCAGCAAAATGGACTCCAGCAGAGAAGTTCCAGTGTTATGGTTCCTAGTACAATGATTCAAACATCTACTGTGTCCTTGGCCAATCCAGCTTCAGAGCAACCTGCTTTAGATTCAGTAGTAGCAATACAACCAAACACAACTGTTCCTATTCCGCCTGATATGTTAGCCCAACAAGCCACAGTAACACTTCCTTTAGAACAAGTGTCAGGTGTTGCAGTTACATCAACAGAAATTGTACCCTCGCCATCTAAAACTGAACTTGTCCAAGAGGCACCTGAAGTTGCATCTGAATTTCACAAAGATATACAAGAGGAGGAGTCAGAAGAGCAACAACAATCTGAGGAGCCTATTGGTGATGACCACATTGGAGAACTAGCTGATGAACCAAATGAGGAAGAAATTACAGATGAGATTCCTCATGATAATGCTCCTGTTGAGACACCTAAAAGTATGAATGATTCATTGGTTGATCAGGAAGATCATGTCAAACCTGAACCTGTTGAAGATATTTCTGTTCACTCCAATGAGCCTGAAGAAAATGTTCAGGAAGATCAGATTGACAAACAGTCAACTGCAGGTGATTTTGTTGAGCAAACATCTGAGGAGGTAATTGGTGAAGAGCCACTTAGTGAACTGCCAGAGGAAATAAATAATACAAATGAGGGAGTATTTGAACAAGAAACTGCTGAGGAAGAAACCTTCCTTGTTGAAAATGAAGAACATCAAGAAAAAACCTTAGATTTACCCAAACCCATTGACAACATGTCAGTTAATAGTACTAAACAAAATGATCCTAAAGACCAAATCAATGAAGCTGATCATTCCATACAACAAAGTGCCGTCACAGATGGGTTTATAGAATTAGGCAAATCCCTCCATGATAGAATAACAGAAGGAATACCAATTGCCATGGGAGCATGCAGTGATGACTTTCCTGAAGACCTCAGTATTAAGAAAGTGGTGGATGTTGCTTCCAGATCTGAATTTACTCCCAATACTTCATTTGGATCTGCAGTTAGTTCATGTGCTGATGATGACTTTCATGGATCTGAAAATGTGGAAGGTCTTTCTATCGAAACTAGGGATCCTCCTGGTATGCAGCTAGAGGCTCTTGTTCCTACAAACATTTCACCTGCTGGATCTCAAAAATCAATGGTGTCATTAACTGGTATGATTGATGCTGACACAGCTATCAATGCAGCTAGAGCACTTGGTAACACATCTACTGAAGATATTGAAAATCTCTCAGAGGAACTTGAAACAACAAATAACAGTTCATCGCATAATAGTGTTGAAAGTGCAGTATGTGATGGCCACATTTCTGATACTGAAAATCCACCTAGTCAGAGCAACAGCACCCTCTTAACCATGACCAACCATGTGTCCCCAGATGCAGCGACCAATGAGAGTATTGTGCTCAATACAACTGCAAGGTCTATGCATCTTAGTGGAAGTACAGACTCAGGGACACACAATCATGATTCTGACCACAGTGGCTCTGAGTCAACTGATACGTCATCCAGCGCAGATATCAACCTGAACTCCAGCAGCAGTCCAGTCTGTAATGAACTGTGTGGTAGCAGAGAAGTGAAGAAGTCACATGATAGTGGCCTGGCTGAAGACTTTGATGGTGAGTACTCTATGTAATGGGGTTTGTGCAGGTCTTATAGTCACCATCTTGTATGTTCCACACATCATTTCTTTCATTGGGGGGGGGGTTGCCTTAACATCCATGTGATTTGTGACAGGTGGTGGCCCTGAAATCATCCTGGCACACACTTTAATGGAAAGCTTTGTAATTTTTAAGGATGTTTCTTGGTTTGAAAATCAAAAAGTGATTGGTTTTTGGGCAATGCTGTGTATATTTGAAGGTGTTCATTTTTGATTTTCCATCTAAAATTATGTCTTGTCAACTCATTTTCAGTCAAACTGCTTCTAAGTTAACTGATTATATTTTGTGTGTCCTGGATTAATTTTAAGTCAGTCATGTCTAATCTGTTGAGCCAATCTAAACCGTGTCATAGATTCATGAACGCTGAATTATTTCTGTGACTTCATTGTAGCTAATGAAGAAATGACAGAAATTGAATTGAATCAAGAAAATTAATATTGAAAACTTGTATGCTGAATTTGCATTGTAAATGCAATATAAATCATAAAATACCAATTGATGTTTAGTTTAAAGTGAAATATGTTTAAAAATTTTAATTGATTGATATGTTCTTATTGATGCATAAAGTATTAAATGTCAGCATACACCAATGATTATATGAAATATTATAAAAATTAACATGCATATATTTGCATATATTTCTAGATGACAATCCAGACTCTCCATTTGAACCTGACCCTGATTACCCAAGAACATTCAACATTGGGGACCTTGTGTGGGGGCAGATAAGGGGATTCCCCTCATGGCCAGGAAAACTTGTACACGAGGTGGATGTGAAGAACAATAAAGAAACACCAGAGGATGGAAAGGTAGGGCTTTCTGTAGCTGTATGTTGTCGATGTAGCTGTTGGTAGCCTTTTTGTAACTCTGTATAACCTTTTGTTAGTCTCTTTCCATAGCTGCAACTAGCCTTTCTGTAGCTATATCCTTTCTATAGCTGTGCATCGCAGAGACTTGTGTTGAAGCATTTCTTGATTTTGTGTTACAATTCCACCAACCCTACATAATTAGAACAATTTAATGATTACTAGAAAGATATAATTATGTGTGGGAGAAGAATATCTAGTTTCTGTTTTGACATTTGCTTTCTAACAGACAAGGGAATCATGTTTCAGTAGCAACATCGACAATTCTCTCCAAAGTGTTACACAAAATAATGTCATGGTATTGCAAACCCAATTAGTTCAATTGGTCAACATGTTCCTGAAATAAATCATTATGTAAATCTTAAACTTCTTCCTCTTGCCAATTAGATGCAAATATGCAGTTTTTCTTCTTAATATGTAACTAAAAAACACATTCTAATTAATATTCTTTCATGGGACCATGCCTTGCTTCCCAATATTTTATTATCCCATCGAACGAAGTTCGGAGGGATATAGGGAACGCCGTCCGTCCGTATGTCCGTACGTACGTCCGTCCGTACGTCCGTCCGTCCGTCCGTCCGTACGTCCGTCCGTCCGTACGTACGTCCGTCCGTCCGTCCGTCCGGGCAATAACTCAAATACCGTTGGCCCGATTTTGTTCATATTTTGTACACATATACCCTATGGGGGTAGAAGTTCTGCTCGAAAGCCGATTTTCAAAATGGCCGCTCATTTCAAACTGGCCGCCATTTTAGTGCCGAATTTACAGTAATTTAGGTGCAATATGTAAAACTGTAATACCAATATGTTTTAGATGTAAAAAAATTATATAGGACATTAATGAAGCTAGAAATGTAGATATTAAAGAAGCACATGGCAGCCATCTTGAAAAATGGCGGACTTTACTCGTTATTTTACGATTTTTGCTGTAACTCGAAAAGTAGTGGAGCGATTTTGTTCATATTTGGTATGTGAATACTATAAACATTGCACACTGTCTAAAGACACTCTTAGTAGAAGGTGGCCATTTTGAAAAATGGCCGCCATTTTGAAAAATGGCCGCCATTTTAACGTATTTTACTATAACTCGAAAAGTAGTGGAGCGATTTTGTTCATATTTGGTATGTGAATACTATAAGCATGACACACTGTCCTATGACACTTTTGGTGGAAGGCGGCCATTTTGACATTTTAACGTATTTTACTATAACTCGAAAAGTAGTGGAGCGATTTTGTTTATATTTGGTATGTGAATACTATAAGCATGGCACACTGTCTAATGGCACTTTTGGTAGAAGGTGGCCATTTTGAAAAATGGCCGCCATTTTAACGTATTTTACTATAACTTGAAAAGTAGTGGAGCGATTTTGTTCATATTTGGTATGTGAATACTATAAGCATGGCACATGATCTAATGACACTTTGTGTAGAAGGCGGCCATTTTGAAAAATGGCTGCCATTTTTGCTATATCCTTTGTTTGTAAAAATGCCATCCATGGCTGTTCGATGGGATTCGCTACGCTTTGGCGTTGCCGTTGTTCTGGTTTACACAAGACATCATCTCTTATGTAATAGATGATATGTGCAGGGTGATTCAGAAGTAACGTCAAAGGTGTTGCCATTTCACATGAGGTTACCATAGTTACCATAAATTCAACCAATCAAGGATTTGAGGAATACACTCAATAATGGTTGGGGAACATCTGCACCAAGTTTCAAGAAGATTGATTTAATTGTATTGAAATGGCAACATCTTTGAGGGTACCCTTCTGGATAACCCTGTATTGTTATTATTAATCTTTTATTCTAATGCTTTATGGGCATAGAATCTCTACTCGAGAATGAATCTCTTGGTTCTAGGGAGTGATTTGATTGTTTTTTCAGTGCGTTTTTTTGTCTCCAGGGAGTTGCTTTTTCTATTTTTTTTTATTACATTGAAACATCAAAAATTACATGTTGTTTTCCATTAATCAAAGTGAAAACATCTCAATTAGTAAAGCCTAATCTGTTAAAGCAAAATCAATATTTGACATAATCTCTGCATGATTGATTATTTCAAGTAATGTATGGACTTTTATTTTGCATGTTTATTGGTTTTGACCATGTTGTTTAAAATGTGTGATAAAAATGTGTTGGCTTAGATTTTCATGTTAGAATGTTTTATTGGTTGATATCATTTTTATATCACCACCAGAAGTTGCGACATATTGTTACAGTCTCCATCATTTTTGTGGATGGTGTTTGGTGGTTGGTGTTCGGCATTCAGCGTCTTTAACAAATGGCAGGTTCGATTGTTGCTTAATAAGCAATATTCGAATAGGTTGTGACGTTATTGGCCCCCACGTGATCTTTCACTGGTTCCCATGTGGCCTGTTTTGGTCCATTAAATTATGACGTCACAATGCCAAGATGTTTTGTTATTTGTTTACACAACAATCATATGGTTGCCGTGACGTCGTGATTACCAAGGAACAAATAAACCAAAACTATATAATATGTATGATGTCACTAATCACGTGGGGGCCAATGTGATTGATCAGTTAAGAGGGTGGTTTCCTAAAGCCGATGGACGAGTGCGCATCATTCTCGCGCATCTCACTTTCGGTTTCGGTTTCGATGCCGTGATTTTGTTATTATGTATATTACTCAAATAAATAAAACTTATGTTCAAAATGAATGAAAATGGCTTTATAATATTTATTTGGGGTGAGAGAATTAGTTGCACGGGAAAATAAGACACTCTATTGTCGTAATTTTTGATCGTCTCTGAAACTCCTCACCAATTATCGCCCACCTAGAAACAAGATGCTGCACTGATGACGGGACGATTTCAGTCTCAATCGGGCAAACAGTGGAGAATCGTAGCATTAAACATCATAACAACTGTTTATGAAGGTAAGAAGTATCGAATTCAATATCATTTTCCTTTTGTAATCGATCAAAATCACCATATTTAAAGGTAGAAATCGCTTCCTGGTTCTCGATCGGGAATTGTCATTTGCGTAGTCTAATATTGATTTGAAAATTCTCATAAATTCCCTTGAAATTTAGTATTTAATGTAATAATTTGGTATGCTAATAGTAGATGGTAGTGTTATATATAAATACAATGGATTATTCTGTGATCGTATTCATATAATCACTGAAATTCTTCTTAAAATTACATATGAAATTATTTTGGGTGATCGATTCGTCATGACCTTGATCTTACAAAGCCCATGTTCAAACTCAACAGGTTTTCATGTCCCAGAGACCTCCCATGCGGGCAGAGTCGGGAAATCTTAAATGAAATGTTAACTATATTTGACTGCCTATCACAGTAAAAGTACATTTTGATGTGGGTAAAAAGATAATTTTGTAATGGAAAATTACATGTACTTGTTTCGTGTACATGTATTAAAAGTGTCCTGTGCGGGAGTACATGGCAATCACATGCAGTTATCATCAATAAATATTTGACCTATATATAGCATGGGGCCTGGTTTCTTATCTGGCATGTCTTATGGCCCCGGCGTTGAACTAGGGTACGGATAAACATGCTACACGTAGGCCTACTGTACATGTGCTGTACTGCAGTATAGTTGAAACTGTACATTTATATATTTACTGTATCGGTATTAGATATCATAGAACATCATATGACGTCTCAAGTTTCATTTTATTCTTGATATACTTTCAAACTTTTCCATGTATTTCAGATGACAAGTTACCCAAAACAACAAACAACGGTTTTATGGACCACTAACAGTTGCGTCAAAATGATTGGGAGGTTGAGGAAGTTATTATGATTAATGATAAATTATCATGCAATGCAGTTCACTGCAGTTAGATCCTTTAGATGACTGTCACGTCATTGTCGACATAGGCCATACATACTTGTCCAGTCAAATGACCTGGACGTTTTTGAGTACAGGTAATTGTATAAATGACATGTAATATATTGTTCAAGTCATATAGATAGATGTTATATCACCTTTGCCTGTGTAGGCAATGACTACAGAATACAATAAATGAATAGACATTAAAGGGGCAATAAGGCTTGTAGAGAGAAAATAGGAAAATTTTAACTTTTTCTGAGCTATCAAGTCAAAAGTTGGATTAACATCTTCTTCGACATACTTATTTTCTTAAAATGTATGGATAAACTATCAATTTTGGCATTAAAAAGTGTAAAATCAGTTCAAAGCTTCAAAAAGGGGACGTCCACTTTTATATTTTTAAGATCCACCATGTTTTAAGAGGAATATAAGCTGAAATAATGATTATCTAGGGGGTTTCTTTGGAGAAAATAAAAATAGATGTTAGTCTTGATGAAATATCCAAACTAAATATATTTTGACACTGGTCCATGATCGTTGAATGGCCCCTCTGCACTACTTGTTGCACCTTTAAGGCAATCATTATATGATAATCATGACACTTTTTGACAGGTGTAACTCAATTCCCATCCGATTGAGCCCAGATCAAAATATGCCTCAAAATATCATGTTTCTGGCTAAACAGAAAGATGCAATAAGTATCAAAATGGCATGGATACTTTGATATATGGTATCAAGTGATCTTTCCAGCTGGTACTAAAATAACTTCAAGTCTAGTTGTTTTTGTAATAAATAGATTATATACAAGGTGGGCCAAAAAATCCATTGTAACTTTTAGTCATGTATTATCTTCAATACTTTAGGAAATTGAAAAAATAATTCATTGTCAATATTGTGTAAATATAATTATTGAATATACAAGCTCAAGCTTTAATTACTCACTTCAAGGATTTCCTGAACACATCCTCTCTATCCACCTGAACAATCAGTCTGAGACATATTATGCCAGTTTTAAAAAAAAGCTGAGGTCAGTAAGCTATATTATCCAAGGGAGAGATGGTTAACTTCTAGAGATAACAACATATGTTTTAATTGATGAAAAGTGTTGTGAGACCATTTGCAGGGCACATATTGTATGTTAAAAAGATGATTTCAGCAGTGATGGCTCATGCTGAGAAAATTTGAAATTCGTCATGACACATGTCTGCATGTAGAATACAGATCATGATCAATTGACAAGCCAAAAATAAATACATACACATTTTTAAATTTAACATGTTCACCAGTAATCATTTTACAGTTATCTGAATTTTTGTTGATTGAGCTGCAATAATAAAGAAAATTGAAGAAATGGAAAAATTTTCTAATTGTTATTGGCCCACCCTGTAGATATGTAAATTTACAACATATTAATTTATGTTCTGCAGGCCTTGTCTCCAAAGATGTCTTGGGTGCCCAGAAAGTTGGCTTCAGTGGAGTACGTTACACCTGACTAACAGTCATTTGACATTATACAAAATTAGCTAGAGGTACAGAATGTAAGAGGTAAGAGAACAAGTAATATACAGTAAAATCTGTCCAATCTGAACATCATTGAGAATGGTCAGAAAGCAATCGGATGGGGAGAAGTATTGATTTCGGTTTCTCTATCCGCAAGATTGTGGATTTTAACGCATTCTCAATGAATATTAATATTTCTATTGACCATTTGGCTTCATGGCATCCAAAATCTGAGGCCATTTCATATTTTTCAGAATTTCATATCAAATTAGTCTTAGATTTAAAATATTTGAACAGTTTTGTAAAAATTGTGGAAAGTGTTCAATTAACACATGTTAAATTTTCAAATATGAGTGTCCACTGTTCGAATTAGGATGTTGTCAGATTTCAAGGTTTTAACATGGGAGTCAAGGCAATGGGAGGAAAAATGGAGCCAGAAATTGTGTTAGCATTTGAAGGTATTTGGATCAGCCAGGTGTTCAGATATACAGGTTTTGCTGTATGGGATTAACTCATCATTTTTATTATCAAAATAAGATTATAAGTAAAATGTTTGCATCTAATTAAGTAATGATAACCTTCTTGCCTAATTCAAAAAGAAAACTACACATAGGCCTTCATAATTTGGTCCTGATTACAATTTTAACACCATGATTTGAATTCCAATACTATGTAACTATAAATTTGGATAATGTTATGCTTGAATGAAGTAACTGCATTCATATTTCTTTTATATCATAGTGATACATGCAATTTGTTACTTTTGTGTGATATTCAATTTCAGGTATGATCCACATTATTGGTCTTGGGTATTCTTGTATGACTCAGCCCTCTTAGAGTATGTAAGCAAGCACATGCTACAGAAGGATATGACCAGTGAGGCAATAATGAGTTTGACAAACGAGTCCATGGCAGAAGTGGAACTTACTGAGCACATTGACTTTATTTAATTTTCTCTGTCTATCTTTGGATTTATGGTATTTATGGCATTCATAATATAGACAATGGACACAGAACAAAAAGAACAGCATCTGTTTTAATGACAATATCTCTCAACAGCTCAAGAGAATGTGTTCCCTGTAAACACCATTCCTAAACACATGTAGCTATGTACAGGGTATACTTAATTATGAACTACAGAACACTTTATTCTTTTTCGGGATTTTAAAAAAGTGATATGTAGTTATTCTGATAAAAATAAATCTATATTTTATGCATATTTTGTCATGTACATGATTTTATTATACATGTCATGCCTATAGCCTGCTTTTGCTAAAAAAATCAAAAAATTCCAGGGGGTTCACATTTGACCATTTTGGCCCAAAAATGACAAAAATCACTTGAAAAATGCTCAGAATGGTGAACATTTTTGGCCAGGGGATTCACCCAACGAACCACTGGCTATGGGCCTGCATGTACACAATGTAAATAGACATAACTATTGGTTGTCATAGCAACAGATTATTGGGACAATGCCTAAGCTCCACATCAATAACAATATTCATTTGTTTATAATAATAGTATTACAATGATGAAACTTTCCAAAAGAATAATATTGATACTAAATGATCATGGAACTATAGCCAATTCGGGCAATTTAGACAATAAGGGACTGGACGTATTGGTTGGAAAGGGTATATTGACTATATGCATTAATTATGCTGTATTTTTACTTCAAAATAAACTTTATATTTTTCGGTGTCATTTTTGAAGAAATAAATGAAAATTTTAACATAATAAAGTATTAGTTGGAAAGAACTCTAAATTGCTGTTCAGTATGGTGATTTTCTCATTTAAATACAAAATATACTCGTCTATTTAAAAATACAAAATAATTCAGTTATGACGTCACAATCAATATGCAAATGAGCTAATTTGCATAAATGTAATTTAGAAAAATTGAGCTCTATTTTTTCTTTAATATGATATAAATTTTATCAAAATCGAAGAAATATTGGGGGAGTTATGTGTAAAAAACACTTTCTTGTCATTATTTTTGTGGTTACTATGGAAACGAGCATTTGGGCACTTAAGGTCCACATTTCATAATTTTTAACAAGTGAATCCCAGAGGTAGCACTATGAGCTTTCCAACGGTACCAACTTTATCCATAGCCCTGTGTCATAAGTGTACATTTATAATTGCTTTCCTAGCACTTTTGGGCCATCATTTAGACTACCTACAATAGAAAGGGCAATTATCGGACATGTTAAGAGTGATTTTAGTGTTTTGGGGGTATGGTTTTGATTTGGCTGTAGAAAAAAAATTAGCTCGGTGACCCCATATTTTTTTCGGGTCATTATTTTAACAATTGAACGAAGTTTAAATTAATGAAATATAAAAAAAAGTTATTGTTGGGAAATTACTATTATTTAATGTTATTATAGGGGAGAAAATACATTATTTTTCCCATTGAAATACAATGAAAAGGTCAATTTAGGGGATATCTAAGAGTGATTTTTAGTGTTTTGGGTATGATTTTGTTTTGGCTGTAAAAAAAATTCGAGCACGGTGACCCTAATTTTTTTTGGTCTCATTTTTCTTAGAATTGAACAAAGTTTCACATATAAAAAAATAAAAAAAAATTATTGTTGGCATCATTTACGCAACCACCCTCTTAATTCAGTATGCTGTTAAATTAGAAAAAAGCAATGATAACAAATTGTTTCAATTAATGGCGTAATAATTTGGATTTGTTATATCATATCCAGTCATCTAGTTATAACTGCCCTTCTATCAAAATCTATAATATACAGCCATTTGTTTTGAGTATTGCTTACAAAACATGTTTGACAATCATTTTTTCAACAGAATTGAATTGATTTTGTTCCAGTAAAGCATTAGAGAGTAGAGATACCACTTTATGTAGGAGCCTGGGAGGAAATAGAGTTTGTGTCACATTATATGGAAACTGAATAGTGTGTGTATTGGTTGAATAGTGTTTGATTGGTTGAACGTTATGGAATATGATCAGCCATGCCCAAGAGCTCCCTTTTCACGTTCATGTTCATTCCCTTGGTCAATTTTAAATCAGTATATACATGTACTGTATATTATTCTAGCAATTCGATGTCATAATCTATTTTACTTCAGCTATGGGTGAAGTGGTTTGGGGACCATACATACACACAGGTGGAACCATGTAAGCTGAAGACATTATCAGAGGGCTTGGAAGCACACCACAGAGCCAGGAAGAAACACAGAAGGTAAGAACACTGCTCTCAGTAAGAAAAATGGACTATGTTTTCAGTCTATTAGAGATATGGAGAATTAGGCATCTTACTCTGAGAGGTAGAAGGATGAAGAAACATGGAAGATCTTTTTTTTAAAATCTCTTGCATGTATGTAGATCATGATCAAAGAGAACATACTACTATCAGTTTTATTTATTCATGATGCATAATTAATGATCATTAATGGAGATACGAGACAAACTAATAATAGAATCCTATAGAAGATCCTACTTAATAGTCCTGCCTACAAAGGCAAAGCATACTATATAGTCCCTTATACATAATTCACATGTTGTGAATTTGTAATAATCTTTGATACCAAGTCTGTCTGGGAAAGGAACCAACTACACCATGGGACAAGGGTGCTACATGTGACTGTACTACTGACCTTCATTTTTGCAAAATATGTATTCAGGGTTTGTGAAAAACATTATTTTTTACAACTTCATGATCAAAGATTTTAGACAGAGAATTCAAAGTGTATATCAACTGTTGTCATAAAAATTCATCTCAAAAATCTTTGTTGTTTTAGAGGCCGGAAGATGAATACGAACCTTGAGGCAGCCATCAATGAGGCAATGGCGGAACTAGACAGGATGACATCGGTTGATGATGAACTTGACGCAAAAAATAAAGCCGGAAAAAAGCGCAAAAAATAACTCAGCTTGGTTGTTAGCATTAGACTTGATGAATGAAGAACACCGTGATCTTTACAAACAAGATCTTTGTTCTCCGTGTTGTCATTATGAAAGTGCTGTATTGGATAACTAAGATATTATATGAATGTTGATATCAATTTCTGTATTGATTCAACCTTCACTACATGCTCTAGTATCATATCAACTATCACCAACACAATACATACTTATGTGATCTATGAGATGATATAACACAATAGGACAATATAAGTTATTGAATGATTTGAAGTGCAATACAGGATATATTCTGTTCGAGAAATTCCGTATTGGAACGAGACGAAGTCGAGTGCCAATACAGAATATCGAGACAGAATATATCCTGTATTGCACTTCAAATCATTCAATAACGTTTTTATCGTGTGATCTTCTGTATTGCTTAACAAGGTGACTTTGGGATGTTGCTATCGCAAAGCGCACCTTAAAATGAATCAAGCAATGGTTAGTGTTACAATAACATAAGAATTAGCCAACCGGTTCGTTGCACATGATATATGCCTTGAGGGGTGGATACTGTTGTCAATCATAAACCCGACTTATACTTAAAGTATAAGTCAAACATTTATGATTCACAACAACACAGGAATTAAATTATATTACATTTATTTTACTCAAGTTTGGCTTGGGGTTCCCTGAACGTCTTCCCGGAGATTGAAATACGGATCGGTAAGTCAACAAATCTAACTGTTAAATAAACTCGATCCTCTGTATTGCTACTGAGATTGTCCCTCCGTACCAATATTTTCTGTATTGCGACGGAGATTATCAACGGGGACAATCTCAGTAGTAATACAGATTGGTACAGCACAAGAACTGACCAATCAGAGAGCTTCATTTTACAGATCATACGATAATATAGGTTATCAACCAAATGGTAAAGGCTGTGCTTATGCGGAATATTGAGAGCATTTGTGTCAGATATATTAATTCAATTCACCAAGGAATATACATAGTACTATATTGCATCAGAGAGGAGTAAACAAGAAATTAAGATACATGAAGTGAATATACATTGAATCGAAAAATTAAGTAAATGCATTGCTTCATCCTTATAGATCAGACTTAATATTTCATGAAAAGTATGACTTTTTGAACACTGTTGTGCAGTAGGAAGATGTTGGTACACTATGCATTCATAAATAGCACACTTTACATATGTTTTAAATGATAGAATGTTTGTTTATTTTATGCTTGATAAATAAGTTGCTGGACTGATAAGCAAGTGAAATGTAATAGCTTTGCACCAGGTCCATATTTACCCCCACCTCCTAACAACTATTCAAGTATGAAAATTGATGCATGACTAATATTATTTTATCAACCAGATTTTTCTAATGAATGTATATATAAGTCTATAACACAGACTCGAATTGATTCCTTATTTATTTACAGTACTCTTATATTGACTATGTTTGCTTGAGCCTGAGCTTTGGACTAAGTATGTTATACAAGATATATAATAAAGAAATTGTAATATGTCTAGCACATTTCCCTAATCCATGTCAACCACAATGTACATATTATATAAGATCCATGTGTCATTAAGGAAGAATGATTCTACAAAACAAACTAATGCTATACTTAGAATTTTAATTACTTGGCTTTACATGGAGCAACATATTCATATCAAGCAAGAAAATATCAAAATGTTTCCAATCAGAAGAGTAAATAAATGAATGAATGGCTTTACTGGAACTTCTCCATTGATCTAGTTTTAGATTAATAAAGGTCCAATTCCCAGATGATAAACAAAGATATGAGTTTATCGAGGTGTTAATTTCTAATTTCTGATTTATTATCAAATCTGAGGAAATAGAAATTGACATGCCAGTTTGCATTCTGAATTATTGGCATTCAACAATGTATTTATGTAAATATTGTATTGTTATGTATAGTATTTATTATGCAGCCTATATAGTGGTGTACATTATCTGTATAGTTGTACAAAATTTATTTGTATATATTCATAGTACTGTACAGTTTATCTTGTCAAATAAGAAAAATATATATATTCATGGTTATATGATAACCATTATTAATTCCACTAATATTACAGTATATAACTATTAATTAATGATTATGTATGATGACGCTTTTTGTCAATTGTCAAATTACCTATTTTTCTTTGTTGCAAATAATGACGTTTTGCTATTACCTGGTTGGAATGTTTACAGAAAAATATGAACAGAATTATGTATAATGACAATTCATGTTTTGATTGTTGAAATTTTATATATGTCAGCCCTTGAGTTTTATGAAGGTGTGGAATATTGTTAACAGTTATGTCACCGTTCTTTATTATATGGCCAAATTGATCAAGTTGTGTAAATCAACATTGGGATGGTTCATTTAAGATTATCTCTTCACCACATACATGCCAAAATGTAGTGACAATTGACAAATGTTTATTTAACATACGTTTATAAATCATGTTAGGAGAAACTTTTTCTAAAAATTTAGAAAAGTTAGGGAATTTTTCCATTTACTTTGCTTATGAAGTAGTTTAATGAATGATGTTGGGTGGTTTGGGCTGGTGGATTTTGATTTATATTTTCCTGCTTTAATACTTCTGCATGTATTCTATACAAACCCTGTATATCATTGTTATGATTTTAACAGCTTGTTATCCCACAGAACAAAGTTTGAGTAGAGATACAGAGCACAGGATTTCACTTACCTTAACAATAGAGAAGTCATTTGTTTGAGGTCCCTAAATCCCTTCTAGTGTCCAGACAATATCCAGCTCAAATACTGGTTGTTGAATTTTGTTCAAAATTTTATATGCTGATGTTTTTTGGGCATAGGTCCTCATTTTCAATATGGTCACTCAATTCAAAATGGCCACCATTTTTCATAAAAGTTATTATTTTGGCTGTAACTTTTCTGCCTTTTCATGCACCACAAACTTGAATCATATTTGAAATAACACTGCTTTATAGGTTTGAATTTTGTGATAAATCAATGGCTAAGCTATTGAAAAAGGTAAGTGATTTGATAAAATAGGTCTTGTTCAGTGGGATTTGCTAATCCATGAAGTTTTAGTATTTTAGTTAAGTTAAGTCTGCCATGCCAACAAAAATCATGAAATAATTATTTAGATGGATGTTAGGAAAATGATTTCCTGTTGCTTTTAGTAGTTTGAAACCTTGAAGAATCTATTTATGTGACCAATGTGACATACATGTAGCTATTTAAACATGTGGATTGATTTTTATGGATTTATAAAACATATATTTAAGATTTAATAAAGCTTCAGGATCAGAACAATGTAATCATGAATACTGCATTGAAGTGAGAAAAAGATGGATATCATAATAAGGACGTGACAAAAGTGATAGCAACGTATACAATTTTTCTACCAATGTCATTTACAGTGTCTCATTGCAAATATATCTCAAAAAAAGATCCTAATGTTAAAAAATAGTGAAAAAATGACATAAGTCTGTAGCATTGGATTATACATAAACATGTATTTAGCATATGCATATATATATTATAAGGACAGACATTTTAAATTTTGATTTTCCCTTATGACATTTTGGAATATTTGGGGAATTTTTAGAAAATAGGCATGACAAGGAATGTTATTTGCACATAAATTCTGATATTTATTTAATTTTTTGAAAATGTTGCTCACTATGTCGGATTCTCCCTTTAAAGTATTGTAAGCTGATAATTAATGAGTAGATCAATAAAGTGTATTGGTAGAAAATTGTATCTAATAGGCTGTCTTTATACACAACTTAAGATCAAACATTTAAAGTTGTGTATATGGATTTTTTATATTGAAAAGAATAGGATGCCATATAGTTCCTTTTAAAGTCATCTTTAAATAATGTATATTTTCTGATGTAATAAATATAATTATTATAGTATGAAAAAGAAAGCTCTGTTTTTCTATTTTATTTTTTATTATCATGTCAGCACCTATCTTCAGGTTATGATTATGTGATGACATATTTCTGTTGCCTGTTTCACTCGCTGATTCTGCACTGTGCTGAAAAAATGTTTGTTCAGATAAAGTACCACTACCAGTCATATAATCTATTGAATATAATATCATTGTCCATCAAATAACATCAATTTTGTTCAGGCTTGACAAACTCCCACTTCCTAACAAAACGATCACTATTTGTTGATTGATCCCACTAACGTTGTTCAAGAGCAAGAGAAGAAAAAGCCATCACAAAAACACAATTTCATCTTTAGGGGAAATCCATATTTTGCGCTGAGTACTTACTCAAGAATATGTTGTGATTCAACATTTATCAGGTAGGGAAAGAATGTTTTAGGAAGATCTGCTTATTTTAAGTTCATTTTCTAAAATGTAATGTTCATTTATGGCATAAATCACCTGGATTTTTCATGTCATGTCAGGATCCCTAATCATTTATTCCTAATGATTACAGTATTCTCTGATGAGCGCCCAGTGTGCTTCTCAAATTGAAGTTCAAAAGGGTAAGACATTGAGAGATTCCAATAAAAAAAGAAAAATATTGCCAATAGTCTTTTCAATTGTTATAACTAAGCTTTACATTCTCTACACCTCTGCATTAAATATAATCATCAATCAATACATTGCTGTGTTCTCAAGAGGATTTTTTCTCAAGTGAGTGAAAAATTCTCATTTTCACAATTCAAACCGAAATTGGTCAAAATATGCTAATTCATGGTTTTTCTCATTTTCAAGTAGGTCCAAATGAACTTTAAAGTGAGTGCAAGTCTATTTTTAATATCTCAGGTGGGTGTTGTGCCTACTTTATTGCTGGGGAGATCACTGTCTTCGATAAATAATCGAAACTAATGCATTAAACTTCATGTTTTCAAGCTGCCATATTCATCATAACAAGGCACAGACGTGAACAATATCGTACCTAAAACACAGCAGTGTGACAGTGAAGAATTTAAGACGGAAAATCCAAAATGACCACCTTAAAATTTACCCAGAATGCCCAAAAACTAATCAGTTCTTAACTTTGATGCGTAGAAACATCCCTGAAAATTTCAGATGAATCCGTAGAAACCTGTAGACAAGTCTTGAAAGTGAAGATTTTAGGACGGAAAATCCAAAATGGCCACCTTAAATTTTACCCAGAATGCCAAAAAACTAATCAGTTCTTAACTTTGATACGTAGAAACATCCCTGAAAATTTCAGATGAGTCCGTCAAATGGTTTGGCTGGAAACCTGTAGACAAGTCTTGAAAGTAAAGATTTTAGGACGGAAAATCCAAAATGGCCACCTTAAAATTTACCCAGAATGCCCAAAAACTAATCAGTTCTTAACTTTGATACGTAGAAACATTCCTGAAAATTTCAGATGAATCCGTCAAATGGTTTGGCTGGAAACCTGTAGACAAGTCTTGAAAGTGAAGATTTTAGGACGGAAAATCCAAAATGGCCACCTTAAAATTTACCCAGAATGCCCAAAAACTAATCAGTTCTTAACTTTGATACGTAGAAACATTCCTGAAAATTTCAGATGAATCTGTCAAATGGTTTGGCTGGAAACCTGTAGACAAGCTGAAAAGTGAGACGCCGCCCGCCCACCCGTCAAGCTGACAACAATATCGTACCTTTATTAGGTACGATAATAAAATTCACATGTGCACTCATTCGAACTGTGCACTCATGAGAGAGAATACGGTACTTTCTCTTGCAATATTCATCTAAATATGTGACATTCAAGATATCTTTTGTAACTACTGGTTCATTAGAGTTGCGTTTCAAGTTGAGCAATTCACCAGGAACATGTGTAAAGGAAGATTTTGGACAAAAAGTGCACATATAATATTCTATGTACTCATTTCAAAAAGAGCTTAATCAAGCACAACTTGAAGTACAATTATTTTTACTGTAGGGCTTCTTAAAGAATTTATAATAGAAAGACAACAGAGAAATGATTAATTTTTATAATAACTAGAAGATTGCAAGCAATCTTACGGAGGCCCTGTAGGCTTTTTTGAACATTTAAAGGTCAGCCAAAGGTCAAATCTTAAATACAAGGACATATATGAACTCCAGGCATCTTGTAGATGATTTTTAAAAAAAAGTTTGGTCAATTTGAAGCAATGTGAAATTTGACCTTGAAAAATTTCAACATTAGACCTTTTTCAGTTTTTGAGGTCCAATATCTCAAAACTGGTGCAGAATTTTAATAGATAATCAATTGTTATTATGTGTAAAACCTTTAGAGGAATATATATCCTGTCTTTAATTCAAAAATATTGATTTGTAGTCACAAACTTTGAGAAACTTAGAAAACACAGTTTGTGATCTTGTTTGATGACCTTGACCTTTGACCTTACAGGTTTTACTTTTTTAGACCTCAGTATATCTTTTCTGATTGAAGAAATCTAAATTTGAATCCAGAAAATCAATTTGAAAAATTAACTTTTTTGACCTTTCGAAGGTCACTGAAGGTCAAATAAAGGTCATAGTTCAAAACTAAGGTCAGATTTGAGTTCCTGAGATCTTGTAGATGCTTTTTAAAAAAAAGTTTGGTCAATTTAGAGCAAGTTGAAATTTGACCTTGAAAAATTTTGAAATTTGACCTTTTTTCAGTTTTTGAGTTCTAATATCTCAAAACTGGAGCAAAATTTTAATAAATAGTCAATTGCTAATATGTGTAGAACCTTTAGAGGAATATATATTCTGACTTTCAGTAAAAAAAATTGATTTGTAGTCTCCAATTTGAGAAACTTAGAAAACACAGTTTGTGATTTCGTTTGATGACCTTGACCTTTGACCTTGCAAATTTTACTTTTTTAGACCTCATAAGATCTTTTACCTAAATTTGAATCCAGAAAATCGATTTGAAAAATCAACTTTTTTGACCTTTCGGAGGTCA